TTGGTCGTGGAAACCTCGTAAGGAACTCAACGGTGAATGGTTAAACCAGGTATTCAGAGAGAAAGGTCAATCCTCGAGACAATTATAACGTGAACGATACAGGATGGCTAGGGTAATGAACCTAGGGACTTACATGGCAGATTTTCTCCTGTCATTTGTGACACCGGACCATTTGCTTAGCTCGAGACAGAAATGGGTTTTTGGATTGGTGAACTTGATTTCGGTAGTTATCTTTTGGGTGCTTTCGTCATTTTTGGTTAATGACTTATTGGAGTCGGATATTTATAGAAAACCGTTTTTGATAACATATATCAATACTAGCTGCTTTTGCTTTTACCTAATTCCATACTTTAGATATGAAGGATTATCAATTCAAGAATTTGTTAGTCGAATGAAATACGATTATCACCAGATTCGCTTGAACCATTTAGCATCGCCTTCATTAGAGGAAGCAAACGAAGAAGAGCAAACAGAACTTCGTGCTGATTATGGATCTAACGATGATTTGGCAAGTACAATGACCAAAAATGAACCTGAACAAATTAATATCTATGAGACTTGTAAACTCTCATTGCAATTTGTAATTTTATGGTTTGGTGCTAATTTGGTTACTAACGCATCGTTATCCTATACTTCTGTTGCTCTGCAAACCATTTTACTGTCAACTGCATCATTTTTCACCTTAATTATTGGATACTTATGTTCGATTGAAAAAATTAATTCTCAAAAAATTATTGGTATCATTTTAAGTTTTATTGGTGTTGTTATAGTGACTAGAGTCGATTCTTCTTCAAATACAAATAACCCTCCTGTTTTATCCAGCCATTATTTGGTAATATGGGGGAATTTATTGGCCCTTTTAGGTGCCTTGATTTACGGAATTTATACAATTTTATTAAAATTTAAAATAATGGTTCCAAACAATCCAAGTCTCGAGCGTAACTTGAATACTCATTTGTTCTTCGGTTTTGTTGGTGTATTCTGTCTTATTTTCATTTGGCCATTTATAATTATACTTCACTTTACTAATTTAGAACATTTTCAATTACCTCCTTCTTCTCGGGTTGTTGGATTGATTTTGATAAATGCCGTCATTACATTCATATCTGATTTCTGCTGGTGCAAAGCTGTCTTATTAACCAGTCCTTTAACTGTCACTGTGGGACTTTCTTTAACTATTCCTTTGGCTATGGTTGGTGATTGGTTCATAAAAGGTTTTGTCGTAAATTATACCTATTTATGTGGTGCTCTTATCGTCACCATTGGATTTTTGATCATAAACAAAGATGAAGAAAATGACTTCACTACTCACGAAGACTAATTGCATTTTATAGATTGTTAATATATTATATTCTTGTCACAAGTAGGTGATGTTTTTTATGTGTGGTGTGCGGGTCTAGGTTCATCAACGTTCTTCTCTTTTTTCCATGTTTTGAGTTTCACCAATTCATCTTCTTAAATCTTTAAGGACCATTGCCATCGACCCAATAGTATATGATGATTTTATTCTATTGGGCATTCTTATTATTACAATGTGTTTCAGCGCTTGCTGATTTACCAAAAGAATATACCTTGACTAGTCAATCCTTTGTATATCCGGACCATATCATCCCAATTTCAAATTCGGACTTATCATTATTATCAGGACACCGGGAATACTATACCCTCTTATATATAACATCGACAGATCCGCAACATGGCTGTGATCTGTGTCATTCGTTCGATAAAGTTGTTCGGAAAGTTTCCAATTACTGGTTTGAAGATTACGGGATGTCCAATTTCTTATTTTTCGCCAATGTTGATATAATTGATCGTTCTAATGCTGATATATTTAAGTATTTGGAAATAAAAAGAATTCCTCATATTTGGCTAATACCTCCAAGTAATAATGAAGATGTATTACAGCAAATTCATGAATTAGAAGATGAAAAAGATCCTTTTGCAATTTTAAGACAACCTAGAATCGAATGGAAAGTACCTTTAGGTACCCACGATGAACAAGTTTTGCAATTTGCTGATTTCATATCGACCACAGTATCTAAACGTATTTATATCAGGCCTGAAAATCAATCGCTCAAATTTATCAAAACTTTTTCAATCACTTTCTCAATTATCATCTTAATTAAAAAGAAAGGGCCTAGCATACTTACCAACAATGTATCGAAAAAGAAAATATACATTGCATTAACTCTATTTCTAGCCCTGTTATTCACTTGTGGCTATTCTTTCTCAGTCATGGAGAAAGTTCCATTTATCGCTAAAAATGAAAAGGGGGAAGTCATATACATCAGTGGGGGGATCTATTATCAGTTCGGTATTGAAACCATTATGGTGGCCCTGAATTATTTACTGCTTGCATTCAGTTTGGTCTCTATGATTTGGTTGGGTAATTATAAAGTTGGTCCCAATCGAAAAATTAGCACCGAATCCCAAAAATTTTTACTTATTCTTATCAATGTCATGGTATTGTATTTACTCTACAGCTGCATGACAAGCATATTCTTGAGAAAAGATTTTGAATATCCTTACTACTTCACCAAATTATTTTAATAAATTAATTTAATAGATTTTTCTTATACTGCCATATAAAATGTAAAGGGCACGGGTGTAATCCGCAAGACGCGTATACAATTTTTTTTTTGTTCTTTTTTTTTTTCACTTTTTGGAGTAGTTTTTTGTTGATGTTTTAATCCTTCATTGGAAGTTGCTTGAAAGACCGAAAATGACAACCGGACCAGTTAAAAGAAAGATAGGGTCGGGCGATTCAAAGAAGGGGATGCTCATTACTGATTTTTTCCAAATGTCAAAACCTGCTGCTAAAAAGAGTAAGATTGAACGTACTGACACCAAGATTGAACGATCCGAAGCTGGTGCTGTATTGAAAGAAAAGGTTGAAGTAGCGGAAAGTGCTGCAACAACTCAAGATGGATCCAAAGAAGAAGAACCAATACCAATTAAAACATCAAACGAAAAAGTTGCCTCGGATGAGCCAACAGAAGACGACTATACCGACTTTTGTAAAAAACATAATTTCAATAAAGAAGAATGGGTAGCTTCACTCAATGCCGAAGAAAAACAATTACTACAACTAGAAATCCACACCTTACATATAACATGGCTCGTATTTCTTCATAAAGAACTTACAAAACCATACTTTCTCAAACTAAAGAAATTTCTAGCCCTTGAGTCTCGATCCGGTAAAACCATCTTCCCTCCTTCCAATAAGGTGTATTCCTGGTCTCATTACACCCCATTGCCCAAGATCAAGTGTCTTATACTCGGCCAGGATCCATATCACAATCACAACCAAGCCCATGGATTGGCCTTTTCAGTTCTCAACCCAACCAAGCCTCCTCCATCCTTGGTCAACATCTACAAAGCATTGAAGATCGACTTCCCCAACTTTGAAATCCCAAAAAGCGGCGACCTAACCAATTGGGCAGAAAAGGGGATTCTCATGCTTAATGCAGTGCTAACCGTTGAGGCCCATAAAGCAAATAGTCACGCCAACCAAGGATGGGAAACCTTCACCGAAGAAATCATCAAAACCGCAATCAACTACTTCACCAAGGAAAAGTCCTCCGGCTTTGTCATTATGGCCTGGGGGTCCCCGGCCCAAAAAAGAGTTGGCAAATTTGGCAACCTTCTTTCCCAAAAATTCATGGTCATCAAATCGGTCCACCCTTCGCCCTTGTCTGCCCACCGTGGCTTTTTCGACCTGAATGTCTTCAAGAAATGCAACGAATGGCTCCAACTGAACCACCTAAACCCCTTGGACTGGGGGTTAATCAACGGTAATGTAGTTAAGTAGTCGAATAAAAACATCCGTACAGTTTCCTTTTAGATCATATCGCGTTTAATTTTTGCATTATAATTTTCTTTCTTTTTTCGTTTTTTTTTTGTTTTTTCAGTTTTGTAATATTCACTTCATCCTACTTTTTTTCTTTCAGTTTTTTTTTTTTCCTACTCCTTGTTCTTCTTCAAGTATTGCATAGTTTTACATCAATCCAGTGTTTCATTTGGAAAAGATCAATTACTAGTACGCTGCGTGACATCAACGGTTACTATACTTCAATTTTGTTTCCACAAAGGCTGCAATTTGAGAGAAATCACTAAAGTATATAAAAAGACAGCTAAAGCAGTGGGCGGGAAAAAAACACAACACACTGACAACAAGCGAATAGAATAGCCAACGAAAGTACACCGAGCAGTAGTGAATAACGCCGATATATAGCCGTGATTGAATCTTTTGGAAGATGATAGATTTGACTGGGGAAGATAGCACCCCAGAAACTCAATCACAACTTGAAACCAAACATAGATTTGAAACAGAAACCAAGGCAGAAAGACGTAAACGGTTTATACTTGATACTGATCCACACACTGCCAGAAGCCAAGATGTTGATAATTCGACCAAACGATTCAAATACCTTTTGGGGTTATCCGATCTATTTCGATATTTTATTGATTTGAATGTTTCTAAAGATAAAAATTTCAAAAATCTTATTAAGCAAATCGATAATGAAGTGTCTTTCAATCAACCTTCAAGAAATTCCAAGTCCAGAAAGAAGAATAATAAAAAGAGAAGGAAAACTGAAAAGGAAGAAGATGCAGAATTATTACAAGATGAAGAAGATACTCCTACTATAACTGAATTTTCAGAAAGTCCTGGGTATATACACGGTGAATTAAGACCTTATCAAATCCAAGGTTTAAATTGGATGGTTTCTCTATATGAAAATGGAATAAATGGTTTTTTGGTGGCTGATGAAATGGGATTGGGTAAAACTTTACAAACAATTAGTTTTCTTGGTTATTTAAGATATATTAAAAGTATAGATGGCCCTTTTATTGTAATTGTTCCAAAATCAACCTTGGACAATTGGAGAAGAGAATTTCAAAAATGGACTCCCGATGTAAATGTTGTTGTTTTACAAGGTAATAAAGAAGAAAGAGCAGAATTAATAAATAAACGTTTATTGACTGCAGATTTTGATGTTTTGGTTACTTCTTTTGAAATGGTTATACGTGAAAAATCCCAATTGAAAAAATTTAGATGGGAACATCTTATAGTTGATGAAGCTCATAGAATTAAAAATGAAGGTAGTTCTTTATCACAAATTGTCCGTTTATTTTATTCAAAAAATAGATTATTGATTACCGGTACTCCTTTACAAAATAATTTACATGAATTATGGGCTCTACTTAATTTTTTATTACCCGATGTGTTTGGTGATTCTGAAATGTTTGATGAATGGTTCGAAAGTCAAGGTGGTAATTCGAAAGATGCTATAGATGTTGATGAGTCGGAAGATGTAAAACAAGAAAAACAAGATAAAGTTGTTCAACAACTTCATCAAGTTTTAACTCCTTTTCTTTTACGTAGAGTTAAATCGGATGTTGAAAAATCATTATTACCAAAAATTGAAATCAATGTTTATACCGGTATGACAAATATGCAAATTACTTGGTATAAACGTTTATTAGAAAAAGATATAGATGCAGTCAATGGTGTGGTTGGTAAAAGAGAAGGTAAAACTAGATTATTAAATATTGTTATGCAATTAAGAAAGTGTTGTAATCATCCTTATTTATTCGATGGTGCAGAACCTGGTCCTCCATATACCACTGATGAACATTTGGTATTTAATTCTGGTAAAATGATTATATTGGATAAAATGTTGAAAAAATTTAAAGCAAATGGTTCAAGGGTCCTTATTTTTTCTCAAATGTCAAGATTATTAGATATTTTGGAAGATTATTGTTATTTCAGAGATTACAATTATTGTAGAATTGATGGCTCCACATCTCATGAAGATAGAATTGAAGCAATTGATCAATATAATGCTCCTGATTCTGATAAATTTGTGTTTTTATTAACCACTAGAGCTGGTGGTTTAGGTATTAATTTAACAAGTGCTGATATTGTTATCTTGTATGATTCTGATTGGAATCCTCAAGCTGATCTACAAGCAATGGATAGAGCTCATAGAATTGGTCAAAAGAAACAAGTTCAGGTTTTCAGATTTATTACTGAAAATGCAATTGAAGAAAAAGTTTTAGAAAGAGCTGCTCAAAAATTAAGATTAGATCAATTAGTTATTCAACAAGGTAGACAAATGAATAATAATAATAGTGTTGGTAATTCTAAAGATGATTTATTAGGAATGATTCAACATGGTGCTGAAAAAGTTTTCCAATCACAATCTGATCAATCAAATATGTTAGACGAAGATATTGATAAAATTTTGGAAAGAGGTCGGGAGAAAACTGCTACTCTCAATGCTAAATTTAATAAATTAGGTTTAGATGATTTACAAAATTTCACTTCAGATGCTTCAGCTTATGAATGGAATGGTCATAATTTTGCCAAAAAATCATCATCTGGTAATTTGGGATTCTCTTGGATTAATCCTTCTAAAAGAGAAAGGAAAGAACAAACTTATTCAATTGATAATTATTATAAAGATGTCTTAAAACAAGCAACTTCAACCGGGAAACCATCAAGAGATAAAACAAATCAAAGTAAAATAAAACAACCAAAAGTTTATACTGGTCAAGATCATCAGTTTTTCCCAGAAGGTTTAAAAGAATTATTGGAACGTGAACAATTAGCATACAAAAAAGAAATTGGCTATAAATATTCACTTGACGAATTTGGTGATAGTGACGAAGAATTTTTAGCTGAGGAATATAAAGAAGATATTTCAAGAGAACAGAAGCGAGATCAAGAACAAAAGAAAGTTAATGAGGTTGTTCCTTTGACAGAAGAAGAAACAGAGTTGAAAAATAAATTACTAGAACAGAGCTTCCATAATTGGACTAGAAGAGATTTTACAAATTTCATTCACGCATCTGCTAAATATGGAAGAGATGAATATGCTAAGATTTCGAAAGCAATGGGAAATAAAGATTCTACAGAAGTTGAAAGATATCTGAAAAAATTCTGGTCCTCATACAAACTTATTGAAGGTTATGAAAAATATTTATCTCAAATAGAGGCTAGTGAAAAAAAATTAGCTAGATTAATCAATCAACAAAAAATTCTTGCTCATAAAGTTGAAACACTTAAAGATCCTTTGGAAGATTTAAAAATACAATATCCTCCAAATAATTCAAAAAGAATATATTCAAAATTGGAAGACCGCTTCATTTTATTATGCGTTTATAAATTTGGTCTCTTTAGTGAAAATTTAATGGAAAAAATTAAAGAAGAAATAAGCAATAGTGATCTTTTCAAATTTGATTGGTACATTACTTCAAGGACTGCACAAGAAATTGGTAGAAGAGTAAATACTTTATTATTGGCTCTTAGTAGGGAATATGAAGGACCTCAGAGTAAAAGAGGAAAGACAAAACAAATCAATGGTAATAACTCTAATTCAAGTACTCGTGCTGGTTCTGTCGAACCTTCTTCTATTACCGGAGCTACTCCAATTCCCTCGTCTGCTTTTTCACCACCTCTTGATGGGGATATGAAAACTTTAACCACTAATGGCTCACTTGATACTGGTATTAAGCGTTCTAACGAATCTTTAAAAGAAGAAAATAATACTAAGAAAGTTAAAGTATAATAGACAATTCTTCAGTAACATTTTGTATAATAATGTATTTGTATAGTGAACTAAAGATTAATAAATTAATGTCATTCTATATTTAATAGAATTGATATATATTGTACAAAGAATATTTAAGACCATTGAAAGGACCAATCTATTATACTACAGTTTTAAGTCTTGAAAATTTATAAAAATTCAGGACGTACATGATCTTCCACGGTCGATATGTAATAAGGAACCTTGTTAGCTGTCCAACTGACAGATAAAAAATCACTCATTTCATGCTTTTCAACACTTAAATAGTCAAAAACCGTTCTATCCAAACTTGCCTTATATCTTGGAGGAATAAAATTTCTCAAAGAGATAATTTTTGTACCTGGTTTTAAGCCGTAAAGTAGCTTACCTACTTCAACGTTTAATGGAAAGTCGAATAAATAGTTATTAACAATAAGTATGTCGCAATCAGTGGCTTGTTCTCGAACTTTCTTATTGTCAACAAAACTTTGCAGTAAAGAGAATTCTAATGGTAACTTTTTTAATCCGAGTACTGCCATTTGCTTATTCAAAAAATTATGTTGTCTTTCTGTTAATATGGAGGCATGAGGCATTAGTTCACAACCTCCGCTAAACTTAGCACCGAATTCAAGGGCTGCTTGAAATGTTGTATTTCCCACTCCAGAACCCAAGTCATAAAACTTTTGAGACGGAAGAAGGTTGACTTTAGTTAAGACCTCACTGACAAATGAAGGAAGAAGTTCACCATACACCTCAGCCGTAAATGCCTTGTAGGATCTAAGCTTTCGGGAATCAGGAGAAACAATTCTGGTATAAGCTCTTAAAAGTAACTGCTGCAAGCAAAATCTTGAAATGCTTGTCATTGATTTAAGATTCTCAAAAAACTTAACCGCAAAAGGAGAGCTCTTCAAAGTTTGTTCAGAGCCTTCCCAATTGCTATCCAAATTGTCATCACTAGTAAGAACTGGTGATAGGTTTCGTATATCAGAATCTTGCATTTCTAGCTTTTTCATTTTATCGTCCGACTTTTTGCAAATGGGTTCCTTTTTATTAGCATTTACTGAATTCATTTTTTCTTGAGTTGAAGCGAGCTCTGGTTCTTTCAAGTTCTTGTCATCTATTTGATTCATTTTTGAGGGATTCTTTGGGCCATACTCACTGTCAAATGTGATATTTTCATGATCTCTTTCGTCTTCTGTTGGAGGAGTGAGAACTGAGGGACGTCTGTAAGGGTTCAGTTCTTCCTGTTTGACATCATCTGAGCTGTTAATGCTTCTTTCTGCCATGACTTCTTTGATGAATGTTTCTAGTTGGATATTTTCCTTTGAAGTTTCACGAGGTCCCTTAATATACTTTCTTAGGCTTGCATTTATGTCTATACTTTTGTCACACTTGCTTTCTGTGGGACATAATTCCAACATTAAAGTGTTCCACGAATCAATGATAAACATAAATTTACTGAAATTATCTTCCTCGACAGCAGTTTCAATGGCAATACAGAAATCATTATAGATTATATCTCTTATTGGTTCAGAATACGAAAAATATAAGGCGTAATGAATTTGAAAAATTTTCTGCAATTCGAATATAGGGTCAAGCTCATTACTTTTCGGTTCTGCAAGAATAAACAGCTCTGAGTATTGAGGATAAAGAAGAAATCTTATTCTCACTCTGTTATCTTTATTGACTTTAGTACTTCCACTTCCGTCTAAAATGGCTGGAGGAAAAGATCCTGGATAATTTCTGTAATTCTTGATGTGGGTTTCAATGATTTTTTCACCGACATCATTGGTTAGTGGTATTGCAGCTCCCAGATCCGCAAAAGAGTCAGTCAGACCAGACTCGTTCATTTCAAATGACAATCTGGGAAGATAGGATTTGGTGTTATAGACTTGATCAACAAAAAACCTTCTACCATTGAATGGAACTTGAGAATCATGAAGAATATCAGTTGGGTCGTAGGGGCTTACTTCGTCGGCATCGTCTTCATCTTCAATCGATGAATCATTCAAAGCTTGATCCAACGTTTCTTTGAAATCTTCTTCTTCCTCCTCCTCTGAGTTTTCATTGGACGTCGGGGTTTCCGATTTCAATGTTCTTCTAGATTTATAGGGTCTTTTTTTAGTGACTTTCGATTTTTTAGATTTATCGACACGATCCCTTTGGGCAGCCAAACGTTTTTGGACACGCTTTATTTCTGTTCTGTTTTTGAACTCAGGAATGTAATGTGTTGCTTGTCGCCTCTGTCTTTTGTCACCATCTTTGATTAGCTTCCCGTTACCTGTCACACTTTGAAAATAAGCTGCGTCTTCAAGTATTTGATCTAGATGAAGTTTTGATTTGATTTTTGGCTTTGGTTTATAATTCGGATCATTCAATTGTAAGAGTCTCTTCTCCTTTTGAAGTCTCCTTTTCTCAAGAAGTTCAGCCTCCCTTTGGGCCTTTTGTTTTCTCCTGGCTAATGCTTTCTCTTCTCTTATTTTATTTTCTTCTTCGGTAAAAACTTTTTGTTTCTTCGTGGTTGGTTCTTCTTTTGCTTTTAACTCTAATTCTTCTAACTTCCGGAGTTCATAAGAAGCACTTTTATCTCGAGTACGTCTACGAGAGCCGGTGTCAGTTGCAGAGATCCATTTAGCTTCATAAATTAATTGAGACAAAGGATTCTTGAATGAAGTTTTACGCTCTATTCTTGCTTTTGTATGGTTTAGTTTCTCAATCACTAAGTCCCTGTTATGATAAAAAAGTTGATTGCAAACAAATTCATTTGATAGATTGTCCTTAATGGCGTTTTCGAAAAAGATTATCTCTTCTGGAAGAAAGTCAATGTCCACTCTCAAATTATTTAATTTGATATCTGTTTTTAGAGTAGATTGTTCAACTGAAGGAAAAAATATCTCGCAAAAATCTAATGTCAAGCAAAATGAAGAGCAAAAGCTCAAAGTATTAAGATATTGTGATTCAAAATCATTGGGCATTGAGAAGGGTTCTCGCTTGAATTGTTCAATTTTCATTTCACGAACTTTTTCTTGCATGGGCCTTTTTGCTAGCCTCGAGGGTTTTACAATCAATTTCCAATATCTAATGAAACATTGGAGTGTAGACCTTTTCTTACTCTTGCCTGTATGAGTTAGTCTTTGAGGGTATTCATCTATTATCTGGTCCAAAAACTTTTCATCTTCCTCTGGGCTCCATGGCCCGAGGTGTCTCTGGACGGACATTATTGTATTTTTCAATTTAGAATCGGTGATTTCGTTTTCTAAAAAATGAAGAATCTCCTGAGAAGATAATGATTGGTCCAGTAGATAAATTATTTCATTAAGTAAATGAGCACCAAGTGGTAAGTTAGTGTCCCAAGGCTGGAGGCTTTCAAGCATAGATTGACACTCATCTTTCGATCGGAAGATCAAAGCAGAAAGGATATCATCAATTGGCAGATTTTGATGCAGTAAAGTTAAAAGAACTTTGATCTCTTGTTTAGACCATTCAGCTATTTTGTGTCTTGGAAATTTCAGGATTCTTTCCTGAATGTCTTCCAAAGATGTGTTTGGGTATACATTTTCAAGACTCTTACGAGTGAAGAGTTGATTTTCAAATATAGTGAAATATTCTGCAATTTGCTTTGGGGAAAAATAAGATTTTGGCTCACCTTCGAATAAGCTACCTAAAGAAACCAAGGCATTTTTTATTTGTTGGTGGTCCCTCAACGGTAATTCCCTTTCAATGTTTTGAATATTTGTATTTTGTTCACACCAAAAGTCAGCTACCCTGTATAATTCAGGTATTGTCCAGTCTAATCTGTGGAAATTATCATGTACGAATTGTACTATAGTCTCTATGTTACTATTTGGTAAATCTTGTTCCAATTTCAATCTAGTCAAGTCATTCTTCAAAAGCTTTTGTAGTATCGTTTCATCTATAACTTGCTGAGGTGGTATACTTGCCTGCGAGCAACTTTCTTCTTCCAAGACTTCGCTTGTGGGTGGTTTTTGATCATAGTCCGACGTAGTAGCACTCAAGGGTTTTGCTTCAGATTTTACTTGTTTAGGTTGTGCCTTGTGTGGTTCTGTACTTGGATCATCGATTAGGTCCCTTGATAAAGGGTTCATTGACTCGTTTTTCAGATCCAAAGCTTTTTCTAAATGGGAAGACCCATCTTGATCCGTATTTTCAAGCAGCTTGGTGTTCAAGTCGACACCCCGAGTGAATGCATATGACATAGTAATAGCTTGGATTCAACCCAAATTGAAATCAATAACGGACTTTTTGTCAAGTAGACTTTTAATAAGTATAAACTAGGAAAACGAAGAAAAAAAATTTGGAAAGAGCAGAAAAACACAAAATATATAACGAAAAAGATAATTGTAAGGAAAATTGCTTTAATAAAGGGAATATTTGGATATCATCTGGAGAGAATCCAAAGAATGACTTATGAATAAAAGGTGTATCTCTGATAAAACTCGTTTTTCCTTCTGCAATGTTTTGTTTATGATTTTTCACAGTGTATGATATTGCTCTTTTTGGTGAGACCAAAATGAACTGAGCGAAAAAGCCCAAAACCTACAAGAGCATCAAGATGTGAAATTGAAGAGAACTTACAGCACAGTCACAAAGAAAATGTTAGTGAGTGGGAAGCTTAAACGAACAGTCATGAATCTAGAGTTAATAAAGCGAATTAATATTTGTAAGTTGTAGTAATTTAAAATAAATAAGTAGAGAATTGAAAGTCGTCTAATGCCAGGTATCTAGTTGTTATAATTTGCTAGCTCTGATACCATTTAATCTGAATTTAAGATCTTTTAGGATCTTACTGTCAGGTTTCCAATTGTCAAACAGCTGATACAATTCGTTAATCTCATCGTACCCGTTTTTACCAAAGTCTCGGGCATTTTCAACACTGATGAGTTTATTGTTATTTGGCCAATTTTTTTCAATATTGAAGAGTAAGCCTCTTAAGCACCACGGAAGCAAGAAAGGATTCGTACCTATTTTTCCAATATTGTACTCTTTGATATATACTTGATTAGTTATGGGGATTCTGACAATTTCTTCGATTCCTTCTGAAGCATCAAACCCCCCATATGTGCCAATACCACTAGTGACAAAACCGTTGTTTTGACCACTTGATCTGGTAGGAGTAGCTATTGGTAAATCTTTACTGGGGAATGTAGATGTAAAAGTAGGAGGAATAACGATATCATCTGTGTCTAATACAAATTTCAACCCCATATCGTAAACTTTCCCGTCATTATAAATCTTGGAGTGACCACCACCGGTCAATGGGCCTGCCAATACCAAGCTTAGTTCTTTTAAAACATTACTGTCAAAGTAACCAATATTTTGTAAATGACAACATAATGAAACTAATTTCTGAATGAATTTTGGGGTTTGGGATGAATGATCAATATAACAAGCTCGGTATATATTGGGATGGAAAACATGAGATGCTAGTGCCGAGTAGAGGGGTACTAACTGATCATTTATAGATCCGATAAAGCATATTTTCACATTAGCATTGATGATTATTTGAATTGATTCTTTATAAACCAATGACTGTTCACTTTCGAATTTTGTTAGTTCAAATAGTTCAATCATAGATTCGTGTTCAATCGCTGAGTAAGCCTTCATGAAAAATGACTTATCAACACCATAAAACGGTCCATTATTAATACCGGCCATTCCTAAGATCCCAATTCTTTTCTTAATCGGATCTTTTAAGATCCCCATTTTTATCAAGTTTGCTAATAACATAATTGATACTACACACCCTTGAGAATGTGATGCCATGAAAATGAAATCAGCTTCATTTAATTCTTTTTGCCATTTGATTAAAATTTCTTTGAAGAATTCAACTCGATCAAAAATTTTGCCTTCTTTTTCTAAAGCAATTTTTTGAATACTAATATCATTTGAATCACTATCATTGATTAAGTTGTTTTCGATGCAATATCGAATAACTGATTTTTCAGCCTCATTTGCAAATTTCAACGAAGTACCTTTCGGTGATCCAATAAGTGGTCTTATCATTTTGGTTGGGAAGAACCCGTGAACACCTATAATCAAAATCTTTTTTATTTTACGTAATGGTCCAGTCTTTTGTGAAATAATATCTGAAGGTGATATATTAGGTCTGTTTTGAGAAGATCTTGAAGGTTTATGATTGATTAACAAATTCCCCATTGGATCATTGGTGATTGAAATAGAGTTAGGATCTTCAGCATCTTCCTCTAGCTGAGTTTGTTGAGGGTACCTATAAGTTTGTTGACTCTCATGTTCTTGATCATCTTCATAGTAACCAGTTGTGTAGGACTTATTATAGTTAGGTAAACAAGCTCTTTTATGAGGAGGTAACTTGGCCAAAGATCTTCCATATAACTTATAAGTTTTCTCGTATAGTAAATTGAATTCTTTTTCTACTTTTTCTTTTGAGGTGTCGTTCAAATCTGAAATGTTATCTCCTTGAGTAACGCCTGTCAATGACTGTGAATTAAAACCTAACCTGGTAGATAATTGGGTGAGAATATTTCTCCAATTTTTCAAATCACTTTTAGAAGTTTGCGGGCCATTGCTATTTGTTGTAGAGCTATTACCAAATATACTACTTGTAATAGAGTTAGTTGATGAGCTTGCAGAAGATTGATTGGGAAGACAATTACTCCAATCTGGAACTATGACATTTTGTTTCAAATCTTCATTTCTATGAGTATTAATTTGCTTAAATTGATTAGGTTTGTCATGAGGCTTGTATAAAACAGCATCGTCTTCATTTTCCTCATTCAAATTTGCTTTATCAACTTTTGTATTTTTATTAGTACTAGAGTTCAAAATATCCTGTTTACTTGGAATTGAAGGGGTAGAATTGAGAATAGTATTGGATATACTAGTTAGTGAATCCTTCTTAGAATTTTTCTTATCATTGTTATTATTATCACCGGAAGAGTCATTTAAGTCCTGATCTTTGTTAGCACTATTCCAAAAGCTCCAAGTAGACGAACTCTTCTTACGATCTTGTCCAACATGATCATCAATTTCATCGCCATTATCGTCTGGAGTATAATCATCTCTATCTTCAGCATAATCATCTTCCTCTACGGCATCTTCGTTATCTTGAAGCTGCTGTCTATTGCCCTCATCATACTCGAGTCTTCCCAGCTTGCTCGACCAGCCCAACCAGTTACCTGCTGTCATTGATACTAACGAGTTTGTCGAAGACTTAGGATTTAAAGAGGGGTTGCCAGAATAGCTTCGTTTTTTTGAACTTGACCTTGAACTATCTAAAATGGGAGACTTAGACCTTTCTTTCAATGAGCTGTTTTCGTCAGGTTCGCTTAAGCTCAGTGCACGTACTTTTGAATTCCATAAGGGAAGCCAACCGTTGGAGTTTGAGTTTGAGTTTAACCTAGACATTTGTGGGGGAACCCAGATCTTACTTTAGCAGTTCTTGTTCGGGGTAAGTTTTGGTTATCTTATATCGAAAACGGCTCTGCTTCTACTTTGCTATGGTCTTTATCCGAATGATCAATGGAATCCTCAAAGTTTAGCAAATAGAAGAAGTCTGACATAAAAAAGTTGTAACTCTTACCAAAATTGCCATTTATCGTACTTTTCTACGTGAGCATTCATTTTTTTTTTTTGTTTTTGAGGGTTGAGATCTTTCATATGATAAATATATCTATTGAATACATAAATATATCTATTGAATACATAAATATATCTATTGAATACATAAATATATCTATTGAATACATAAATATATCTATTGAATACATAAATATATCTATTGAATACATAAATATATCTATTGAATACATAAATATATCTATTGAATACATAAATATATCTATTTTATAGACAATTATATAAGATTCTATAAAACTGATAACATTGGTCGGGTCATATGAGCTTGCGGTACTCGTTGAGAGCTTCCAAGGATGTAGAAGAACCTCCACAGACAATGACAATAACAATGTCATCTTTTGATAAGGAACCGAAAGCCTTTTCGAGTAAGAACTGTTTGTCTAAGGCTACGTTAATAGCAACTCCACAAGCAGGTTCGATAAGCAGATGGAAAGTATCGTAAAACTTGATAGTACCGGCGAGGGCATCTTTATCATCTAATAATTCAACGTGGGTTTTATGAGCCTTATAATTACGGAGTGATTTTTCGGAGATGTAAGGAGAAGCTAACGAGGTAGCTAAGGTCTTCACTTTGGTTAAATTAACAACTTTATTGGCACTTATGGCTTCGGTGAAAGTAGGTGCTTGTTTAGTTTCGACTGCTAACACTGGAACTTTGGATAAATTTTGGTTTCTTTCCAATCCAGCAACAATTCCATTGTATAATCCACCTCCTCCAACACTACAGATTACTCCTTTAACTCGAGATAACTCAAGTGGGGATAATTGGGTAGTGATTTCGTCAATCATGACTCCGTGGCCCTCCCAAATGAGTTCGTGTTCAAAAGGATGACAGTACACCGGATATACTGAATCATCCAAGTTTCCCATTACCTCTGTTCTCAAGTAGTCGTCGGCCTGACCCCAATGTTCCCCTTGGACAATAACTTCGGCATCCAATCCCTTTAATTTGTCAATCACGGCTTGACTGCTGACTTTAGGAAGCACAACACAACATTTAGCACCCAACAGCTGTGCAGCATAAGCGGCTGCTAGACCAGCATTCCCACCGCTTGATGAAAATACTCGAACCGGTTTGTTTTCGCTTTTAGCCTTGTCCAAGGATTTGCTAATCAAATGACCTATTCCTCGAAGCTTGAAGCTTCCTGAAGGCTGTTCGTACTCATTCTTGAAATAGACTTGACAGCAAGAGTCTGCTATATGGTTGGTTATATTGGCCAAAGTAGTCTTAATAGATGGTTCCATATTCTCAATTGTTAGATAAGCGTTTGGCTGGAGATTTTCCAATTTTTTTCAAGTGCTCAAAAATCTGGAAGAAGCCTGATATAATATACCCTTCTTCTTTCCAAATGAAAAGGACATGTCCAAGAGATCTAAACAACGCCAGTTTGGTAAATCAGAGCTGTTCAACTCAATAAACCCAGAGTATGAAGATGAAATATTAGAGGCGTATGGGTCTTTAACGATTGAGAATCCGGATCTCAATCTTGTTAAATTGCCTGAACTTTTCAGTGTTTTACAAATACCGTCTTGTTTCTGTCAAGACATAAATTTATGTATTGATTATTACTATGAACATATGCAAGATATCGAGCAATTCGATTCTACAAATCATAAGCAGTATATAACCATGCAGTTGATCAAAAACGTAACCATTAGCAGCAACATCGATGATGTCTCAACTATCTTGGATATTGTGGATATCGATAAGTTAATCAAGATTACTGACAAACTTTTGAAATTCAGGGATTTTTATCAAACTATCTATGAAAGTTGGAAGCTATTTATAAATGCTTCCCATCTGGACTCCGAATTGAACGAGCAAAGCATTTTATCGTATAAGTTGACCTTACCTGATTTGAAAAATATTAAAACATCTCTCAATTTAGATTATGAAAGTAATGGGAAATACTCTTTAGGTGACTCATTCTTGATAGACATGTTGGGATGTTGTTCCACAGACCCCAATGGTAATATGTCTAATTACGACTTTTATAAAATCAAAAGTGGATCTTCCGTTACAATAAAGGATTTTGCTGAGATCTTGGGTAATTTGGGAGAATTTGACTGAATTCAAAAGCTAACTAACTGCAAATGGATTATTATGAATCTCAACTTCATTTATCCAAGTTTCTTTTTTCCATTTTCCTCTTAGTTTACCATTCTTCTTCATTTTTTCTTCATTATTAAGTTCAGGATCCTTTTCGATTGTTTCAACTGCTTCGAGTCCATCAATAACGTTTCCGATCACAGTATACCTTTCTTCTTCAATCAATGAACTCTTGTACTCGTCCGAAAGACAGATGAAGAATTGTGATCCTAATTTATCAACCATATCTAGATTATTCACCGTCAAAACTGACCCTCTTTTAATTTCAAAGGCAGGCTCTTCACTAATTCGAAGTTCATGCGACTTAACAAGCTTATCTATGGGATGGTTGACATCGGCAGGATTGGACTCTTTTCCAGAATTAGAAGGATCCCCACTTTGTAATATAAACTTGGGAATGAATCTCAAGATTTTGTTATCATTATATGACCCTTTGGCACAATGTCTTAAGAAATTTTGGACATGTTTTGCTTGAGCTTCGTTCTTCAAAATTAGCTCAATCTTTATGGGCCCGGTCTTGGTGTGTAGCTGAATTATTAGTTAGTATAATCTATCGTCGTTATTCGTGTGTAATCGTATACTTACCGTCACTGACATGTTCTTCGTGGCAGTTGTTCTGCTTTCTTTGATTGATTAAGTTTGTAGTTTAAAGAGAAAAAAAGATCGATTCTGAAAAATAATAAAAAAAAAAAAAATACATTTTTGCAAACATCTTGATACCCAGAATTCTCTGTTCATTCTCTGAGGCAAGTCGATTGGAGTGAGTTAAAGGTATCTTTATAATGCTGGAGCTGCATAAAAGTGATCCAATCGATGGTCCAAGCTTGAATCCTCACCTACTATTTGAAAAACCAACGTTTGATAAGGTTCAGTCAGAATTACTAGAATTCTTTCTTGATGTAACGGGTACAGGGGAAGAGATACGGAATTTCAATAACACCAAGCCGTTTGATGAGTTGTTATACCATCTTGAGACTAGTTTCACCAGAAACTATGAGTACGGTGAGAATAAAGAGATTATAGACTCGTATTTAAAAATCCCTTCGGTTGTTGTGCTACATTTATTATTGACATTAGCTTCACGATGCCCCAGAAGTAATTGGACTAAAAGAGGCTCCTTCTTTGAAGGTATTCAGTCAACTCATGAATATGTTCAGACTTTCAATCATGAGTATGACAATTGCGTATATAAACCTCCTCTAAAAGATCGATCATTATACATATTGCAAAAATATCTAGACGTGATATGCTCGATAAATCGTGGTGAAGAATTGAAAAGTTCAACTCTACAAATTTATAAAAATCTCCTTACAGTCCTTAATGATACTATAATACGACGTCCCTCAATCAACACTCGCCCCCAACTTAAGTCTCCTACGAAGAGGAAAAAGCCATCTAATGTATCTTCTAAGTCCAATAAAATTGATATCACTAGCATGTTTAAATCAAAGTCCCAGAGGACAAAAGCTGACTCCGATACTAATGATAAAGATGATGAACCACAAGAAGATTTCTCTCGGCTAAAGTATAGTAACATGACGGACTTCAATGATGAAGTAATAAGCAATTCGGAAGATGAAGAAGACATTCTTGGAACGGATATGGTTGAAGAAATTTTGAAGTACAAAGGTATGAATCAGACCCCTCTGAAGACGGAAAAAGCGTTTCAAGACAGTATTTCCAGCAACAATAAAGCTTCGGTTTTATTTCAATCAATGTCTGAAAACTATATATCGGAAGTTTCTGATCTGAAGATGCCAGCTTCAAATAATCTGTTTATCAGTAGCCGGATTTCAAATCCTAGTATTGCCAAGATAAATCTATTTGATGAAGAGCTATTAGCAATTAGTTTGAACCGTCCTAAAAGATATAATCTATGGAGCTTGATGCAATGGATGTTTTCGTGTGCAGATAAGTCTACAAAATATCAAAAATACCTATTTGATTCGGCTGGAACTAGCTATCATAGTTTATATCTGACTTATAAAGGAGTTTTACAATTTATTTTTAAATTCACCGCTTTTAATTTTCTTTATGAGTTAAACAACTTGTTGAATTCTTCTGCTTCCCCCGGCGACGATTTAATCGAACGATTCGAAAATAGTACAAGGCAAACCCAACTACTTTCATGTATGAATAATGATAACAGGTTTCTTCTACTGCTGATAGTTACTCAGTTAGGGATAAGTCCTAATGATTGGCATGATAGGGCAGTTGAATATCTATTTACAGGTCTTGAAATCCCAAGTAGTTATGAACCTCAACCGTGTTACGAAAGAGAAAAATTATTGATTAAGCAAGATTCATCATTGATAAATAAAGGCAAGGGAACTGCAATTGAGTACGACGATAACGTGGATTCTATGGGATTCCGTTATGAAGCTTTGCTTATTTTGTATATCAGATCATTATTTTTCGATTCCAATGATATTGAAGATAAACCTACCGCATATTCTGACCAGTTTATCAAATTGTTGGGTAATGCATTACTAAAGATCAAGTTTAAATATTTTGAAGCTTTTTTTAAAGCCCATGGAAACAATTCTATCTCTGTAATCATCCCTAAAAAATATGAAAAAAAATTCATTTTTAGTCTAATTGATTATTTAATTACTGAAATTACAAAGCTTGTTGAAATTTACGATATACTTCCTAATTTGGATGAAAGTTCGGAAGAAATTGCAAAATCTGTTGAATTCTTCATTTTAGAAGAGTACATCTATCAAAGCGTTACAGACGATGTTACACATGAATCCTGGGAAAGCTTCAAATGCATTTGGCTTAAACTTAATTTTCTTATTGCAACATATTTTTACTATCAAATAATGGATATTGGATTGAATGACTTTTCCAGTGATTTTATTGACAAGATTAAAAAACTTGACAATTTCAGAATAGATCTATATAATGCATTCATTGAAAAGCATTCATCAAAGTCTACCTTTCACGATGATTACAACTTTATGATTGACGAAAAAGATAAGGATCGATATTTGATAACTGATACTTCCGAGGTTCCTTGGGTCAATTTCAAACTCTTAGTAGATTTAAAAATGGCTTCGCAAAAGTAAATTCAACTACATTATTTCTATATAAATAATCATAATTTTTAACTTTTTATTTATTTTCCTAGAAAGATTTTATTTGATTGATTGTAATCTTAGTATGACTAATAATACAGGTTAATTAGTGGAGAATGAAGCTTAAATTATATGCTTAACTTTGAAGTAATGTCTCAAATATTGAATTTGCCAAACACCTAACCCAACTAAAGCACAAATAACGATTAAAGAAAAGTTTTTAACTCTTGAATTGGTAGATTCATTGGTATCTCTCATTCTTTCTTCTCTTCTCTTTAAATATTGTAATTCATTAACAATTTCAGAGGTCATTTCTTCAATTCTAAGTAATTCAACTTCAACTGGTTTTAATTTTTCAGCTGCTTGAACTGCATTCCAATCTCTTGCGGCAGCACCACTTTCAATATCTAATTCAATATGTCTAGAAACAGCGTGTTTAGAATATTTACTTTCTAATTGATTAGTGAAACAAACGTCAAAAGCTGCACTATGATGACTGGTAAATGCAACTCTAATATCACCAGCGATATCGTTTCTACGACTATGTTCATTACCCAAAGAGTCAACAACTCTCAAATTCAATTGTTGTCCATCTCCAACACGTCCATCAGTCTTCAAATTAACAACTACCAATTGACCTTCAGCAACAAAATCACGAATACATGTTGGTTCTGGCTTAGTGGAAGCTGAAACTTCTAATTGCAAACAACATACACTGGCCAACAAATACGAAATAGCAAATATAAATGAGGATGATAACAACATCTTGATGACTTTTCTACTCTTCCAAGTATTTTAATATCTTTAATAAGATCCTCGTATGTCAAACCCTTGGTTATTAGAGGAGTACTTTTTTCCCAATACTTCTTCAGAATTGATTCTATTTTCGATCTATGAATAGCGTGTCCAGTATTCAAGTTTTGCTCAGTTTTGTTTTGAAAAAAAAAAAAAAGAGAAAAAAGCCTGTTTTTTGCGCGTCATTGGGTCAAATAGAGCAATGTTTGCCAACTTTGTCGGATATTTCCTCATTAGGAAGTCTATGATACTCACTAGAAGAACGAAGTTAAAAAAATTGAAAAAAAAAAGTGAAAGTTGAACTACTTTTCATTTAATCATCATCGATTGACTACAGGTGGAAAGATAGACTCAAGATGGCCAAAGCTAAGACTCTCCATACTATGGTTAAGCTTGTTTCTCAAGCAAAAACAGGATATGAAAAATACTTCCGTATAAATAGACAGTCTCCAAGATTGAATTTGATTTTGTATGATCCAAGGGCCAAAAGACACTGTCTTTTCACCGAATCAAAGAGAAGAAAGGTGCCGGATGTTATTCCTAAGGATTACACCAGATCCCATCGTGTTTAAGGGATTTGCTCTAGCATTTCATGATTTATTTAACCTCTCCACTAACCGTTTCTATTCGCCCTTGTATATAATATTTTGTATCTTTACCTAAATGATATATTTACGTTTAATGTCAACTAGCCACCTGTAGGTATTTTGCTACATTGTCCAAGTAACCAGAGAAGAGATATGATGAATTAAGCTACATAATGATTCATTTGGAGTGCTAAAAAATTCATATTGAATGAAAAAAAAAAAACGGAAAAATAATGAAGGATGCGAGGTTCGAACTCGCGCGGACAACTGTCCAGCAGATCTTAAGTCTGCCGCCTTAGACCACTCGGCCAACCCTCCATTTTATAAATGTTGATTCAATTTGGCTTTTATTCTGTATATATTTCAGTAGACACAAATTTTAAAGTTATTTTTTTCGCCAGGTCAGGACTTTCGACTATCGCAGAAGCAGGAGTCAGAAAGACTTCCTGCGTTACGCAGAAAGGCTGCAAAAAAATTGGTTTCTTATTATATTTCGGCACTCAATCTATAAATTAAACTAAGTAGTTCCTCTGGGAACTCAACTCAGTCAGCACAAACCATCTCTATCACATCACTTAATTCAACATGGGTTTTCTTGACTAAACATAGTCTTTCCCACTCTAGGTATATATTAGTAAATAGTTATTAAATAAATATTCTTATATGTAAAAAAAAAAAAAAAAAACGTCAAAAAAAAACATCTTCGGATAGTACATTCGTCAATTTTAACAATACAGAGAAGATTAGCATTGTCCTTGCATAAAGATGACACGCTTTACAAAGAGATTTTACCATTTTTAAAAAAAAAAAATCCAGCTTCAGGGGGTTTATTTTGACTTTACCGGCTTTAAATTATTTGGTATACTCAATTGAAATAGGTGGAAACTCAATTTTTTCTTTATTCAGTTATTGAATCAAATAAATGTGCATATTTTGAGCCATTTTCTCTTGAAGAAATGTCCAGCACTCTTGGCTCTTTCTCCTGTCTGCCTCTGTATGCTTTTACTTCCTTTACTTGACTTATCCGTGGAGCAGGGATGAAAAGAAACAAAAGCACACATTAGAAAGTCCTTCTTAGTCGCCATCGATTCTTTTTTTCATTTTTCAAAAGCAAAATAAACCCCAAACACAGCTGTCTGATCCCGGAAACAAGAAGTACATCTGCTTGTTTTGAGTGGGTTGGCTGCAAAATTATTTATCTTTGTTCTGATTTTATATCTTGCGGAATTTTGTGAAGCTATGGAAAATGAGTGAAGTAAACTGAAAGGGCTACAAGAATGATATAGTTTATTCAAGGTAAAAGTGTAAGGTAAATTGAGTTACAGCAGTATAGACATGGTACTAAAGAAGAACTTCTTGAGAGATGAGTAATTTGACTTCCAAGACCCAGCGGTTAAGAAATGTTTTGTAGATTTCTCGTTGAAGTTCTAATTCACGGGGAATCATCTTTAACGGCAGTTTTTAGTAAAGCAAATTGCAAATTCACCATTTGAGCCTTCGGTTACTTTAGAGTGACAAGGAAATCGTACTTTTATTTTTTTGCAAGAAAACCCCCCTTCGTGTCTATAAAATTCGAAAGCATAACTTAGAGCCGATCATTGTATCACAATTAGTCTTATTATTATTGAAGGCATAACAATGATTTCTGTTCAGATATAATGAAATTCTGTTGAAAATAATTTTGAAATCTTTGTCTTTATATGGGGAACCAAATTCATCTTCTAGAATTATTAACTGTTTCCAACTTGTTACGATTTGAATAAGGAGCTGGTATGTCTGTTGATATAAAAGAACTATGTTTGTTAGTATAAAGGAACTCTTTTTTTCTTGATAGCAAATTGTGTCTAGCAATGATAAGGCAATACCTTGATTAAGGCTTTATAGTTTATGTAATTAATTTACGAATACTTCTTTATGACATGGAACATTCTTTTTGCTTACGATCTAGATAAATGGAACCTTTGAGTAAGAACTCGGGTCAACCTAGGTAAGAACTTATCTTCTAATTTGTTGAAAAGTTCCCAAGAGAATTATTTTAAATTTTCTGTTCAACCGAGTTTGAAATTCTTTTTCATAAAACCCCACCAACAGCTACGTCGAATTCTCTTTTTCATATTCTTGATTGCATTATATTATGTTTATGTTGATTTTTCTACACTGTTAAGAAAATATCTATATTAAAGGATTTTGTAAGCCATTTAATTTCTAATATTTCCCAAAAACTGGTTTTCGCAATGCTTCCTGGTTTTTAATACAAAGTTAAATATTGCATGCTTTTAAGTTTATTAAGATAAGTTCTCTTTCGAACAAAAGTTATTTACCACCTAATATTGTTGAATACCTGATAACGCTTGCACGTGGTACAGCTTTTCATTTAGCAATTTTGAATTTGATGCTATGGATTTAAGGAGATTAAATGTCATTGTGTCTTCATTATTAAATAAATAGAACTAAATATAAGAGTTTAATTCTTGAACAAAAACTATGGCGAAAGTAGACAATTTCGCAGTTAAAACAGAATGCGCGGTTGCAAAAAAGCAAAAAATAATGAAGGATGCGAGGTTCGAACTCGCGCGGACAACTGTCCAGCAGATCTTAAGTCTGCCGCCTTAGACCACTCGGCCAACCCTCCACTTTCTTGTCGTGGGAAGCACATTTTGACTTTATAATAATATTAAATGGTTTTTGAAAAATTATAAGGTTGTTACCGGTGATTTCATTAGTATTGGCAATCTCAAGTGTATCATGGTTAGCCAGCTTACCACTTCAAGGTAATTATCGAAATGTATATATATCAGAAAATGCATTAATGCCATAATAATCAGTTTTAGACAATATTTGGAATATAAAAATATCAATTAAGTTTTAGAGAGCTCTTCTTAGGTTTTTGACTCTGTCGGTTTTTTTGTGTCGTCGAAAAAATTAAGAAACGTACTGGGTAACAGATGGAAAAAAATCCCTTTCAGATTTTACATTTCAATATCATACTTGAAACAATATTATTTGTCCATAGCTCCAAAATACAACCGGGTCGTATACTCTTAAAATATAAGGTATATAAACGATGTATAAAATTACTTAAAATAAATTTTAAATAGAATACATTTATTGATTGTAAATACCATTTGCTTTCCTTTAACTATGAGGTTTCCCTAATTCTCAAGTGTTTTTCTTCTAACTGATAAGTGGACAGGCTTTTTACTTTATTTTTTTACGCCATAGTTATTGATTTGATGCTTCATTTGAAGTATTTTCAATTGTTGCAAAAAAATGAGAAAATTCGTGAAAAGTTTTGTTCAGCACTTTAGACTCTGTAAAATAAACAATTTAAAGGCAACTAGTACAAAGAAATCAAAATAATTTAAACGTATATTATTTACAGGAAATCTATATAGGAGTAAGTTGTATTAAATGATAATTAAGCTTCTATAATTGCAGCTAAAGATTTGATTTCCCAAGATGGATCAACCTTCAAATTTTCAGCATCACCAATAACGGATACGACATCTTGGTTACTGACCAAATATTTCTCTGCAACAGATTGTAAATCTTGTTGATTAACATCTAAAAACCTTTCTCTTCTTTCTTGTCTCATTTCATCAGTGATGCCTTCCAAAAAGTTTGACGAGCCTTGACTTGCAATATGACTTGGTGCATCAACACTTTGGAAGATGGCCAATTTCGCCTCTTGCAAATCTTTCAAGTCCCATGAACTGGTGATTTTATCAACAGCAATTTGAGGAGTGGCTTTAAAAGAATCAATCGACTTGAGAGGATTTGGATCTCTGTAAGAGTAGTAGTTAATGGTACCACCCAAACCATCAAAATTCAAACCACCACCGTAAGCACCATTGGCTTCTCTAATAACAGAATGTAAATGTTTAAAAGTTAAGAGTTGTGATAATACCTGTAATGAAGCACCATCTTTACTAGTATATTCAGCACCCAATTTGGCTAATGAAGCATATCCAACTGGGAATGGGAGATTTATCAAAGTTTTGCTACCCAAACCCAAATTGTTAGAGGCAAAACTTGAGGTCAATTGTGAAATTTGGTTGCTCTTGGAAATGTAATCATTGCTTGATTTCAAAGAGCTGTCAAAAGTCTGAACCAAAGTTTCATTCTCTATGACCGCATCTTTATCACCAACCAAATTGTATTCAAATCCACCACCGATGCCATTTTCAGTGAAGCCATTGACAATCAAACTTCTAATTTCTTGCAAGATAGGTAAAAGTTCGCTGGTTAAGAACTCCTTACCACGTTTCTCCAAGTTCTGGTTAAGTTCTGTAATGAACTTAACTTGCTCTAAGCCTCCTAATAAATCATTCACATACTTTGTAGGAGTGAGTCGAGCATTCGAATGTGCATTAGCATAAGAGTGTCCTCTTTCAGCTATAATATTAATTTGATTTTGAGCTAAATTCTTGATAAGAGTATATAATTTATCAACCACAATTTCATCATTAGGATCAAGTTTTGTATCATTCAAAATTTCGCTCCATAAATCATAAATATTTTGGGATTTGTCCTTTAATGACATACCATTAATTAAATATTTTAATTTGGTTTGACCAATATTATAAGGATCGGTTTTAGCACTAACATTGAAAGTGATACCACCGGTGAGCCTTTGAATTTTGGTTTCTAAGTCAACTATTGATGTTTTTGAAGTACCAGCCAAATTGGTCAAACAACTATTAAATAAAGGTAAGTATTTGTAGTATTTAGGTGGGAAATAAGATAAGTCTTTTGCACCAGTAACATAAATTAAGCCATTGCTATCAACAATTCTTTTTTGTATCTTTTTTGAATCATTATCAAACTTTGTGAATTGCAAAGGATAGAAATCCCCAGTTCTTGAAATATCTTTAAGGGTTAAAGTAGGTAAAACTGAAACATCTTCTTGTTTTTGTTGATTTTCCAACAACATTTTACTTCTTTGATAAATGATATCTTTATCTTCTTCATTCAATTGAGATACTTTTTCATTTAATCTTTGAGCTTCTTCATTAACCAAATCCTTACTAAAGCTTTCGGAAGGTTCCATGGTGAATTTAAATCTTTGAGTGTTTTCATTTAAAAGAGTATTCTCAACCATTTCTTTGAAAAGATTTAAACCATTTTGAGAATAATCTTCTTTGAATCTATTCAAAATATTTTCAACTTGTAAAGTTTTAATTGGATTAAGACCATTCACCCACGAAGAAACCACCGAGCTTAAAAGACCCAAACCAAAATCTGGTTTGTGTTTCTTGAAATTTAATTCAATTTGATGTAAAAGTGCATCGATTCTTTCAGTGTATTTACTTTCTGAGCCTTTACAAAACTCTGGCAATACTTTATCATTCAATATTTGAATAATTTTAGATTCCAACCCTTCAACTTTCTCTAATGAAAGGTTGTTAAGACCCATGCTAAAAGATAAAAGAGCAGTTGTCGAATCCAAACCCGAATTGATTGAAAAATCTTCACCATATTGAGTTTCGATTAATTCTTGATAAAATGGTGAATTGTGACCATCACAAAGTAAGGAACTCAAAATTTTCCATTTAAAAATATCATACTGTTGAGATTCATCAAGAGGGTTACCAATAGCCCAAGTAATTGAAGATTGATATTGCTCATTAGCAGGTTTACTTGACATGGTATCAACAGGACCTTTAACAACGACATTAAATTTATCTTTTGGTAAATTATTTGACAGGAAAATAGGTTTTCTTACAATTGGTTTGGCATGACGATTACCAAATGGAATCAAAGTTTCATTTAATTTTTGCAAATGGTTAATCAAAGGTAAAGAACCGTAGGTAAAAGTTTTAGAATTTGAAGGATGATAATTATTAGAATGATAATCAATTAAATCTTCATATTGTAAATTAGTAATTTTGGAAGGATCACCCCCAGAGTTTTTCAATGAGGCATAAATTGATTCTTGAAATTTAATCCAATAATAATATGCGGTACTTGAGTATTGACCCTTCATTTCATTATAAACAACCCCTTTAAAAATGATATCACTTTTTGGATCATCAAGGTTAGATTGTTCTAATCTCCATCCTTCTTGCATGAAATCTTCATAGGATAATAAAGGTTCGAAAACTGAAGATAAATAAACATCCATCAAATTTTCGAAATCTTTTTGATTAGTTGTTGCAAATGGATAAAAAGTATAATCATGACCAGTCATAGCATTCATGAAATTACTTAATGAACGATTAAGCATCTTAAAGAATGGGTCCCTCACTGGATATTTTGCAGAACCACATAAAGTAGTATGTTCTAAAATATGAGGTACCCCAGTTGAATCCGGAGGATTTGTTTTAAATGCAACCAGAAAGACATTATTCTTATCATGAGGAGCGTCCAAGTGTAAATGCTGCAGTCCAGTTTTACCATGCTTCAACTTGACAGCAACTAAAGAAAACTCTGGAATTGGCTGAACGTTTTCAATAACGTAACCGTGAACGTTAAGACCAACTGGATATTTACTCAAAGATTCAAGCTGAGATGCAGATGGATGGACAGAAGTAGCCAAACATCTTTTTCTCAAGAGAGAAGTGCCACTGCTTCTCATACCGGCAGCATTAGAAGATGCTGCTCTTGCGTATCTAAGCATTTTTAGTCGGTGTGGGAGTAGAGGATGTTGCAAATGACAAACCTTTTTTAATTGGAACTATATTGCCTTCATAGCTTTCAGTATACTTTTTTTCTCTTCCAAATTTTCCAACCCGTACATCAAACGATCAATCAAGCCCGTACACCAAAACGTTCTGATTTTCCGATTTCTTTTCTTTTTTTTCGTTTGACGTAATGCCCCAACCTTAATCAACAAATACATGCAACTGAGTCTATAGAGAGCTTAAAGCTTATGCGTTTGGAGAGCAGTAGAGAAGAACGGAGCCTCTGGAATAAAGTAGAGTGATAATGTAGTTTTAAGTACAGACAGTGAAATGAAGGCTATAGAGTGCTTTTGGCCGTGATCAAATACCGGGCCGTTTCAGCAGTTTTGATTGTTGAATTTTTTTTCCTCGACCTTTTTTATCTTTTTTTTTTTTTTTTTTTTTTCAATACCTAGTTTTTCACTTTACTTGATCTACGCTTGAAAGGCCCATTATCACTAGTATGAGTAGTACGAAGGTCCAGGATACCGTGGTGGTCAAAACTTCCGAAGTAGCTGCGGTGAAACCAGTTAAAAAGAATAGTGCACAGCAGATATCTACATTGGGAGGATTTATATCTGGAGGGATAGCAGCATGTGGAGCAGTTACTTTCACCAATCCTATTGAATTGATTAAGACTCGAATGCAATTACAAGGAGAGTTGAGCAAGAATAGCGATGCTCCTAAACTTTATAGGAACCCAGCTCAAGCATTTGTACATATATATAGAAATGAAGGTATAAGAGGATTACAACAAGGGTTGGTATGTGGATATTTGTATCAATTAGGGCTTAATGGATGTCGATTAGGGTTATATGAACCAAGCAGATACTACCTTACCAAATATTTGGACTCTAATAACTTCAAAGAAGATGGAAGTATACCACAAAATTTATTTATAAATGTATTATCGGGGATTATATCCGGGAGTGCAGGAGCAGTGGTGGCATCGCCATTTTTCCTTATTAAGACCCGAATGCAATCGTATTCTAAGGCATCAATTGGTGGAGGTCAAGAAGTTGGTCAACAAACTTACTATAAAAATACATTTGATGGGCTTGGTAAAATTTATAAATCAGAAGGCGTTAAAGGATTATTTAGAGGAGTTGATGCAGCTATTTTACGTACTGGTGCAGGATCAGCAGCTCAACTACCAGTTTATAATGCTGCAAAAAATTTCTTATTAAAGAATAACGTTGTTAATGAAGGTTCAATCGGATTGCATTTTCTTGCTTCGAGTTGTGCTGGTTTAGGGGTTGCTATTGTCATGAACCCCTGGGATGTTATATTAACCCGTGTTTATAATCAAAAGGGTGATTTATACAAGGGACCTATTGATTGTTTCGTTAAAACAGTTAAATCAGAGGGTCCTACTGCGTTATATAAAGGATTTTGGGCTCAGTTATTCAGAATCGGTCCTCATTCAATCTTGACCTTAATGTTCATGGAACAGGTCTTGAAAGTTGCCGTCAAGGTTGAATCCAGATTAAAGTTAGACTAGTTATAGATTAATTTTACATTTATTTATTCGTATTTGCAGCTTTACGCACACCAGTAGCATCACCAGTAAACAATAAGCACTATCAAGTAAACAGCAAGTACGAACACCGGTGAACAGAGTGAACAGAGTGAACAGAGTGAACAGAGTGAACAGAGTGAACATCAGTAAACTAGAGTAACACCAGTAAACTATTCCAATCGCAAAACACCCCTACACCAAAAAACACCCCATCTCAATCAGAATGAAAAACTGTTCAGCGAAAACTCAACCCAACGCTCTTTCAAACAAGCATCATGTCAGCCCAGAATAACAAGGTCAGACCAGCCAGAAGGTTATTGGAAGTGAGCGGTAAGTGCTCAAAGGAAGGAATGGCCTACGGTCAATGCGTGTTGAGCACGTATAGTACCATAGCGCCCAATTCGTGCCAGCAAGAATTTGAACAATTCAAAGCATGTATCACCAAAAACTTGAACGGCAAGAAGTGGTAGATCGTACTTCACTGTTCTGTTACGTTTTTCTGAACTTTTACTATCGATATGAGGTTTTGAAATTCACCATGAACTACATCATATACGGGTATATCAAACTATCAAATCATTTACTGGTATATCTAACTATTAAGTCATTTACCTATCTAACTATTAAGTCATTTACCGGTATATCAAACTATCAAGTAATTTACCACTTCATCTATTGATCGTTTACCACCATATCTATTAATCGCCCACCTATCAAACTATTAATTCATTTACTACTACATCATTTATTAACTCATTTAACTATTAAAATAATCTACACCCATACACCAACCTTAATCAACCTCGGTAGAGTTTTTGGGCACACTCACACGACCCACCATTCCTCCCCCGCCTAAAGCCAATTGCTTCATTGAAAAGTCACTCTCCACAGACTTAAACTTGTTTATAGACTGAGCTTGTTTATAGACTAAACTTGTTTATAGAACTTGTTTATATACTGAACTTGTTTAGTTTTAGTTATTTAATAAAGAAAATTCATTGTATAGGGTTGTAAATCCAGAGGTTCGGTGGTATTCATCAGGATTACAAGATGATTAACTTTTCTAAACTAGCTGGATATAAGAAAGAGGATGTTAGGAATCTTCTATTGATTTTACAAGAATTTGTTATTGTTTATCGTGATAATAAGGTAAAGATTAATTATCAATCAAGACCGGTGGTATTATTTTTGGGAACGTTGGTTTCAACTTTTGGATTAGGAATTATATTTATATTAAGAAGTTTAATTCATAAGTATAATGAAATAAGATTAAATAATAAGCAAAGACGTCCGGATTTGATTAGACAATCATCAACTATATTGAAAAATGGATCAAGAGAAATCTTCATACCTAATGGTAAAGGTAAAAATGGTACTAGTAGAATAATCATCCCCAAACCCAATTTAGATCAATACGCAGCTGATAAATATTTGTATAAGAATTTTGTGATTGATCAAAAATTAAAACAACAAAAGAATATATTAAATTCCAAATTTTTAAATCAATTGATTATTATTTGGAGAATATTGATTCCAAAATTTTATTCGAAAAATACTTCACTTTTATTATCTCAATGTTTTTTCCTTATTTTAAGAACTTGGTTATCTTTATTAGTTGCTAAATTAGATGGTCAAATTGTTAAAAATTTAATTGGTGCTAATGGTCGTAAATTTGCTCGTGATTTGATTTATTGGTTATTAATTGCATTTCCTGCTTCTTATACTAATGCTGCAATTAAATATTTAACGAATCGATTATCTTTAAGTTTCAGAACTAATTTAATTAGATACATTCATGATATGTATCTTGATCAAGTTATGGCTTATTATAAAATTTCTTTTAATGATTCTCAACTGCAAATTTTGAACATTGATCAATATATTACTAATGATGTTACTAAATTTTGTGATTCAATTTGTGGGTTATTTAGTAGTATGGGTAAACCTTTAATTGATATTGTTTTTTTCGCAGTTTATTTAAGAGATAACTTAGGTACTGGGGCAATTGTTGGTATTTTTGCTAATTATTTTTTAACTGCTTGGTTATTAAAATTTAATACTCCATCTTTTGGTAAATTAAGTGCTAAAAAGACTCATTTAGAAGGTCAATATTATAACCAACATTTAAATTTAATAACTAATTGTGAAGAAATTGGTTTTTATAAAGGTTCAGTTATCGAAAAATCAAAATTATATGAAACTTTCCAAAATTTAACTAATCATATTTCAAAAGAAATCAAAGTTTCTTTCAATTATTCAATATTAGAAGATTATATTTTAAAATATACTTGGTCTGCTTGGGGATATATTTTTGCTGGATTACCAGTGTTTTTAGATGATATTTGGCCAAAACATAATGATCTGGATGATACTTCATCAGTTGATTCTTCAAATTCGTTAGAAAGTAATAAACCAGCTAAAGTTAATGAACGTCAAAACATGAGACAATTCATTATTAATAAAAGATTAATGTTATCTTTAGCTGATGCCGGATCTCGTTTAATGTATTCAATTAAAGACGTTAGTGAATTAACTGGATACACTGATCGTGTGTTCAATTTATTAACTAATTTACATTTAGCTCATTCACCAACTTTTAATTATGGATCAAAATTAGGAATAAATGATATACATGGTACCATTCAACGTAATTATGTTGAAGGAATTAGATATGAAGATATTCCAGTTATAATCCCAACAATTGAAGGATCAGAAAATGAAAAATTAATTGAAGGATTAAATTTTCAAGTTAAACAAAATAAAAATTTATTGATCTTAGGTAGTAATGGATGTGGTAAAACATCAATTGCAAGAATAATTGCAGGATTATGGCCAGTTTATTCAGGATTACTATCAAAACCAAGCGACGAAGATATTTTTTATTTACCACAAAAAACTTATTTTACTAATGGTAACTTAAGAGACCAAATCATTTATCCTCATAATTATGACGAAATGATTGAAATGGGTTATAATGATGATCATTTATATCATATTTTGAGAGAAGTTAAATTAGATTATCTATTAAATCGTGAAGGTAATTTCAATGTTCGTAAAGATTGGAAGGATGTTTTCAGTGGAGGTGAAAAACAAAGAATTAGTATTGCCAGGGTTTTATTTAAAAATCCAAAATTTGTTATTTTAGATGAAAGTACTAATGCTGTTAGTACCGATGTTGAAGATTACTTATTTGAATTATTACAGAAAAAGAAAATTACTTTTATTACTTTGAGTCATCGTCCATTATTAATGAAGTATCATGATTTTATTTTAGAAATTAAAAACGAAAATGGTGATTCTTCGGACTGGAAATTTCACGATTTAACCAGCGAAGAGAATTTGAAGAGTATTGATAATGAAATAAATGAAATTAGTAAAAAATTATCTAAAGTTAAAGAATGGGAATCTAGAAAAGATGATGTTGAATTATATTTGGATGGTAAATACGATGATATTGAAGAATCTGCCATTGAATTACCAAGTGACTCCATTCCCCTGTTGAACTAACGACTTATGATTACATAATATACTGCTTATATACTTATATACTTATATATCTATACCTATATCTATATTTATTTAAATCTATCTATCTATATCTATCTATATCGATTTATCAGAACGCGTACGCGTGGGGAAACTACCGGCAAAAACACTACCAGCGAAAAAAAGGAAAGGAGAAGAGAACGAAAAAAATTTTGCCTTTGGGAAAAATCCAAGCAGCTACTTCTTTTCATTAATAGTGATATAATCAATCATGTCTGAACCAATTAGAAGTAAGCAAGGAGACATTTCCAAGGCCCCAACTCCACAGAATACCCCGGCATCGGTTACTAATCTGTATTTAAAGAGTCAACCACCAACCGTGAGTACCATTAGTGAAGGAAATGAAGGAGAAGAAAAAGATGATGAAAATAAGATTAGTAAACAATTAGCTAATAACCCAGCGTTATTATCAATGATTCAAGGTAAATTAGGTAATTTAGTTGGTCAACAAAGTGGATACGTTGATGGATTAAGTAAAGTAGTTAAAAAAAGGGTTTATGGATTAAAAGCTATTCAACAAGAACAAATGAAGTTAGAGGCTGATTTTCAAAAAGAATTATTAAATTTAGAAAAGACTTTTTTCAAAAAATATGAACCACTTTATGAAAGAAGAAGAAAAATCATTAATGGTAATGAAGAACCAAGTCTAGAAGAAATTGAAGAAGGAGAACAATTAGCTGAAGAAGATAAAGAAATTGAAGAAGAAGAAGAAGAAGAGGAGGAAGAAGGAGGAGAAGAACAAGAAGGTATTCCAGGATTTTGGTTCACAGCATTAGAAAATTTAAGTACCGTACGTGAAATTATAACTGATAGAGATAGTGAAGTATTAGAACATTTAATTGATATTCGAATGGAATATTTAGAAACTCCAGGATTTGAATTAATATTTGAATTTGATACTAAAAACCCATTTTTCTCTAATCAAATTTTAACTAAAACTTATCATTATCAAGCCGAATTAGGTTATTCTGGAGATTTTGTTTACGATCATGCTGATGGATGCGAAATTAATTGGAAACTGAAAGAATCTAACGTAACCATTAATATCGAAAGAAGAAAACAAAGAAATAAAACCACTAAACAAACAAGAACCATTGAAAAATTAACCCCAACCGAATCGTTCTTTAATTTCTTTGATCCTCCAAAACCACCAAAAATCAAAGAGGAAGAACAAGAAGAAGAAGCAAAAGAAGAAGACGAAGAAGACGAAGAAGATGAAGATGAAGATTTGGAAGCCAGATTAGAATTGGATTATCAATTGGGTGAAGAAATTAAAGATCGTTTGATCCCAAGAGCCGTTGATTGGTTTACTGGTGATGCCGTTGAATTTGGTTATCCTGATGAATTCGAAGGTGAAGAGGATGAATTCGATAGTGAAGAAGAAGAAGAGGACGACGACGACGAAGCCCAAGACGCTGCTCCAAAAGAAGCTCCTGCTGAATGTAAACAACAATAAGTATAATATCACGTTCACTATGTAATCATCGATATATTGTAGCCGTCCATGTAAACATCTCTGTAAGCATCTATGTAATCATACATCCATCAAGATAACCCAACCATCTAGGTAATTACCCATGCATCCATCAAGGTAATCCATCAAGGTAATTCCCCATGCATTCAGGAATTCCATTTGCAGCTGACCCAACCTGCAATAACCCAACCTGCAATGAGCCCAACCTGCAACTCTCACAGCAATCCTAATTCACATGCTCCCGAACGGCAGTTACGCCTTTTCCTCTAACAGAACAAAAAAAAAAAAGGAAAAAAATAAGTGAAAGGATAAGATTGAAAAAAAAAATTTACATCATTGTTTATCTTTGCATCTATTAGAAAAAAAAAAAGCCTATATAAATATGGCAACCCCTGGCCACATTTCTTGTATCCTTTAATTTTATTAATTAACTATTACTCATGTCTGAAGGCAAGTCATTTCAATCCACCAGTGTTAAACACATTGGTTCTTATCCCTTGGTCAAGTCCGTTAGTGACTTTTTACTTTCATTTAGTTTATTAAATTATTTTTATCAAGAATTATACCATTTTATTGGTATTTTCAATAGTAATATTAGTAAAGTTGAACCGATTTATAATGGGTTGGTATTTTTAGATGCTAATTTTGATCGTATGGTTTTAAGTCGTTTAGACTCTGTTATTGCTAAGACTCCTGACTTGAGTGCATACCATCCAGTAACCATTTATACTAAAAGTGTGGTTAAATTAAACAAAGATTGGTTGAAACCAACTAATGAAAGCATTTACAAGACTTATGATGCATATTTACCCGGGTCATTAACTGAAAATAAGACTAGTTTCAAGATTGACGCCGTCACCAAGGATGAGACCAAGATTGGACTGGAAATTTCTCATTTTGTTGAAATCTCAAACGAATTCTTGAACCGTTTGAAATACTACATTACTGGTAAGTCAAATGACGTTAGTGAAGCTTTGATTAATACTTATAATTCGGAATACGAAAAATTGGATGCTACTAATCCTTATTTTAAATCCGGTCAAGCTTCTTACAAGACTGGATTGACTTTGATTAACGATGTTAAGTCCGATTACTTTGTTCCCTTGAAAAATCAAGTCAATGACGTTGCTAGCCAAACCAAGACTAGAATCAATAACTCTATCAACTTGAACTTGCAACAAGTTGAAGAAAAAAAGAATGAGTTGATTAACGGTACTGCTAATCCTCCAGTTAGTGCTTCTGCTTAGAAAATGGCGCCACTTTTATATCGATTCCTTTTATGTTTTATATAATTTTCTTATTCTATTCAATTTTCTTTATTTAATTTCTTTATATAACTTTGTTTTAATTTAAATTTTATTGTATTTTGAACTCCTTGGTAGATCCTTTCAGGGTTCATGCAGGTGTATTGGTGCACGGGCCCCCTGATAAAGGATTAAGTTAAGTAGTGCATTTTACCGAGGAAACTGCTTTATATAGTCAATTCCCCCGACACATTGTGGGATGGTTAACTGGTCGGGCAAGTGCTGATTTAGTTTAATGCCAATCGACACCGTTTGACTCAAGCTGTCATGTTCCAAAATAATTCCCTGATTGTTTTTCTCCTTCTGGAACGTTTTAACATCTCTTAATATGGTTTCATCATTTTTCAGTAAATCGCCCACGGTTTTCCAATCAAAAGTATCAAAATCCCAAAGAACCAGTTGCATCCCAAATTGTCTAATGAAGTATCGTACCCTGTTATCCACTCCGCCATAAGGAGGACGAAACCATTTGGGTAGATGACCGGCAGTGGCATTCATTGCCCAAATCGACCATTGTAATTGTGCTACAATTTGTTCATTAGTTAATGATGGTAAAAAGGGATGCGACCAAGTATGGGATGCCATTATATGATTCTTCTGATGAGTCTTAAGATATATTTCTGGATATCTAATGATATTGAGTCCAATGGTGAAAAAAGTCGATTTTGTATTTGTTTTATCAAGTTGTCTCAATAATTGAGGAGTGTACTGGGATGGTCCATCATCAAAAGTTTGGCTCAATTTGGAACAAGTATGAATATCGTCAAAACTAACACAATTATGGCAATCAAATGAACACACACTGGAAACCTCGTTGGGAATCATGTCGCACTGGCCCTGTTTATGTATTGGAACCAGGGTTGGAACATTGAAATCAATAAAATCTAATGGAATATAAGGAGGATCAATTCCCGGCCATTCACTTAATCCAGTAAAGTCTTTCAACCATCGGGGAAACTCCAAAGAACTTGCTTTGAATACGTCTTGCTCGCCACCAGACTTCAACCTATTGATCACCCCGGCTTGCACAACCCCACTGAGTATCAATAAATTAACCCAATTCATCCAATTCACCCAGTTCATCGTTGAAGAAATGTTTGTGGTGAAGATTCGCAGCCATTTTTTTTTTTTTGCTCTTTTTTTTTGCTCTTTTTTTTTGCTCTTTTTTTTTTTGGCGTTTATTTTTTTACAGATAAGACCAAAGATATGATGCACGGGTGTATTTATTAACTATCTCTTTGATAACTCCTTTTGTAATCTATATACTTCTTTTTGCAATAAGTCATTTTCTTTACGTAAAATGATATTTTCATCAGTTTTGGTTTTTGCATTGGTGGTCACTCCCCCAGTGACCGGCGGGAGGGCAAACATCGAGTCTGATGATTTCCGTTTATTGTTGTGATGATTCAAACTGAGTGATCTCTTCATTGGTTTTGGTGATGTACTTGGTGCATTATTACCTTGTAATTTTAAATTTCGATTCTCTTCTTTCAAACTATTAATTTCCTTCATTAATTTCAACACTATAGCATCTTGTTCTTTTTCCATCAAATTAATAATCTCTTCGTGATCTTGTCTTTGATACTCATTCATTCGCAGCGCCTCATTATCTAACGACACTCTTCGACTGGGAGTAAAACTATTACTTCTACTTCGGCTTCGGCTAGTAGCAGACGCAAGTATATAATCACCACTAGGTTGCGGTGCTGATGGTGAATGACCTCCAACTGAACTCAGATGGCGACGGTTACTATTATTTGCGTTGGGGATACTAAATGATCCAAAACTTGAAATTGAATTAGTTGATGGTGATCTGGCAATTCTAATGTCATTATTTATGGTGGATACGTTACGTAACGATTGGGGATTACTCATCTTATAAAAATTCTTATAAAATGGGGTGATGAAACAAAAAAAAAGGGATTTCAACACTGATTTATATTTTCAAACTGTGGAGATAAAGAAACTGGAAAAAAAGACTGGAAAAAAAGACTGGAAAAAAAGACTCAAACTAAACTTGTCAAAACAAACAAAGTGGGTTAGTTTTAAAAGGGGTAAATACATATAACCGGTAAATCTTACCCTTTGATTGTGATTAGAATGTGGGTTAGTTGGTCTATTATTGAAATTTTTGCAAAAAAAAAAGTGACAATTGAAAAAGAAAAAACAAAATAAACGGATGTTATGGTGATTGAAGTATACCGATAATCCCTTTATATGCCTACATCTAGGTTCTTTGTAATGATTCTTTGTCCCTGTATCGTTATCTGCCTTGTGCAGAGGGGGAGCCTTGGTGTTTGGGTTTCCGGCCAACATTGCCTCCTTCCGTCACGTTGTCTTGGGGTATTAATTGCTTACTGTAAGCCAATGTAATAGTAAGCAAACAGTAGCGTACAATAAGCTAACAGTAAGCTAACAGTAAGTATCAGTAGAAGTATAAAACTACAAGTAACTCCAGTAATCAAGTATTATATAAAGTATATAAACGGGTAATGAGTAATGAGTAATGTAAATCAAACCAGTAAACTGAATGTCCTCAAGGCTCGATAATCCCGTACTTGAGCATCAGTTCAAGAGAGTTCAGGAGAGTTCAATGGTGTCGAAGAATCTGCTCAAGTATCTGTTCAAGTCTGTTAGAATTCACAGTGAAATGGGCAATTTCAGGCATTGTGTTACTTGATGAAACTTCGCGTTGATTTGAAAAGTTTTTCTTTATGACTTGTTAATCTGGACTAATTTATTCTTTAGCTACTGCTAGAGGATATACATGATGATATCAACTCGTAACATTCGTGTTATAGTGGCAGTATTTGCTATATTCTCAGTCATTCTCTTTTTCGCTTCCTCTCAACATTCGCTTGGAGATCAATTACAAAGAGTGAAACCGATTTCTCACCCTGATGCTTCTGATCATACAAGAATAGGTCAACCACAAGATAATAAAATCATTGATAATGCTTTGGATTCTGATATGAATCCAGGTTCAAACACTTTACAAGGTAACTCTCCTCATAAAGCTGGTTCAGAACCTCCATACGCTCAACCAAAAAAGAAACCGGAATCAAAGCCTTATAAAGATGATTCAAAACCAAAAATTATGGCTGATAAAGCAAATTCAAATTCTCCTTCCAATGAAAAACAAGTTGGTAAACCTTTATCAAATGAAGAACAAGTTGGGAAACCTAATGAAAAACAAAAACCTTCTCAAGATTGTAACCAAGTTGATTACGTTGTAATGATTGATGCTGGTTCAACTGGTTCTCGTGTTCATGTTTATGAATTTAATACTTGTAAATCTCCTCCAGTTTTATTGAGTGAAAAATTTGAAATGTTAAAACCTGGTTTATCTAGCTTTGATACTGATACTAAAGGTGCTGCTGCATCTTTAGATCCTTTATTGAAAACAGCGATGGAAACTGTTCCAAAGGATAAACAAGGTTGTACTCCTGTATCAGTTAAAGCAACCGCTGGTTTACGTTTATTAGGTAAAGAAAAATCAGATAATATCTTGAAGGAAATTAGATCTCATTTAGAAAATGACTATCCATTTGCAGTTGTTGAAGGTGATGGTATTTCTATCTTGGATGGTTCTTTAGAAGGGGTTTTCGCTTGGGTTACTGCAAATTATCTTTTGGGTAATATTGGTAACGAAGAAAAAGTTCCAACCGCTGCAGTTTTTGATTTAGGTGGTGGTTCAACTCAAATTGTTTTTGAACCAGAATTTGGTAATAATGAAAAAATGGTGGAAGGTGAACATAAATATGATTTTACTTTTGGGGATCATAAATTTACCTTGTATCAATTTAGTCATTTGGGTTATGGTTTAATGCAAGCTAGAAATAAAATTAATTCTCTTATTGTTAAAGCTGCTTTACAAAATAATAAAGAATTGAAAAATAGTAAAATTAATAATAAAGATGCTGCTAAAGATGCCAAAGCAACCATTTCAATTAATAACCCTTGTATCCCTCCTGGTGTTACTGCTGAAAACGTCCAAGTTGATATTAGCGACAATGAAATTTACTTGGTTAACTTCAAAGGTCCTTCTGTTGCTAGTGGTGCTCAATGTAGATTCTTAGCTGAACAAGTTTTGAATAAGGATGCTGAATGTACTCAAAAACCTTGTTCCTTTAATGGTGTCCACCAACCTTCTTTAACTAAAACCATTAGGAAAAATCAAGATATGTACGTTTTTTCCTTCTTCTATGATCGTACCAATCCTCTTGGGTTCCCTTCTTCTTTCACCGTGGAAGAATTATCTGATTTGGCTAAAGTTGTTTGTAATGGTGATCAATTATGGAAAGAAGTTCTTTTGGATGACCATGTTAAACAATTAAATGAAGAACCTCAATGGTGCTTGGATTTATCCTTCATTACTGCTATGTTGCATACCGGTTACGACATTCCTTTACACCGTGAATTAAGAACCGCTAAAACTATCGATAATAATGAATTGGGTTGGTGCTTGGGTGCTTCATTACCTTTATTAGATAAATCTAATGGTAATTGGAAATGCAGAATTAAAGAAACTACAAATGCTTAGACTAAACTAATTAATATATACGCTTTTTCTATTCAATGTGCCATCAAATTGTAATACGTGATTGTAGTACGGATTCAAATGTACACACTTGTACAGACTTGATTGGACACACTTGTACGGACTCTATGGTAATAGGACTCTATGGTAATAGGACTCGATTGTAATACGGAGTTTCATCGGAGAAAGCTCAACTAGGTAATTTACGTGATAAATGAGAGCCGAAGGTGGAAACAAAAAAAAAATCCACCAAAGAAAAAAAAAACGGCAAAAAACGACAGTAGAAAAAGTAACCCAATATTTAAAATACCCAAAATCCTCTGTACAACTCCTCGTGTCCCATCTCTTTCCTTGAAGTATCCTTTTAATCTAAAGGCGATTGAATTGTTGTTAACTCTTCCTTCACTCTGCTTACCAATTAGAGAAGACATTAAAATAGGTAGGTGAAAAAAACAAGAAGGCAAATCGCTGAGAAGAAACGGTGAATATTTGAGCAAGCAAAAGAAGCTTATCATTACAAGGAAAATAACTACAATTGAGTGAACAATGTCTGACCAACCACGTAAAAGTCAATTGACAAGCCAACTAGAAAAGCATAAGGATTGCAACTCTGACAAACTTGATGAAATAACACAGTCATTATCATCACTTAATATGAGTAATAAATCAGGACTTTCACCAGTTAACAGTCATATTGAAGCACCAGCCCCTTTGACTCCATTGAAAACCGATCAACTGGAAGACATATCGGGGGCCCCAATAGATATAAGCCAAAAGAATAGAAGGCATCGAAAAGTCCTTGGATACTCATCAAGACAAGGAGGAAATAATAATGGAGGTATTGGTAGTCCAAATAATTCAATTCATAGAGATCAACCAATGATTCATAATAAACTTCATTGTGATCAGATTAAACAAAGAAGAGCTTCAAATAAAGTATTATCAAAATTGGGTAATGATGATTTAAGATCTGTTAAACTGCATACAGAATTAGCAGAGACCGCTAATGGAGTTAGGATGTTGGCGAAAAGTTTATCAAAGGCCACGATTCAACTAGATGTTAAAGCAATAATGATTGTCACTAAGGCAAGGGATAATTCATTAACTTATCTTACTAGAGAAGCTGTTGAATGGTTTTTCACTAGAGATCGAGATATTATAGTTTATGTTGATAAACATTTAGAAAAACTGAAAAGATTTGATGTGGAAAGCTTGAAGAAAAGCTATCCCAATAAAACTGATAAATTACTAAAGTATTGGGATAAAAAATTTGCTTTAAAAAATCCCGAAAAAATTGATTTAGTAGTTACATTAGGTGGTGATGGTACAGTGTTATTTGTTAGTAATTTATTTCAAAGAATCGTTCCACCAGTTATTTCATTTGCATTAGGGCTGTTGGGATTTTTAACCAATTTTGAATTTGAACAATTTAGAAAAAGAATGTCTAATGTTTTAGAATCAGGAGTTAGAGCGTATTTAAGAATGAGATTTACTTGCAGAGTTCATAAAGCAAATGGGAAGTTAGTTTGTGAGCAACAAGTATTAAACGAATTAGTTATTGATCGTGGTCCTTCACCTTATGTAACACAATTGGAATTATATGGAGATGGATCACTTTTGACGGTGGCTCAAGCCGACGGTTTAATTATAGCCACTCCAACAGGATCAACTGCATATTCATTATCAGCAGGAGGCTCTTTGGTTCATCCTGGGGTTAGTGCGATCAGTGTTACTCCTATTTGTCCTCATACTTTATCGTTCAGGCCAATTTTATTACCCGATGGAATGTTTTTAAAAGTTAAAGTCCCAGAGTTAAGTAGATCAACCGCATGGGCTTCATTCGATGGTAAAGTTCGTACAGAATTGGATAAAGGAGATTATGTTACTATTCAAGCATCACCATTCCCATTTCCTACCGTCATATCATCGAAAACAGAATACATCGATAGTGTTAGTCGAAATCTAAACTGGAATGCTAGAGAACAACAGAAACCTTTCACTCATTTGTTATCGGGTCCAAATAAAGATCGAATCGGTAATGACTCTACATTAGAACAATTGAATCGTGGTGGTGGCCGCGGCCAACAAGAAGAAGATTACGATATCAATTATGATGACGAAGACGACGATGAAGAATTAGAAGATGAACAATACCGTCATGAAAATCATCCTAGGAGAGAAAGTAATTATACCGATTCAAGCGTTAGCACTCTACCAAATCATCCATTCGATGATCACCGACAAGACGATTACGAAGAAGACGACTACGAGGAAGAAGACTACGACCACTACAAAGAATACGAGGACGACCCATTCATTCCCAGTCCCGGTGGTGGACTAAACACCCCTCCTCCCACCAACAACCTAACCTCCTTCGGGGCATTTGATGATCGGGAATACTACGCCCATCCAAACGCAAGATTGGCACTGTACGACACTGCTCCTTCTCGACACTCTTCTGCCACCTCCACCGAAACCGACGGCATCACCATCTCTCCAAAACCCAACTTTCAGCCTTAATCTGTACATACCTGCTATCAATACATCTCACCCATCACCCATCACCCCGTACACCAAGAAGTAGTAGCCTTTGCCCAGTGCACGACCACCTCTGCGCCAATTTTTGATGAAATTGTCGCTTTGATGAGGTCGTGCGCGTTTGTAAGGCGTGAGACCAATTTCTAACAATTTTTTTCTTTTTTTGCCCTTTTGCCCTTTTCTTTTTGAGCGAGGTAAAAATTTTTATGTGTTTTTTTTTGTTTTTTTACGGGTTTTTTTTTGTTTTTGGTGATAATTTGGTTTTTTTTGTCTTTTTTTCTTTTTGGTCCTTCAGTAGTTTTATAAAAAATGATATTCGCCTTCAAGTCTACCCTTTTTTTTTGTAGAATTTTTTTTTTCGTTTGAAACTTTCTTTATCTCTTTATTATAAAGACCCTACTTGTTCCTTTAGAAGTATATATATTAAGTTATATATCTCGTAATATACTGTTTTAAACAGAGTTTTATTTGAAAAGTTTAGTGGAAATATAAAAAAAATAGGTTGAAAATATGACTGATCTCAATCAACAAATGAATAACCTTTCTGTTCAAGGTGACAATCAACAAGGCCAACAACAAGGCCAGTCTCGTTCGCAATACGTTCCTCCTCACCTCCGTAATAGAAGCGGTGGATCCAGAGGTGGATTTGGCGGTGGCGGCTATAGTAATAATGGTAATAACGGTAACCGCCGTTACAATAACTTTGGCGGTTCAGGCTATAATAATAACTACGGCGGTGGTTACCAAAACCGTCGTGGTGGATTTAATGGTGGCTTCGGTGGCCGTGGTGGTGGCCGTGGTGGATTTGGAAGAAATTTCCCAAGACCTGGTGTTGGTAGATGGGTTGATGGTAAACACGAACCTTCTGCTAAAGATGAAAAATTAGAAGTTAGTTTATTTGGTACCGCGGATGATTCTGGTTTCCAATCTTCTGGTATTAATTTCGATAACTATGATGATATTCCAGTTGAAGCTTCTGGTGATAACGTCCCTGAACCAATTACTGCTTTCACTGCTCCTCCTTTGGATCCTTTGTTAGTTGAAAATGTTCAATTATCTAGATTTGTTAAACCAACCCCAGTTCAAAAATACTCGGTTCCAATTGTTGCCGCCGGTAGAGATTTAATGGCTTGTGCCCAAACCGGTTCTGGTAAAACTGGTGGGTTTTTATTCCCAGTTTTATCTGAATCTTATATGAATGGTCCTGCTCCAATTCCGGAATCTACTGGTGCTTTCACTTCTCATAAAGTTTATCCAACTACTTTAGTTATGGCTCCAACTAGAGAATTGGTTTCTCAAATTTATGATGAAGCAGTTAAATTTTCTTATAGATCTTGGGTTCGTCCTGCTGTTGTTTATGGTGGTGCTGATATCGGTGGCCAAATCAGAAACTTAGAAAAAGGTTGTGATTTATTGGTTGCCACTCCAGGTCGTTTGAAAGATTTATTAGAAAGAGGTCGTGTTTCTTTAGCTAATATTAAATATTTGGTTTTAGATGAAGCTGATAGAATGTTGGATATGGGTTTTGAACCTCAAATTAGATATATTGTTCAAGATTGTGACATGACTGATGTTGCTGATAGACAAACTTTGATGTTTTCTGCTACCTTCCCAAGAGATATCCAAATGTTGGCTCGTGATTTCTTAAAAGACTATATCTTCTTATCAGTTGGTCGTGTTGGTTCTACTTCAGAAAATATTACTCAAAAAATCTTATACGTCGAAGACGATGAAAAGAAATCAGTCTTATTAGATTTATTATCCTCTAATGATAATGGTTTAACTATAATCTTTACCGAAACTAAAAGAATGGCTGATAATTTGGCTGATTTCTTATATGATCAAGGTTTCCCAGCTACTGCTATTCATGGTGATAGATCTCAACATGAAAGAGAAAAAGCTTTGGCTGCTTTTAAATCCGGTGCTGCTCCTATTTTGGTTGCTACCGCTGTTGCCGCTAGAGGTTTGGATATTCCAAATGTTTCTCATGTTGTTAATTATGATTTACCTTCTGATATTGATGATTATGTCCATAGAATTGGTCGTACTGGTCGTGCTGGTAATGTCGGTATCGCTACTGCTTTCTTGAACAGAAACAATAAAAATGTTGTTAAAGGTTTAGTTGAAATTTTATCTGAAGCTAATCAAGAAGTTCCAGACTTTTTAACTAATATCGCTAGAGAAGGTTCTTTCGGTAAAGGTCCAATGCGTGGTGGCCGTGGTGGTGGAAGATCCGGTCCAACTAGAGATTTCAGAAGACAAGGTGGTGGTTATGGTTCCGGTGGTTCTAACTGGAACTCTTTTGGCTCTGGCTCTGGCTCTGGTTATGGTAACTCTGGTTACGGCAACTCTGGTTATAACAACCGTAGTTACGGTGGTAGCTCTCAAAGCTCATACGGTAACGCTACTGCTGGTGGTTCCTGGTGGTAATCTATTAGAAAAAAGTTAACCTTTTTTTTAAAAATCACCCCTGTTATTTTTTTTATCTTTATCTCTATCTTTAAGTTAAATTTTTACGTTTGCATTTCCTATCCTTTTTTTTTTGTTATTGTTTTACTTTTATGCATTTTATTAATATTTCCCCAAGGTCACAATCTTTTTCGTTAAGATCAAAAAGAAAGAAATAAACAAAAATAGACCAAAAGATTTTTAGAAATAAGTATTAAGGGAAGTTATTTGGTCTTTTGATAAAGTTATAGATAATTCCTTTCATAAACAAGTTTCAATTCATTTAATTTTGAATCATTTTCCATATTTATTCCAAGATTGATTTTGCATTCACATATTCATTGCTTTTTTTTATTATCGTTTGATTATTGTTAACGTTTTTCTTATCTTTCTAAGTTATTACTGTTTTCTAATTTTTGTTTTACCTTACGCATGTCATAGATTTCATCATTCAATTCATTTTTCCCAAATTTCCTGTTAATATTATTCTTTGCTTATATTATTATTATTATTATTATTATTGTGTCGGATTATAAAAATTTATTTCCTTTTTTTTTGTTCAATTTCTCATGGAGTTTCTGTTTAGTTTGATTTCGTCCGTTGTTTCAAGTGTTAGTTTTTTGAATTTCCATTGCTTTTTTCCAAGTCCTCGATTTTTTCATGGCCAGTTTTTAATTTCAAGAGGCTTTACAGTTGAATTAGAGAAAAAAAAAAGAGAATAGATTTAGAAGAAGAATATTAGAAGTTTGTTGAAAAATGAATTATCTTTTAAAAAAATAAATTAAGGTAAAAGAAAAAGAAGAATAAAATTGAAAAATAAGACAAACAAAGACGAATAAAGATGGAATTTATCGAATTAGAAGATATAATTTGATTTTCATAGTTCGTTATCTTTTGATTTGTTTTTTTATCAACTTGTTTGGCAAGGTCTTCTTTTGTTTTTTTTTTGTTTATTATTATTATTATTTATTTCTACGTAATTTTCTAGTTCTTTTTTATTTATTTGAAAGAGGACAGGAAAATTCAATTGTTATTCATAAGATTGGACGTTGGAATTAACCCAATTTGTTTGTTCAATTAATGAAATGCATCTTTAAAATGCAAGTGTAATATAGTTTTATTTATATAGTTTAATTATATATTATTATTTTATTATAAATAAGTGTAGCGCCTACTTATTACCTTAATGAGCTATAAGCTCATAAACCAACCTTTATCAATAAAGCCTAGTTTTCTTTGGCAAAAAACATTGATTGGTTTGTCGACATGATCCTCTTTTTTTTTTGTGAGTCCCGTTTTCGAAATTTTTTTCGATTCTCAATAGACTTCGTGTCTTATGATTTCAATTGAACGAAAGTGAATACAAGCATTCTTTCTTTCATCTATCGAGCTTAAGAGTTATCAAGGTTTGATAATATAAGAACGCGGCTTTGCATTTCCAATTTTGAATACTGTGATAAGCAAGAGTGCTTACCTTTTAACACCACCTATCTAAATATTCACAAATCGTCCTTGAGGTGAAAAATGGGAATAATAACAAGCAGGAAAGGCAGAGTTATAATCGCATTGATTGTTCTAGGGTATCTATTTCTTGTGTTTACCAGATCCTTTTCTCTCTCCCGATCTTCTTTAACCAAAACCGAATTTCAATCAAACCAATTACAACTTGAAAGTGAACTCGAAAAAGTTTCCAATTGGAAAACTACAGGATTTAAGTTTAACCCAAACCATAAAGCTTCTTTAGAACCGTTGTCTACGGTGCGACAACAATTATCATACCAATTTCCATATGAACCAAAGAAATCATTCCCTAAGAACATTTGGCAGACTTGGAAGGTTAAAGTTGGAGATGCCTCATTCCCTTCTAATTATAACAAATTTCAACAAACATGGGAAAATGTGAATGACGGATATAAGCACTACGTTTTACCTGATGAACAATGTCATGAACTTATCAATCATCTCTATGAGACCGTCCCAGATGTTGCTAAAGCTTATAATATCATGCCTCATAACATTTTGAAAGCAGATTTCTTTAGATATTTAATTTTATTTGCTAGAGGTGGGGTGTATTCCGATATTGATACTGTTTCACTTAAGCCAATTGATACTTGGCTATCTGCAAATGAAACTTTATACGATAAGCCAAATAATGCTGGTCTTGTTATTGGGATTGAAGCTGATCCTGATAGACCTGATTGGGCCGACTGGTATGCTAAACGAATCCAATTTTGTCAATGGACTATTCAAGCTAAGAAAGGTCATCCAATGTTAAGAGAATTAATTGCAAAGATTACAGAGTTGACCTTAGAAAGGGAATCGAAAGGCCAATTACGTAAGGTCTTGGGTAAAGACGAAGGCGGTGATATAATGAACTGGACTGGTCCAGGTATTTTCACCGACTATGTCTTCCTTTACATGAATATGATTTTGCAACCAGCTGAAAATTATGAAAACAAAAAGTTCGACGAGATAATCTCCTGGAAAACTTTCACCGGTATGACAATGCCAATTGGCATTGACGATGTCTTGGTCTTGCCAATAACGTCGTTTAGTCCTAACGTTGGGCATATGGGCTCCAAGTCTTCCAATGATCCTATGGCTTATGTCGATCACCGTTTTCTGGGATCCTGGAAAAACGACGTTACAGATCCCGACAACAGAGAAATATAATACCTTTTTTATGTACTTTTGTAATATAATTCAATCTACCGTGTCTCTTTGTAAAAAGTTCAGTGAAAAATTGGTTTAAAATGACCTTATCGCATCAAGTCATTAAAAAAAAATTAGGTCAGAATATCTTAATACCCAGTCGAAAAAGCTCATCCCATAGCTGTTTACTGCTTTGAACAATGACTAGAAAAACTGCATTGGTCGTTGTTGACTTACAAGAGGACTTTTTACCATCTCAAGGCTCGTTAGCAGTGGCAGAAGGAAGGTCCATCATTCCTTTGATAAATGATCTTTTGGACACTCAAAAATATAAATGGAATGCTATATTTGCAACCCAAGACTGGCATCCAGCCAATCATTGCTCATTTGCTTCCCAACATGGAGTTGAACCGTTTAGTGAATTAGCCTTTGAGCATCCAACTGGCGAGAAAGACGAACATGGGAATATAAAAACTCAAAAGCAAGTTGTTTGGCCCGATCATTGTATCCAGAATTCATTGGGTGCCTCGATTGATCCGCTGTTTTTAGGACTTTTCAATCAAATTGATCCAAATATTCCGAGATTTGTTGTGAGAAAAGGCTATTTACAAGACCGTGAATACTATTCATGCTTCAAAGACTCGTGGAAGTTACATAAGACTGAAATAGAAGATCAATTAAAAAATCTCTCGATTACTGATGTTGTTTTCGTGGGGATTGCTTATGATTATTGTGTGCTAAACTCTGCCATCGATTGTCTGGCTTCTGGCTTTAATACCTACGTTTTGAAAGATTATACTAAGAGTGTTAGTCCCGAGAATATCAATAAAACTGATTTATCTTATACTGAAGGTGGGGTCAAAATTATAAGCGTAAATGACCTTAAGAATTTACTCGAATAAGTGTTTTATATTTTTACTTAAGTTATTATGAATTTCATGCTTCTAATGCAAGTTACTTTTTAATTCCAAGTCTTTCCATGAGCTCTTGTTTCTTCTTATCAACTAACCATTTAGATACCTTCTCATTAGTGGGTAAATTGTCGAAATCAATTGTCAGATATTTGGGTTCTTGGTCTGTACTCAGTTTCTGTATTTGTCTCTTCACCTTTCTTTCAAACTCGAGTAAATCATCATCTCGATCAACAGACTTTAAGGGCCTACTGTTCAAAGGTCGAATTGGATCGACAATTGTTTTCCCTAAAGCTTCATTGACTTCGTTTATTATATCATCTGCAGTTGGAATACTATATTCCGTATTTTTACCACGTTCATCATAAAAACCATAATAATCAGACGTTATCCGACTTGACCTTTCCTTCAATATTCTCTTCTCTTCTGAAGCTTTGTCCTTCTTCGATTCTTGAGCTTTTCTTTGTAAGCTTCGAGCTTGTAGCACATCTTTAACATCAGGCAAGTCCCTTGCTCGACCAAAGTATCTATACCCGTTCACTTCAATCCCAGTTTTTGATGCCGTTATATTGTTGTGAAAAGTTGAATAGTCAGGTCCTCCCAAACTGACTATATGATATTCCCATGCCCTTTTCTCCCGAAAATGTTTATTTACTTCATCATTTATGTCTCTTATTTGATAATCATTCAAGTCGGGGTTATTGAGTCGGGTAAGTTTAACTGATATTTCCGTTATTAAAGTACTTCTCCATTTTTCAGCTTGAGGTAATGATTTGACCAGTTGAACATTCCGTGGTCTTAAATTGGGATTTGACTGTAAAACTCCAGCTTCTTCATCTTTAAGTGCCTGGTACCTATGCAACACTGACTGGGATTTCTCTTTATTCCTTGACATGGTATTTGCAATTATAACCAGTGTCTAACTATGGTGAAGTCTCTATAAACGTTATCAAATATTGGTGGATGAGGTCGTGCTTGGTACGATTTTTTTGTAGTATACAAAATTCTTATTACATTATGACTATAAATCTATATATAAAAGTTAATTTACATACCACGGAAGGCATTTCTAGATGCTCTTCTACGGCCATCGTATCGTTGTTTGGTTCTTCCCTTATTTGCGGCTGCTTCTGGATCTTCTTCTTGATCATGATCTGATTTGAATTTAACTTGTTTCTTTGGTTGTTTTTTAGGAACAAAAGTAAGTTCAGCTTCACCTCTAGCATGACGACGTAATCTGGCATCATTTTTATCATATGCCTTATCTTTGGCGATTTTATTAATCTTTTTAACTTGAGAGTCAAACGATTGGGTAGATTTTTCTTCTGGGTTAGTATTTGCTTTAACTTCTTTCATTTCATTCATAAATCGATTAGTTTCCGCTTGGGCTTCTTTTCTACGACGTAATTTTTCCATTTCTTTTTGAATCTTTTCCTTATTTTGTTCTCTAGTTTCTTCATCTTCAGATGAAGATTCGTCGCTTTCTGAATCATCATTTTCATCTTGTGATCCTTTCAATCTATCTTCATCTGATTCTTCAGCAGCAGTCAAACCACGAGTTTTAGTAATATCTTTTTCGGCCTTGACAGGGTTAAGTTGTTTATATTCATGAGATTGTTCATCAACAGCGAATTCTGGGTTTTCAAACAATTCTTTGAAACGGTCATCATTGATAACAGTTTCTGCATTATTAGTTCCTTGTCTTTCCTGTAATCTTGAAGCCAAATCTTTATTAACCTTAATTTTAGTATTAGAAACAGCACCAGTAGATCTGATCCTTGACTCTCTTTCTTTTTCAATCTTCTTTCTAATTTCACGATCTCTTTGGTCTCTATAGGAATTAGGATTAGCAATTAAGTTAACCTTATCGAATAATTCAGTATCAATAAAGAAACCATGCATATATGAACGTAAAACTTTAGTACCGATCAAGTGAGTTAAGTTCAACTTACCAACTTCATCTCTTGTGATAAATCTGTAATTAGAGTATACAGAATCAGATGGTTTTTCTTCCATTTCTTCTGTAACATTATCTAAGAATGAGCACCATTTTGGTGCTGGGCCTAAATTAGGAATATAATAAGTATGCATAGGTATACCTTCATTTGCCATAAAGAACATACCAGAGTCTTTAACATATGCAACATCATTAATGTCAACACTTGGTTCCATTGAAGCAAATGCTTTACCATCATTACGATCCCAAATCTTGGCAATTCTTTTATCACTGGTTAAGATTTTATCTGAATCAGAAGAGTTTTCATCTAACCATATAATTTTCTTTATTTCAAATCCATATCCTTGATCCTTAACTATAGAAGGGGTGGAAGCTCTTAAATCGTAGATTAGTGATTGTCCACTAGAAGTCCCACATGCGAAATTTAAACCATCGTTTCTGAATTTAGTAGTAGTAACTTGAGTTGGTTCACTAAGTTGATCAGCAACAAATAATTTAGCTGCTCTTTGTCTACTTCTTGGATCCCAAAATTCAACGGTACCGTCTTCAAGACCGGCGCATAGTAAACCGTGAACGGGGTTTAAATCTACTGAGTTGACACCCTGATCAGTATCAAGAATGTAAGGATTCAAAAATCTACCTTGATCCAAATTTAATCTGTATAATTCATTACCTGATGCACCAACCACTAAATCACAATTTACAGGGTTATATGTCATATCTCTACCAAACTTTGGGATTCTTGTTCTATAATGAATACCTCCTCTGGTTTGAAACTCTATTGATCTGTCATTTTGTAAATGAATCGACTTAGTCCAATCATTAGACAATATTAAAAAATCAACATTTTCACAATCGGTATGTCTATCAAACTTTAAAGATAAATTTGCAAAATCATAAACGTGCATCTGTGGTTTATAAGTACCAGTGGCGATAGCGTATTGTCCATCTGGAGTCACTTTTATTCTATTAGAAGCTTCACTAAATTCAAAATCCTGGATTAATTCTATACGATTTTGATAGTCAATATCATTCTTCAAAGCTCTCTTTCTCTTTTTAGCAATCCAATCTGGTAATGATCTGGAAACATTGGTACCAGCAACCTGGTACACAGAAACGTTACCTGCTGATGTCGATTTAAGAACCATTTGTGCTGACGTATAAGGAGTAACAGCTCTCTAGTAATCTTCTTTTATCATTTTGAAGATGATGCCTCTTCGAAAGCCTGCACACAAACAAGTAAAAAAAAAAAAAAAAAAAAAAAAAATTTAAGAGAAAGAATTCTACCTGCACACAGTCTCTACACTATAACTAATTACTATAACAAAAGCATATAACAAAAGCATATAACAAAAGATTGACAGAAAATATAGAAAAGATGGGCATCAGGGGGATATAACAGAAAGAGATACTCAGTTGAAAGAATCATTTTCAAAGTCATCGACATGAACACTTTGCTTTCTAGCTGAATTGACGATATAATGCTTTCGTTCGGGAGATCGAGGTAGGTTTGAAGATGTCTCAAGACTCACTTGCTCATTTGCAGCCCACGGTTTACGACCGAGTAATCCACAATTATACAAGTATTCATATTCAGATTTAGCAATGGTTGAGTAAGAAACAACATCCACATGTTTCAAGTCTAGGAATATACGAAGAGCATCAAGACTAGCTTTTCCATCACTAAAGGTGGATACGAAAGCTTCCAATCCACTTTTGACAAGAGTATCACCAATGATTTCATGACTGTTGGACACTAAGTAATCAAATAGTTTTTCGAACATCGGGCACCAAGTGATATCGGTAAAGCAAACGTCATGAGCAAAGTTAATTAAACTCAACCAAAACAATGAATTATCTGAAGATAAGTGTAGGACTTTATTGATAATTTTGTAAACGTAAGTTTCTGTGGCAGCACAGATTAAATTATGGGAGTCTAATTGAGTAATGAAAAATAAGGTTGGACATAATGAAGAAAATGTTAAATTGATAAGGTTGAAAACCAATTTTTGATTAATATCATTTGATGAATAGCTATTCATAAGCAATAATGCTTGGAATTCATCGTCGATACATTCTGAAAGCAAATAAAGATTAGCTGGTAGGCATTCAAGTAGTATTTGGAAATTTTCGCTTTTATCGTATACTGAAGATTCAGTATCTTGAAAAAAATAATTGGGCTTTGGTAAAGGTGGTAATTTAAAAAGTTTGAAATTATTAACGATGATTTCTGGGAACACAAAGGGATCAGGAAAATATTTGGATGAATTCTTAACGACAAAGAAGTTTATACTCAAATATAAGGCTGATAATGATAATTTAGTATTTATTTTATTAAACTCACCATAAATTTCAGTTTTAGAATTATTTTTTAAATTCTTACTCAAAATGACCAAGGAGGATTTCATGAGAGTACAAACCAGATTATTTTCCAAATAATTTAAAGATTCGTTTTGGTCGATTATATCAAGAAGGACCGTAAATGCCTTCATGTAAGACTTTGCATCTGGTTGCATAACCGACGGGAAGGAGTCCTGATAATGCACTTGATCCTTGGCAATTACCTTCAACCCAGAGGCTAAAGCATCGTTTAGCCCAAAAGCAGCAAGAGGCCTAATCAATTTTCCAAAGATAGAAAGAGCCTGCGTTATCATTTTTCCATCCATTGGCGAAATAGATAAACTGTGTTGGAAAATATCAGATATCCGACCCAACTTATCCAAAGACATCAAGACCGATAATTGGAGTTTGCCATTATCGGAAATTTGTAACAACATTGCGATTGTCTTGAGAACTTTCGCAACCCAATCACTATTCACTTGAATACTGGATTCCTTGGATGGTTGGCGTTGTTGTGCAAACAAAAGACTAAACAGTTCAACCTTGCCAACAAGGTCTTCCAATTCCAAAGCAAACTCATAAGCATGGCTTGCTTCATTTTTCATAATTTCAAGAAAGCCATAACAAGTGTCCATAATTGGCTGGTTCAATTCAACCGTGGTTCCATCAAGATAACCAAGATACACCATATCGGCGACACTACTAATGGGAGATTCTTTGCCTCTGGAGCCCCCAACCGGAAGAATCTGTGGCAAGACGCCGGATAATTTACCGGAGTCTGCAAAGAATCCTTTGATTCTTTGCTGGGATAAAGGATTAATAAGGTGAAACCAGAAGACACAAGAAAGATTATAGGTCAAGCGCTGAATACACGCATCGTCACATTTCTTTCCCTCGGATAACTGCTTTTCAATTGAAATCAATAGTACTTCGACTATTGGACAACCAACTGAAGCTTCCATCTGCGAGTAATAGCTTTCCAATGCATGAGGATACTTATTCAACTCCAACACTATCGAGGCGTAAACCCTACTTACTTGAGCCTCAGTGTCCACGAGCTCCTCTGGCGATAACCGTGCTAGAGCATCGCTGTTACTCTTCAAAGCAGCAATACTCTCCTGGAATTCTGAACTGGCCATACTGAACAATCTCCTTACCAACTGTACACGAGCCAATGATTCACTGGGGGATGTTTGGACAAACCTTAGGATCTTTCCCTTTGACCTAACCAATTGCAAGGACTAACCGCTCTAGTAAATCTGCAAGAACCCCCTGGTAAAGTTTGAAGTGTATCTCGCTTCACCACTTTTTCAGTCTCAGGATTACCAGAGATTGTGCGTGTTTGCAACTATTTTCTCAGAGTAAAATTGTGTACTTCACACTGCGAAGATTAATCTCCGGGCATAATCAGTGGGAGGTTGCAAAAAAACCCCATCAGAGCACCAGAACTTGTATAATCACCAAGAACAAAGCAGTGGAACGCCGCCAGCACGGCAAACACCCCGAACACCCATCGAGACATGTAATGAGAAATACCGTCGGCTAATTAGTCAAAGTACAGGAACGTAGGCTAATGTAAATTATGGTTAGGGATGGTGGAATCAGGGTAAGGGGACGCGGGAATGGCAAACTCCTTTTGGGCAAGAGGATGAAGAGAGAATGGTGGTTCTACGGTTCTACTGGCTGTGAAATGATGTGCAACCACTGGTCGCTAGTCTATGTACACGATCGTCCAAGTAGCGTGATAGAACCATAGAACAAGAGTCAAGGCTGCCGAAAAAAGTTATGGATTTTCAGTGCTTCCTTTAATATGGCGGAAGGAATTGCCGGAAGCAACCACCAAGGAAACCAGAACATATGGAATGATTCAAACAAAAATCTCGCAAGGTTAGTTGGGCATACCGGACCCAGGTGGAGTAGCTGCCCCCATAGGTGACCACTAATAAAGTCTGATTTTTTATTTTTATAAATTTTTTTTTTTTTGGTATGATTTTTTTTTTTTTAAGTTTGTCTTTCATGCTCCGACACTGGTTGATCTCCAAAGCCTTGATCTGCAATATGACTAGACCCCCAGTGACAAGGCTAGAGGCAAACTAAAAGTATTTGAAGCGAGTTCCCAACGCACATACGTTAGCCTGCGTCAGGTAACATTGCATTCTCGCAGGGAGTCTAATTTCAACTTTAAACTTAAGCTACTGGCACTGGGAAACCCTTTGGTTTCGAACTATTGGAATCCAGACTGTCGACAACGCATGAATACATTTATTATCCAGATCTCTGGAACAATACAAAAGAAATCCCATCAACTTGGGAGTGGTACCCACTCTCGGCTCACGTGAGCTGGTCTGTTGATAAGCTTCAGCTGCACTATTTGAGTTCAACTGGTCCTGTATTTTTCAATCTTGCTTTATTATTTTCTGTCCATTCTATGCTAGGGTTCTCCACGACGTTCGCCTTGTAATTGTCGGTTTCTGTACTTTTAAGTCTGTCAGTATTCGATTAAAAATAAAACAATCTTTGCCCTGGTAGATTAAGCTGTTTCTTTCTTTTTATTTTTCATGATTTTTTTTGTTCTTTATTTTTATATTAAGACAGCTTATGAGATCAAAACTATATAAAGAAGTAGTTTTCCATTTTGATACTTTTGTATTAGATTGAGTATTTTGAATAAGACAAGATGCTTAACTACAATTACTCATTTGAAAAGGCCAAAGCAAAGTCCAAGGATTCCAAGTCTTCCGATACTCCCCCAGCATCTCCAACAATACGCCATTCTGCTAGTTTTGATCGGAGTCACAGAAGGTCGAATTCCATTTCTTATCGATCCAGAGGAATGCTAGGGCCCAAGGAACATTACTTTCAACGCGATTCTATCGATACTCTTGGAAGTAGGCATAGTTTATTTTCCAACCAGTCGGAACCAGACTCTCCCATTACCTTGGAGAAGATTGGCACCCAGGCTCCAGAACCATTCATTGATTTGAATATAATTAACGTCGAAAGCGAAAAGTTTCGCCGTAGTCGACAAGCCAGTACCGGGTCTGCATTATCATACCGTTTGGACGGCATGTCTAGAAGTAACGAAAAGAATATACCAAGAGGCTATTCCAAATCATCAATGGATGGTGGGCCAAGCCCCCAGCTTTGCAAACACCACCACAAGCACAGTTTTTCGCAACCACCAGGCTTCCTAGAGGTTGATTTGAAGGAATTTCTCGAGAATGAAGATGAAGAGGAGGGATCAATTGCAAGCATGGACGAGCATGAAAATCCCTTTGATCTGGAGGCTCTTGAAGAACACTACATGTTCAACGAGCTGGATATCATGCTACCTGCTTCATCGAATGATTTGCTACTAAAGTATCAGAGTCAACAACAGTATGAAGACCCCAACATGACCTCTGATGGTGATAAGAAGAGAAGTAAATCTAGATCATACTTGGGAATGATTCGCCGGGGCAGTTTTTTAAAAAATAAAGACTGGGCTAAAAAGGATAATTGATAAATAAATATTTATAGAAGCTTATTCCAACAATGAAAGTATTTATCGTAAATGAACAAACCAAGAGAAGGATTCTGAATAGTCGGGGGTTTCTTTGAGTGACTTTTGTCTCCTTTGTAATTGGAGTTTATTTAGAGCGATTTTAGAGTGCATACATCATGAGCTAATTATTTAAGAGTGTATGTGGACGATACAGAGTGTATGTGGACGATACAGAGTGTATGGTGACGATATAGAGTGTATGTAATTGAAGGTATCTGCATAGGCAAACCCTTTATTAAAAGGTTATTTTTCTTTTTTTTTTTTTTTTTCTTTTTCTTTCTTTTCAATTTAATTGAGAAGATAAGTTTTCCAATTGATTTCTGATGGCCGATTTGGCAGTACCACCAATGGCAGTTCTTCTTTCCACGCTGACTTCGAAATTGAACACGTCTTTAACATCTTCATCAAATCTTGAATCGATTTTTTGTAATTGTTCAAAAGATAATTGATCGATACCGGATAACTTTAATTCTTCAGAAGTTCTTACGCATTCACCAGAGATATGATGAGTTTCTCTGAATGGAACTCCTTTTCTAACCAAATAATCAGCTAAATCAGTAGCTAACATATCCATTGTTAATGCTCCTTGCATTTTTTCTTTATTAATTGATAATGTAGAAATTACCCCAGTAGCAATTAATACGGAATGCTCAACAGTAGTTAAAGCATCAAATAATGGTTCTTTATCTTCTTGCATATCTTTATTATAAGTTGATGGAATTGATTTGATGGACATCAAAAAACCTGATAACGAACCGAAAACACGTCCAGATTTACCTCTTAATAATTCTAAGGAGTCAGGATTCTTTTTTTGAGGCATAAGAGAAGAACCAGTTGAATAAGCATCAGCTAATTGAATAAAGCCAAATTCTGCAGTTGAATAAATAATTAAATCTTCCGCAAAACGAGAAATATGATTCATAAATAAGGTTGACCAGAATAATGTTTCAACAACAAAATCACGATCGGATACCGCAGTTAATGAGTTACCTATGACTGAATTGAATCCCAATCCTTTTGCTAAAAATTCACGATCAATACCATATGGATGTCCTGCTAATGCACCTGCTCCTAATGGTGATTGATTAACTCTTTCTAAAATTTGTTTCAATCTCTTGTAATCTTCGGTGAAATAAGTAGCATATGATGATAACCAATGAGACCATCTAATTGGTTGTGCTCTTTGTAAATGAGTATAACCTGGCATCAAAACATCGATTTCTCTTTCTGCTCTTTTCAAAATAGTACTAATAAATCCCCCTAAAAATTCTAATAATTTACTTAAATTATCACGAACATATATTCTCATATCACAAGCAACTTGATCATTTCTAGATCTACCAGTGTGGACCTTACCGGCAATATGTTTACCAATGATTTCTCCCAATCTTCTCTCATTAGCAGTATGAATATCTTCATCACCGGGTTTTTCGATAAATTTACCCGATTCCCATTCTTTATGAATAACATCTAAACCTTGATGAATTGAGCTCAATTCTTCTTGGGTGATCAAACCAATCTTATTTAATCCTTCAGTATAAACTTTAGTACCGTTTAAATCGGCTTGGTACATTCTTTGATCATATGGAAGTGATGCATTATATAAATCCATTAATGGGTCAGTGGCTCCAGTGAATCTACCACCCCATAATTTACTTTCAACCGGTTGATCAGCACTCATTTCTTATTATTTATTATTGATTTGCAATCTTCTATTAATGGTTATTTGCAACTAAACCTGAACTTGTAAGTGAAAAAAATGCCACTTTATATTGGAGTTTCAATCGCTCTTGATTTCCCAGGTTAGTCATAATTTTTTTTTTTCAAAAATTTTTCACCATTTCGTCGAGGTTTGTGTAAGGGTTTTTGTTCAAATCGCCTACTCATTTTCAGACTGCAAAATTACTTCTAAGCAAACGGTTGATACAAAATTAATAAATAGATGATATTAGATTAAAGATATATATACGTTAACTAAGGTTTACATCTACCGGTGAACCTTGGGTATAAGGAACAATCTCTAACAGTAAATCTATCACATAACCAGGCTAAGATTCTTTCAGTACCCAAACCGTAACCCCCATGAGGAGAGCTACCGTATTTAGATTGGTCAGCTAACCAATAATAATCTTTCAAATCAAGACCTTCCTTTTTAATGGCAGCAACCAATTCATCGTGATTATCAATTCTCATAGAACCACCGGTAATTTCACCAACGTTTGGCATTAAAACATCAACTGATTCAGTAACTCTTGGATCATCAGCACATTTTTTCATGTAGAAAGCTTTAATTTCAACTGGGAAACGAGTTAATAAAATTGGTTTACCAATAATATCAGTCATTTTACGTTCAGCAGCTTCAGCGATATCATCACCGAATTTAAAAGCTTCACCATCTTCATTTGGAATACCATGTTCGTTTAACCAATCTAAAGCATGAATGTATTGCATTCTTAAGAAAGGCATTTCAGGAACAACGAAGTTTGGGTTTAATTGTTTAATTAAAGGACCAGCAACTGGATCTTCAACCACTTGTTTAATAACATAAGTATAAAGACGTTCTAAATGGTTTAATAAATCATCAAATGTTATAAAAGCTAATTCTGATTCAATATGAGTAAATTCAGATAAATGTCTTCTGGTATGAGATTTTTCAGCACGGAAAGATTCTTGAACGCAATAAACGTCACCTAAAGCTGGTAAACAAGTTTCCAAGTATAATTGGGAAGATTGAGTTAAAAATGCTTCTTGACCGTAATAATCTAATTTGAATAAAGTAGAACCACCTTCAACTTGAGTTTGAACCATACATGGAGGAGTAACTTCGGTAAGACCTTCATCAGCGAAAAATTTTCTAATTGAAGACATTAAAGCAGCTCTAACTTTGAAAACAGCAGATAAGGTTTCACCTCTTAAAGTTAAATGACGTTGATCTAATAATAAAGAAGGATCAGCATTTTCTTGAACTTTATTAGTAAAAGCTTCTTCACCACTTGGAGCTAAACCAATAACTTCATAATAATCAGCAACTAATTCAACGCCACCTGGAGCAGATTTACCTTCCGGTAATTTATTAATAACCCCTTTTATAAGAACAGTGGATTCTAAAGTTAATTCTTGAGTAATTCTAGCTTTTGCTAAATCTCCAGTTAAAACAGCTTGTAAAAATCCACTACCGTCTCTTAAAGTGATAAAAGCTAAACCTTTTTGTGATCTAAAACGATGAACCCATCCTTGAACTACAACTCTGGTTTGTAAGTTATCTTGAACTGATCTCAATTTAATCTTTTTAGCTTGTGGTAATGATTTATCTTCTTCAATTTTAATCAAATCTAACTCGGCTAATTTTTTAGCATTTTCTTCTTCTTTCTTCTTTTGTTCTTCTTGTAATTTGATTTGTTTTTCTTGTTTTTTCTTCAATCCTTCAGCTCCCTTTTTGGCCTTCTTTAAAGCAGATGCTGATATTTCAGAATATCCATATTCTTCGGATTCTTCTAATTGTTTGTAAATCATCACCTTAGCTTCCGGTTGCACATATAAGGCATATGCAGGGCTTTGAAATGGTTGGCTTTCGGTACCTGCTACATCGGCACCGTCAACACCAGACTTCTCGTTGACGTAGACTTGAGACATTATTTCGTCAGATATTTGGCTTCTGTTCGTTGATTACAATAATTTTTCACCAACTCTTATAGGATCTCTTTTTTTTTTTTTGTCCATATGACTCTTCGCAGAGGTTAATTTGTGACTCAATACCGCGAAATGCGCTGTTGATTCCGCTCGTGCTGACGTTTACCCTCTGTCTCCTCACAAAACTCCTAGTTGGCGTGAATATCCGGGCACGAGGCCCAATTTCCACACCCGTACCGCCAACCTGTAAAAACCGGGAAGCTCCAGATATTTACAGGTTGGCGGTCTTTATCAAATTTTTTATTGAGCGCTCGTAGATTCGGTTAGTTCGAGTGAAAAAAATGAAAAAAAATACTGGCATAAAGGATTTATGAGTGTTACCACTTACTGATTTTCTTTGATTGACCATAGAAGTGGAGCTCGTTGAAGTTCGATTGCACGTATAGTTGAAGGGATATAACACAGAGAAGAATGGCTTTAGAGCAATCATTAGCAGCGTTATCTTTGGCTACTGTCAGTAGCGAAAATGCTATTCCAACTAAGACATTAGTTTTCAAGCCAAAAACTGCTAAAACTGCAACCCCAGTTCCAGTTGTTGTATTTGCATTACAATCTACACAAACCCCTTCGCCAGTTATTGCTAAGGCGGCTGGTGTCAAGGAGCCAAGATTAGCCAGAGATGATTTGGTTCAAGAATTTTTCACGACTTCCACTAAAGAAGTTTCTCTTGCAAACCTTCATAAAGACTTAGCAGGTAAAATCAAGATTTTAATTGATGAAAATATTTCCAAAGCCGATGAAAACACCGTGTTAGAATTATCCACTGAATCTTCTAAAGCTAGTTTATCAGCTAGAAATGTTAATGCATATTTAGAATCAACTGGTATTGAAGTGATTCCAGTTGATTTCACTGTTGAAGCCACTGTTCCAACTCCTGCTCCAGTTGATAAGTCTAAAAAACTTGCATTGAAAAAGGAAAAAGATGCTGCTAAATTAGAAGATGCTAAATTGGTTGGTATCACTGTTGATAAAACCAAAGATTTTTCTTCTTGGTATTCTCAAATTGTTGTTAAAAGTGAATTATTGGATTATTATGATGTTTCGGGTTGTTATATCTTAAGACCAAACTCTTATGCCGTTTGGGAAGAAATTCAAGATTGGTTTAACGCTCGTATAAAAAAAATGGGGGTTAAAAATTGTTACTTCCCAATGTTTGTTTCTTCAAGAGTTTTGGAAAAGGAAAAAGATCACATTGAGGGTTTTGCTCCAGAAGTCGCTTGGGTCACTCGTGCTGGTTCTTCTGATTTGGAAGAACCTGTTGCTATTAGACCAACTTCTGAAACTGTCATGTATCCATATTATGCTAAATGGATTAGATCTCATAGAGATTTACCTTTAAAATTACACCAATGGAATTCGGTTGTTAGATGGGAATTTAAACATCCTCAACCTTTCTTAAGAACTCGAGAATTCTTATGGCAAGAAGGTCATACTGTTCATTTAACTAGAGAAGCCGCTGAAGAAGAAGTCAGTCAAATTTTAGATTTATACGCAGGGATTTATGAAGAATTATTAGCTGTTCCAGTTGTTAAAGGTAAAAAAACTGAAAATGAAAAATTCGCTGGTGGGGATTATACTACCACCGTTGAAGGTTTTATTGCCGCTACTGGTAGAGGTATTCAAGGTGCTACTTCTCATCATTTAGGTACTAACTTCTCTAAAATGTTTGATATCTCGGTTGAAAATCCAGAAGGCTCTGATAAACCAAGAATCTTGACTCACCAAAACTCTTGGGGTTTATCCACTCGTGTCATTGGTGTAATGGTTATGACTCACTCTGATAATAAAGGTTTGGTCTTACCTCCTCGTGTTGCACAAAATCAAGTGGTTGTTGTTCCAGTCGGTATAACTGCTAAGACTACTGACGCTGAAAGAAAAGAAATCAACGATGGTGCCGCTGAAATTGAAAAAAGATTGAAAGATGCTGAAGTTAGAGCATTTGGTGATTATAGAGCTAATTATACCCCAGGTTGGAAATATGCCGAATGGGAATTAAAAGGTGTCCCATTACGTATCGAGTTTGGTCCAAAAGATTTACAAAATGGTCAAGCTGTTGCTGTTAGACGTGATGATAACTCTAAATACACTGTTAAATTAAGTGAATTAGAAACTAGAATTCCAGAAATCTTACAAGAAATGCAAGTTGGTTTATTAGAAAAAGCTCGTAAAGATTTTGATTCTCATCGTGTTGTTGTTGATGAATGGAAAGATTTTGTTCCAACTCTTAATGCTAAAAATGTCATCCTTTCTCCATGGTGTGGAGATGGTGATTGTGAAGATGATATTAAAGACTCTTCTGCTAAAAAAGATGATGGTGAAGACGAAGAAGTTGATGAAAAGGCACCTTCCATGGGTGCCAAATCCTTATGTATTCCATTTGAACAACCAACCTTAAAATCTGGTCAAAAATGTGTTAAGTGTGATAGAGCTGCTCAAGTTTACTGTATGTTCGGTAGATCTTATTAGGTTATTTATTAGGTAGGTGTTTTTTTTTGTGATTGTTGGTTGATGTTTACCATTTACGATATTTAGATTTTGTTGATAGTTGATAATTTGATAATACATATTTAAATTTAATAAAAGTGTAATTTTATGGCAAATTTTCATATTGCTGCCAAAAGTTAGATTTCTCAAATTCGTCTATAGAAATCAGCTTTACTACTGTCCTTCCTTTGTCTAAATCTAAATAGTAAATGTCCAGTAGCTTTAACTCATTAACTACATAATCACGAACTTTATGGAAGTTTAATCCAACTTGTTTAAGTCCATGAGAATCATCCGAAAGACAAAAACGGCCACCATTGCCTTTGATTATTAAACTGATATCCTTTTTAGGATACGGTGAATCCCACCCCTTTCTAATTGCAGCGGAATTGAGTTCAAATAAAGCACCATAATTTACTGCAAATTTTATATTCTTTACAATGCCTTCCCAAACCTCAGGCCAGTCTTTTTCAAGATTTATATCACGAATCTTTATACCGGTGGTTGGATCAATTTCATCTTTTGGTTCAAATAAGCGAATTAAATCGAAATGCCCAATCACATTAGGTTTTAATCTACTTATCACTTCGAATTGTAAATCAAAATAGTCTTTATATAACCCTCTTGCTGTTTTATCCTTTGATTGATCCCTAGCTTCAAGCCAAAGTTCAGCAGAAAAATCAATTGGTATTTTATGAAGATAGTGAACTGACCCCACTGTCATATTTATTGGATACTGGCTAAGTATTTCATCGCTGAAAGAGATATGTTCGTCATCTAAACCCTCAATTTCAAATCCAACGAGTAGCTTGACTCCACTTTTACTATTATATTCTTTTTGCACTCGGGTAGCATGTTCAATGTAGTTCCGAAAGTTTTGTAGCAAGTCCTCTTTCTTATAACCCTTTTCAATCTCTTCTGGGTATAAAAAATCGTTTGACAACCGGGGCATGTGTTCGGTCAAACAAAAATGGGTGAACCCCATAGAGTCAACTTTTGCAATAATATCCTCGAGTTTGTCTACAGCATGGGAGACGTAGTCTCCACTGTGACTATGGTGGGAATGCATCTTGAATTGGGTCTATATAGGGAATTAGATTGTTCGGTTATCTCAGTAGTAAATTACAGATTTTTCAAAAACGAGGATCTAATAATAAAAAAAAAAAAAAAAAATAACAATCAGAAGGATTCTTCCCAAGATATATAGATACCTTAAATGATAAAATTGCTAACGAGGCCTCCAGTGGCGAGAGTAAAACGTGTCCCATGCTCTTCTCGAGGTTTGGGTACCATACTTAGCCCAACAATAAAGGAGCTATTGTTGAACCCACCTAAGAATGATTCGATCGTATCAACTCAAGGCCATATAAAGTCCATTAGACAATTTAAGAATATCGGATTTATAGATTTGTCCGACGGATCAACCTATCTGAGCCTAAGTATCGTTATAGGCAATCCAGAGTCGGCATTCAAGCAGAATAGGTATCAAGTTGGACAAAGTATATCAGTCAAAGGATTATGGAGGGATTCCCAGGGGACTCAAAAGCATGAGCTAGTTTATGACCCTGAAGAAAATGGACACTCTTTGTCTTTGATAGGAGGAGTCACAGAGAGCTATCCTATTCAAAAGAAGAGTCAGACATTGCAGTTTCTAAGAACATTACCAACCTTGAGACATCGTACATCGACTTTAGCTGCAATATTAAGGTTTAGATCATTCATGGAATCCAAAATGAATGACTTTTTTGAATCGGAAAGTTTTGTCAAAGTTTCGCCTCCCCTAATTACCAGCTCAGACTGTGAAGGAGCAGGTGAACAATTCAAAGTCGAACCATTAAACAAGCCGGTTGCAAAAGACAAAGAAGAGGACTTATTCTTTGGTAAGAACACTTATTTGACAGTCTCTACTCAGTTGCACTTAGAAGTATTGGCCCAATCATTGAATAGGGTATGGACTTTAACACCATGTTTCCGTGCAGAAAATTCAAATACAAATAGGCACTTGAGCGAATTTTGGATGTTAGAAGCAGAGATATGCTACATTTCTGATGTTCGTCAATTGACAGCATTTACAGAAGCAATGTTGCGGTATGTTACTGTTTCCATTAGAGATAAAGCCGATTCAATAAACTCAAGCGGGAATTTTGATGATTTAATAAATTCAAGATTCAATAAGCTGGATATTGAAAATATCACCAATCGCTGGTCCACTTTATTATCCGATAAACCTTGGCCTACCATAACGTACACCGAAGCAATTGATATCATTAATAAAGTTAAAAATAAGGGTAGACTGAAGGGTAGACTAAACTGGGGTGACTCAATTCAAACAGATCATGAAAAGTGGCTTGCTGGTGAACACTTTAACTCGCCGGTATTTATTACCGACTACCCTGCCAGTGAGAAACCATTTTACATGCCACCTTCTACGGACTTCAATCCAGAAAGACCCACCGTTGCATGCTTTGATTTGATCGTACCAGGAATGGGTGAATTGATCGGTGGTTCCATGAGAGAACACCGCTATAACGAGCTTGTAGCAGAAATGAAGCGTCGTAACATGGATATCGAAGAAATGGATTGGTACTTATCTACAAGACTCAACGGTAGCGTACCGCATGGTGGATTCGGTATGGGTTTTGAAAGATTAATATCTTACTTGGGTGCAATGGAGAATATCAAAGACGTTATTCCGTTCCCACGGGCACCGCAAATCTGCCACTGCTGATCCACCAACTCATTGTAAATAGTGTATATAGTAATTCATCTTCAAGCATTAATAAACTATTAATACCATTAACTATTAAATACTGCAAATCAAAGCAGCAGCAAATCCGTACCTCTCGCTCTCTTGATTAAGTAATCAAAAATAAATAAAAAAAAAAAAAAAAAAAAAAAAACTTCAATTGCTCGACGAGTTGAAAAAGCTTCAAATCAGAAATAGCTTTTTGTTTCTAACAGTAGCATAGTACCTTATTTAGAACTAGTCAATAAATACCACCAAGATGGATCAATTAAACGTTAAAGAACAACAAGAATTCCAACAAATCGTTGAACAAAAACAAATGAAAGATTTCATGAGATTATACTCCAACTTAGTCTCAAGATGTTTCGAAGATTGTGTTAACGATTTCACTTCTGCCAACTTGACTACTAAAGAAAGTGGTTGTATCAGTAAGTGTTCTGAAAAATTCTTGAAACACTCTGAAAGAGTTGGTCAAAGATTCCAAGAACAAAATGCCTTGTTGATGCAAAATTTGCAAAAGCAATAGATTCCTCCCTAATGATTATCAAGAATGCCAATAGAATTCTTATGTAACGATATAATTATACAAGCCATCGAGGAAAGTCCATGTTTGACCATTTGGGCTCTTTTCCTTGAGGCTGCTTTGTTCATTCTGTGCAGCCGTTTTCTCTTTTTTTTTTGAATTTTTGAATAAGTTCTCCTACACTCTGTACATATTTAGAACTTATATCCCAATATACATATAAGATATTACCAGACTACCCAGTATTGTTCACTGTTCGTAGGTTGTCTGTCCGGCTATGTATTCAAATTTGCCACTAAGGTTAACGGTTCGAAGGTTGGGGCAATAGAATTTTTCAGAGAAATAGAAAAAAAGAAAAAAAGCGAAAAACTAGTCCAACTCTAAACAAACAACAAAGTAGATTTATCATTATAGCTGTACGTTAGAGTTTACCCGAATATCGAGATTATGGTTGAAATATCGCTACGAAAGGATTTGTACCCAGTATTTATTGCTTCTATCATAAATAAGAGTCTAAAAGGGTTAAAAGAAGTTAGACAACTGTCAGAACTAAATATCAAGATTTTTTTAGCAGAGTTGAATAAACTTGCACTTTCTTATAGCGATAAATATGGCTATAAGGACTTGAATGAGATCACGCAAGAAGAATTGTCCAAGGTTATACAGAGTACTGAATTCAACAAGTTTGTCAGTATACTGGACGAGAAATTGAAGGTTGAAGTTTTACCTGAAGCTTATGAATCACAAATATCGAATATAATAGTCGATTCGGCTTATAATCACTCCCTGAATATACTCAAGGCTATCAATGATTTGAAGTCGGTTTATAAACATCATATTGATTGTGAAAAGAAGGCACCTGAAGAAACTGACAACAAACAACAGACCCCAGAAACTGAAGCTGAGCCTTCTGATAACACAGAGCAGGAAAAAGATGAAAGCAGGGCACAACCCGAGTCTAAGGACAAGTCAAATTCCGTGGCAGATGAAGAATCGAAAGATGTAGAAATGGAAAGTGCGGAGGAGGAAAATGAAGTCAATGCTACGGATAAAGAACACGAAGAAAAGCAAGAATCTTATAGTCAAGATGAAGTGACTAATGAACCTCAAACGAATGATCATAAAGCATCAGTGGATGAGGTGGATAAAAAAGATGATAATATAGCCATAAGTGATAAGAAGGATCTCGAGATAACCGACTCAAAACGAGAAGATGGCGCTGAAGCTGGTAACCAAAATGTCTACAAACAAGACGATAAAGAAAAGGATGAAAGAGAGGATAATGAAGAGGATAATGAAGAGGATAATGAAGAGGATAATGAAGATGATAACGAAGAGGATAAAGGAAAAGATTCGAATATTGATGATTCCGAAAACGACAAAAAGCCATCTCAAGCTGAATCCGACTCTATTCATGAAAAACTTGAATCACCGAAGGATGATGCAGATAGTGTAACTAATGAGGATCACAAGGAGAACGACCAAGGCTCACAAAATACTGTATCAGAAGCTCAGATTAAAGACAAGGATCAAATTGAAGCAAATGACCAAGTTAATGAAGATAATCTCATTGAAAAAGATGATCGAGTCAAAGAAGACAACCAAATTGAGAAAAAGGATCAAAATCAAGATGAAGACAGTGAAGATGTAGAGGAAGAAGATGTCGATGACGATGATGAAGAGGACGATGATGACGATTCAGACTCTGATGATGATGACGGCCATATTCGTGAAATTAAGCGTACTGAAAGACAAAGAAAAGCTGCACAAAGAAAAGCTTTGCTAGCCAAAGAATCTCTAACCCAGACCGGTCGCAAGCGTTCTATCTCACCTTCTGCTCCTAATCCACAGCAACATAAAAGATTTCAACATATCGCTGTTAATCTTATCAATAATATACAAACGCATCGTTTTTCATCCCCATTTTTAAATCCTGTCAATAAAAAAGATGCTTCAGACTATGAAGATATCATATACCAACCAAAAGACTTGAAAAGTATACTTAAGAATATCAAACTGAAAGCCGATTCGCCTCCCTATAAAACAATAAAGGACCTAGAAAGAGATATCATGCTAATGTTTGCTAACTGTATCATGTATAATAGATCTGATACCGACTTGGTCGAACTTACCAAAAGTATGAAAAACGACGTCAGGGACTCGTTCAAAATGTTTGAAGATGCTGCTTCAGACATAAATAAGTAATTTACATTATGTATATATAAAAGCAATACAAGTTTTATACCTTTCGATGGTTGTCAAATCGATTTTTGCAATTTATAAGTCGTTCTTTACATAAGCAGAGGCGATGAAAACTTTTTCAGCACAAAAACAAAATTTTAACTTGAGCATTTGATAGACCTTCAAAAGCGCCACTAATAAAGGTTTATGGACTAGAATATCATATATTTCCCGTCTGATTTCTTCATTACAACATCATAAGTAGGATAATATTCTCGGTGAAAGTGAATTTAATCAAATATTTTCGAAGATTCGCGAGGATTAAATCAACAATGCCATCATCTTTTGTTAAATACTCATCTTTTGATGTTGATTATGCCCCTGCTAAGGTAACAAAATGGAGATCTGAAAGAACTGGTTTACAACTTGTTTATATTAACCAGCCGTCTCCAATTGTCAATGGGTACTTTGCGGTAGCCACAGAAATCCCCGATGATTCAGGTTGTCCTCATACATTGGAGCATTTGATTTTCATGGGATCAAAGAAGTATCCATACAAAGGTTTATTAGATACTTTAGGGAATAGATTGTTCTCCACCACCAACGCTTGGACCAGTGTCGATCAGACTGTCTATACTTTAACAAGTGCTGGTTGGGATGGTTTTAAAGCATTATTACCAGTTTACCTCGACCATTTACTCTCTCCAACTTTAACTGACGAAGCATGTTTAACTGAAGTCTACCATGTTGATGGAAAGGGTAAAGAAAAAGGTGTTGTATTCAGTGAAATGCAAGGTATTGAAAGTCAATCCTGGTTTGTTACTTTTCTCAACATGCAAAGGAAATTATATGCCAAAGATTCTGGTTATTCATCAGAAACTGGTGGTTTAATGTCTGAATTACGTCACTTGACCAATGATCAAATAAAAGAATTCCATAAAAGCTCCTATAGGCCAGACAACTTATGTATAATTATAACTGGTTTTGTTGACGAATCCGAACTTTTGAATATCGTCTCTGGATTTGATAGTGAATTGGATCCATTGCCATCTACTCCAAATAAGAGACCATTCCTCGATTCCAAACACGATGAGCCTTTGAGCAGTACCATTATTGAAGAGGTTGAATTTCCTGAAAAAGATGAATCAATGGGTGAAATTGTAATCTCTTGGATTGGTCCTCGTAGTGATGACATGCTAGTAAATTTGGCTGTTGATATGATTGGAGCTTATTTCAGTGATAGTCCAATTTCCTTCTTCAACAAACATTTGGTTGAAATTGAAAATCCTCTAGCCAATGAAATTGATTATAACACTGACGATTATGTCAGAACTACCATGAATTTTAGCATTGGTTCGATTCCTACAGAACATTTGAAATTGGTTGATACTAAAGTAAAAGACATTATTAAAGAGCATACAACAGTAGATAACTTTGATTTAAACTACATGAAGCAAATTTTACATCAACAAAAATTAAAATTTGTTTCTTCTACTGAAAGATCTGCTCAAATTTTTGCTAACGTATCAATAAATGAATTTATTTATGGTAATAAAGATGGAAAGGATTTAGAAAGATGGCTCAAATCATTAGAAGATTTTGAAGCTTTGGAAAAATGGTCATCGGAAGATTGGACCAGTCTCATCAAAAAGTATTTTGTTGAGAATCACTCAGCAACCATTTTAGGTAAACCATCTTCCAAATTGAACAAGTCTTTAAAGCAGCAAAATAAGGACTTCTTAAGACAGACAAAAGAAAAATTTGGTGAAGAAGGTTTGAAAAATTTACAAGAAAAGTTTGACCATGCACAAGAAGTCAATAACAAGTCGATCCCTGAAGATATAATCAAGCTGTTTGATAGACCTGACCCTGCAAAAATTCAATTCATCGATACAGATTCATTCAAAGCAGGATCAAATACTCTCGATTTCCCATTATATAAGTCTGATGATGAATTCAATCAAATTTTATCAAACGATACACCAACAGGTTTCCCATTATCATTTCATTTCGAGCATTACAAATCTCAGTTCACCACTGTTCATTTGATTCTGAGCTCCACCACTGTTGATAAAGAATTATTAAAATATATGTCAGTATTAGAAGAGATTTTTGGTTTGTCTGTTCAAACTCCTGATGGCCAATATATTCCATATAATGATGTCATCTCCCAAATAAATAATGATTTAATCGAATTTCAATTAGATAATGGATTTGATGGTCAATTCTATGAATTGATCAATGTCAAAGTTAAATTTGAAAATCAAAACTATGCAAAAGCAATTGATTGGGTTTTAAAAATCTTAAAATATTCTGTTTTCGAAGAATCAAGAGTCAAAGTCATTATTGAGAAAATCATCAATTCATTACCTGAGAAGAAACGTAACGGTGAATTAATGATGTACTCATCACAACTTCGTACATTATACACTGACGATAGCATAAGAAAAGCACAAGATTCTATTAATACTGAGTCTTTCTATAAAGAACTTTTAACAAAGATTGAGAATGGCCAATTTAAAGACATTGAAAATGACTTAAATCGATTAAGATCTCAATTATTCAATTTAGACAATATTAAAGTTGTTGTGATAGGTAACGCTAAAGCGTTGCCCCAACCAATTTCTACTTGGACTAGATTCGTTGAAGCATATAATAGTGACAGCACTAATAACAAAAAAGGTTTAGATTTCGTTTCAAACTTACCCCGTGCATTTGAATTTCATTCCGATATTGGTGAAGCTTGTAAGCAAAGAGCATACATTACAACAGTTTCATCGACTGAATCATCATATTTAGCTGCATGTACTCCAATCCCCAAAGACTATTTCAATAAAGATATATATTCAATTTCACTTGCTTGTGAATTCTTGCGTGCTTTGGAAGGACCACTTTACAGGGGTATCAGAGGTACCGGATTAGCATATGGAGCAAGTGTTCGTCAAACTGTTGAAACAGGATATCTTAGTTTCTCAATATACAGAGGAGCAGATGTTCAACAGGCATGGATTGCGGGTAAAAAAGCTATTGAAGATTATGCTAATGGTACCCAAAAAATTGAACAACTTGATCTCCAAAGTTCAATTGCAGGTATCGTCAATGGAGTTGCAGAGGCAGAAAGTAATGCTTATGATGCTGCAGCTGGTAAGTTCAATGATGATATTTTAAAGAAAAGAGGACCCAATTTTATTTATAAGTTTATTGACAAACTCAACCAAGTTACTACCGAAGACGTGGTATATGTATTGAAAAAGTATTTTATTCCTTTATTCAGTCCTGAAAGTTCTTTATTATTTGCCTGTGTTCCACCAACTAAATCGGATGGTTTCACTAAGTTCTTACAAGAAACGGGATATCAAGTAAGTGTTGAAGAAATCGGGGCTGGCGAGCCTGGTGAAGAAGCTGGTGGATGTTGCTCAGGAGACGATCACGACCATTCTGGTGAAGAAGATAGTGGAAGTGAAACTGATTCTGATAGTGAATCGGACAGTGATAGTGAAATAGAGGAAGCTGATTAGAAAGTCAAGTATTATTATTAGTAGTCAATAGACAATAGAATAGATAGTGAAAGTGTAGAATATAATCATACTACAAACACAAAATATTCAAAATGACAAAAATGCTTATTTAAGATAAATGAAATAGAAAATAAATGAAATAAAAAGATAAATGAAATAAAAAAAATTGAATATAGTCTATAAGATGTATTAAGTAGATTATTTTTTGGTATCTGGGAAAACCAAATACTTTAAGTTTCCGGCTTTCAAATCTTTTGAATCCTTTTTCAAGAAATCAACAAATTTCGATACTTTATCACAAACTTGCAGTTGAGGCATTTTAGCAACGTTATCCCAGAAGCTTTGCGATCTGATACCATGACAGGCGATCCATTTTGAAATGGTATGAAATTTCAATTCCCAATCTGTTTTACTGAATGAGTCTTTATATGCATCAGGTAATCCTAAGGATCTGTGTTTGAAAACACCTTCATATCCATCTTGAGCGGAGTCTAATACGGGGTTGACTTTAGCACCATGGACGTGTAAGAAGAAGACATCTGGCATTTGATAAGTAATTAATCCTGCGCTATCTTTACCATCGGATTTTATTATTTGTTTTTCCTTTTTGAAATCATCTAATAATTTTTGAGTGTATGCATTTGCCTGGAAAGGCCATAATCTAGTATCTAATTTTTTTGATTTTAACCAATCTTTCCAATCATTAAAGAATTTAAGATTTTGTTGAGGATCGGCTTGGACAATTGTTGTTTCTTTAAAAAATCCATCATCTCTTCTATAACCGGCTAACCAAGAGTCATGATTAACAACATGATAAGGTTCATTTAAAGCGTGTAAGGCAGGAACAAAAGTTTCACGATCACCTTCACCGGGGACACCAAGATGTAATAATCTATAATAATGAGAAGGACCATAAATATTATAATATAACGTAAGAATTAAACTTCTCCAATGGAAATGACGAGAAAAGACCAATTGACCAGATTCCACGGACATTGATGGAGGAGCTCCTTCTAAATCATGTAAGCTAACTTTTTTATAATGATCTTGTTTCAAGTAATCTATATAGGAGGCATCATTTGCAATACCATCACGATGAATTGGATGACCTAATTTTATATTTGCAATTTCATAATATTGAGGAGCCACTTGTTTATGCCAAATATCTGGCCATAAGACGAATTTAGTATTTAAGAAAGGATCCAGTTCAAATAAAGTGTCTACGTTTTTAAGGGGTAAACTATCAGCATCTAAAGCAATAACGTTATCAAATCTTGAAACCAAGAAACCCAAAACTTTCATTTGAAATTTTTTCAAATTTAATTTTTTCAATAAATCACTACCAATTTCATTTTCGATAATAATACAGTGGGCATTGAATTGATTTGGTAATAAATTTTCACAAATGTCTTTATCGTATTCCTCTTGAGTATTTATAATGACTTCAATTGGTAATTTTGAACCCATTTCTCTAATTTGGCCAATTGTGACAAGAGCACCGGGGAAGTAAATTCCACCACCACTGATCATGATACCATTACCATGAGCAACATGGCTTGGAGGAGGAGGTAATTCTTTTAATAATCTTAACAAATTTTCGTGTTTAGATTTCAAATCGTTAAATTTATCTTCTTTTAAATGAATATGAGAACGTAATTTTTCTTCAGAATATGGAGGAACAACATCACGGTAAAATCTACCAATTAAATCTTCTCCTCTTTCCTCATCTGATAACTTATCTGATTTTGGACCATTTGCTAATAACAAATCTTCTATAATATAACTGAAATATTTTTTCTTATTAACAAATTCGTCTAATTTGGTATCAATTTTTGATTGTAAATCAAAATTCGAATCTAACGCTGGGATTTCATTAATCACTTCTTTAAAACTTGAGATAATCGAAAAATCTTTCAAAACGTCTTTATGTTGTTCGATATAATCAGTTTTCAAATTTTCGATTAATTGATACGAACGAACTTGTTCATCAAAATATTTTTTGGAATAAAGTTCATTAATAGAGTTACGTAATTCGTTTTTAAATTTTGGTTCGTACTCCTTCTCAATAGAAGCCTTCAATTCACTGGTATACTTTTTTTCATACTTGGTCTTGAGCTCCTGCTTCAACTTTTCCAATATATCCTGCTGGTGAGTTTCCGTAATCTCCTTGGTCAAGGAATCAATATAGTCCTGAGAGTCAACTTGATCAATGTTATTTTGTATGGCCTTATTGCCAACTGTATAACTTTCCAAATGAGATGATACTTTATTTGGTACCGATTCGTTATTAGCTCGGTATAAAGCAACATTGAAGATGATCGTCACCGCTATAAAAGCCAATAGGATCATAGACAACGGTGATACACTTCGTCTTGGTATTAACATCCTCTCTTTACTAGCTAAAAGCTTGTCTATTGTTTAAAACGGTTACGTAATTGTAGAAGATAACGTCAAAAGATCAAAAGAAAAAAAAAAAAGTCAAAAAAAACCCAAAGAATGAATGAAAAAAGGTAGAAACAACTTACCTTCCTAGCACCAACCAGTAGTCCTTCTAAACAGACTTACAACTAGGCCAAAGGATAAAATTTATATGTTGGAAAAAATTAATTAGAAAAATTGAGTTTTTATATATAGATCTGCAGAAGAGGAAAAATTCATATAAACAAAAAAAAAAAGAAAGAAAAAAAAAATGTAATTCCAAAAACTGATAGACATCCAATTTAAAAGGGAAATCCAAAGGGAAATCTGCTGTTTCGGTTTCAGGTGAACCTCCGTTCGAGTGTTCGGGAAAGCACGTAGATCTGGACGGTGGCACCCTGCTGCTGGCCCCTGGCACTGCAGCCATGTTGATCTTGGGATATATGTCCGCTCTCATTGGATCCGAGTAGGTCGTTTGACGGGATTGATACAGCCATCCTTCACGCAGGCACCCAAACCGTTGGACAGATTATCCCGTCCCGCACACCCCCCGTACACCGTTTCTGTTCAATACTAGAGCACTACCTCTTGCTGACTTGGGTATGGAACGAATCTTCAATTAATTCCTTTTGATTGTTTTCCTGAAACCCATAATATAACGCTTTCGCAAAAAGGGCTATGGGGATCTAACCACGAACCACGTTTGGGGCTATTATCAGTAATTATTATTTGCAATTAGTATGCGAAGGTTCTTAAAAGCTCTTGTGCCAATTGAAATATCAATGTACTGGTCCTAATACCTTTGGGTATGGGCTCTTTCTCGTAATAGCCCTAAACCTGGCATGCTGGTGAAACATTTTGTACCACTAAACAACCATGGTTTGGAGTATCGCCATTTGACGTTTTTTGACGTTTTCGATTTCTGTCACCTCATCATTTTGTGTAAAAGAAACAAAAACAATTATCATCGCCTGCTCACGTGCGCTACGTCCTCTGGACGCTTGGGGAAGACAGCCGTGTGGCTACCCTGGGTGGTTGTAAGAGCTTGGGGTTCATGGGGAGGGCTTTACGTACGGAATTTCGAGATATCCCGTTGGTTGGGTTTCGCTACAATTGCAGGTTGCGCAACCTGTAAAAACCGGTACGGGTTACGATTTTGCAGCCATCAAAAGTTTATTGTTTTCTCAGCTAAGGATATACCATATTTATCTCTTAAGGTTTCCCTGAGAGGATCATTGATTTCAGAGGACATTGGTGCGAGGAGGCCCGGCTTGCTGATGGTTTCGTCCAAAATTTGCTGAGCTGCAACTGCACAGGGGGTACCGACTAATTTTGCCATAGCAGAGTAACCCTTCACGTCACCGTATTCAACCAAAGTAGAGGTCCTGGTTTCTTTGGAGCCATCAGCCCATTGGATACCAAACTTGTGCTGCAAGCAAACCATATCCCGTTCGCCTTCCTTGTATTGCATTAGTTCTTCCAAGGTTTCGCAGAAAGTGTCTAGTGGGTTTCCCCTGGCGGTGATGGGAGTATCCGAGAATAGTCCGAGCCATCTCAACCCACTGAGCGTCCGAGCTTTATCTTGCTCGTTGGCGAAAGTGGTGAGTGACTCGATTCTGGAAATAACGGCGGACTCGTCAGAGTTTTGCGCTCCAACCAAAATGGAAATGGCTTCTTTCCATGGAATTGGCTTGGTAAACGCTTCAGAGCCATTGTCAGTTAGGATTCCAATGTCGATTAGAACTTGGATAAACTCCGGGAATCCTTGGAACCTTAAATTCCCCCTTATGACCGTTTCAGCTTCGGGGATGTTATACAAATCTTTATAAGCAGTTGAGTCTCGATTAGGATAAGCAACAAAGGCAAATCCGGGATAGATGAGGTAGGGCTCAGCAGTAGCCATCAAATCTTTGAATTCAACTTGCTGAATCTCGCCATTTTGCCAGTATCTTGCAGTATTTCTTAAAGCCAATATCACTCCCCTTGGGGACCAAGAAAATTTAAGTCCTAGTGGATTATCGGAACTTTCTGGTGCTGGTACGCCACCACAATATGAATGGAACGACTTGATTTGCCCTGCTTGTTGATGAACTTCCTCGATCGTTTTAACAGCATATAGATGATCAATACCGGGGTCCAAACCTATTTCATTCATCACAATAATTCCCGCATCTTCAATCTGCTTTTCCAAAACCTTTAATTTAGGACTGATATAAGAAGTAGTAACTACATGTTTTCTCGTCTTAATAGCAGCCTTTACGACATTGACGTGATAAACATATGGAATTAAAGAAATTACCAAATCAAACTTAGCTATTTCTGATTCCAAAGCATCTTCATCTGTAGCGTCTAATGAAATTGCTTCGGCATTTGTGCCAGCCATTTCTTTAGCCTTGTTTAATGTTCTGCAGGCTACTGTGACTTCAACATCGGATGTTTCAGCTAAAATATCAACGGTTGGTTTGGCAACAAACCCAGAACCCAATAAAAGTACTTTCTTAGTCATTCTCTGCTATAGGGAGACTAAACAAACTGAAATCGTTGACCCTGGTTTACTTTTATAGGATTCAAATTGTTGAAGTTGTCGGCAAAATTACCATTTGCAATCGGAGGTGGTAAACTGCGCATAGTTCTAATCCCTTTTTTTTGCAATCATTTTTATTTAAGACAGATATGAATGGATATGCTATAAGAATAACCAAGAGAAAGCAACGGGCTATTGTGCTAAGTCCTTACATTTCAGAACAACATCGGTAAATGGACTAGGCAAGCGAATTGGTAAACAACCCGACTAGCAAACTGGCAAGCAAACTGAAAGACACTGGAAAGACTATCTAGATGATTTCAGTAGTGGTTATCTTTCGGCTACGACGAGTTCAGCCGCTTTGGGAAATGATAGGCATCATCAACTGAATAAACGTAAAAGTCGAGTTATTAAAGTCACTTGCCACTAGGTTTAGCTTTTTGTTTTTTGCCTCTAATCGCCCTTGCTTTCGTCCCGAGACTTTTAAATCCAATCCTTCTAATTCATTCGCCTATTTGCTCAGCTATGATTTACGTAATTGGTATTAGTTAGACGTCTTTGTTGTCTTTATTTTATGCTGTCTTTATACATTTTGAATATCGGTCACGTGATTTTTTTTAAATCATTTTTTCAAGTCGCTTTTAAAAGACGATTGCCACAAAATATCTTACTTTATAATAAACCAAAGTAATGATGACGACTGATAATAATGTTATACCGCTTGGTGAGTTCAAGATCAGTACTGGGTCAACTTTGGCGAGCCATTCCGACAAGTCCATTCTACCAGCTTCAATATTATCGAGTATATTAGAATTTCCGCAATTCAAGAACGATTCATTACCTCATCCATTAATATTTGAATTATCAAAAGGTGGGAAGAAAACCATAATAGGAGTTAAAGAATTTACATCACCGGACGATTCTGTTATAGTTCCCCAATCCATATATGAAAAACTTGAAAATAATGATGAATTGGTGAGTATTAAATTGATTAATAATTTACCAAATGCAACATTTTTAAAATTGAAACCATTACAATTCTACCCACAAATAAATAACTGGAAATATTATTTGGAAAGTCATTTACCTTTGCTATATACGACATTGGCTAAAGGAGAAACATTGACCATTGAATCGGACAATAATCAATATGAATTATTGATTGAAGACAGTAATGAGTCGATTGTTAATATAATTGATACTGATGTAATACTTGATATAGTACCATTGAATGATATAATGGCATCTCAGCAAATCGAATACGATAAGAATTTGAATTATCTTGAGAACATTAATGAAATAGCGGTTGGGGTACATAAGTTAACTAATTTAAAGTCTATGGATAAATCAATGGTTCCAATAATTTACAAAATTGATCTAACTAAAATCAATAAGAGGTATTTGAAATTTGACATTTTCAATGAGAATTTGAATGAATTGGGTAAAGGTGATTATAGTTCGATATTTAATACTGATTTAATCATTGGTTATGATAAATTAATTAATTTAGAAAATTTTCGATTTGAAACTATGTCTAGTGATTTTGATATACAAGAACAAGTTAAAAAGGACTCTAAATGGGTTAAAACAATCATGATTGATATACAAAATGATGATATTCAAAATAATTTACTGAAGAAATTTAATAACGATGACGAAAATGCCGGATTCCTTTATATATTACCATTCAATTGGGAATTCTCCAATGATGTTACACTTACCATTAATGAATTAAGCGAAGTACCCACTCCAGCACTGCAAACAGATGGGCCGAACGTTGATCAAATCATATGCTCAAATTGTAAATCCCTTATATCCAAAACAAAACAACCGACCCATGAAGCATTTTGTTACCGACATAATAAACGATGTGAGTGTAATGAGGTTTTCTTGGATAAAATCCCTTCGAACCACTGGCATTGTGAATACTGTGACATTGAGAAATTCCACGGTAGCTCGTCATTATTAAAATTCAAACACGATAAATTATACCATTCGTCGTATACTTGTTGTAACCAAGAGTTTGCTAATTATTTTGAGTTGGTCAATCATAAATCAACTACTTGTCCGTTCAAATTACACGAATGTCAATTCTGTCACTTGATCCTACCTCAAGAACAAGCTGATTTTCAGGATAATTTTGCTAATTTAAGTCATCATGAGAATAACTGTGGTAATAAAACAACCGAATGTTTCCAATGCAATAAGATCTTGAAAAGAAAAGATTTAACCAAACATTTGAAAATTCACCAATTGGATAAAATTGAAAATACTAAGAACGTTTCAACCTTCTCTCAGAAATGCACTAATGAAAACTGCATTCACTTGATTGAATCAATGACAAACGATTTGGGACTATGCGACTATTGTTATGGGTCCATCTATTCGAATCAACTAGATCCCAACAACATCAAACTACAGAACCGTTTGGAGAGAAAATACATTCTACAATTAAGCAAAGGCTGTGGATTCATCTGGTGTGAAAACATCGAATGTTCCACCGGCTCAAAGAACTTGGGCCAATCCCAGGAACGCCCGTTCAAACAGTTGATAACCCATGTCCACAAAAACTTACTCTCCCGTATCTCCCGACCTTTGCTCCCGCTCAACAAGTCCCATGCTCCTGATCCCAATGGAAATAAGTTCTGGTTCTGTGTTAATGAAAGTATAACCAATAAAAAGAAAATGGTTGCTAAATTGTTATTGGAACATGTCTACGAAGAAATAGTCCTCTATAAAGCAGTCAACGAGGTTCCAACTAGTGACGAGTCTCTCGTCAGGCTGTGGTTGGTGGAAAACATTGCTTAATGCAACGAATACTGCCTAATACAATAATCTAATCACTAGTCAATGGCTAGTCCCTAGTGTAGGTTGCAATTTGCAATCCTTGTAAAACGAAACCACCCGTACATCCTCGCCGCCATCCCTCGCTCGCTCGCTCGTCCGTCACACGACCGCAGTATCTACCCACTGAGAGCTTAACAAAGGGGTTACCCTGTGCTGGTCCCATCCCTCGGAAATGCTTTTTAGTGAGTGATAAGATAAAAAAAGAAAGTAGCGGGGGGCAGACCAGCAGGATATAAAGTATTCCCTTATCGCCACTGTTTTTTCGAATACCTTTTTCTTTTCTCTTTTTTTTTATCAATCAATCTATATTTTCTATCCTGGTTTATCAATTGACTTGCTCTAGGATATTAAAATATAGATAATCAGTTTACTCGTTCTTTCCCACGCATAGAATTATCTACTTATAAGGGTTATAGACCATTTTTTTTGCCCTTTTTATCTATATATAAAGTTTAGTATGTTATTATCAAAATCCGTTGCTCTTTCTATCTTGGCCACTTTAGGGGTCAATGCATTGGTTATTCCATCCGTTGGTGATGTTGTCGATGTCTTTGCTGCTGAAGGTAAGCAACTTGTTGCCGCCGATAAGAATGGCGAAGGTAAAGATGTGGCTTCTGCAGCTTCTGCAAAAGAAATGGATGTTAAATTGGTTGACGAAAAGAAACAAAGTACTCTTTTCTCTACTGAAGCGGTTAGGGAAATCATTCCACATAAATATATCATTGTGTTGAAGAATGATTTAACCGCCGAACAAATTCAATACCATCAAGAATGGGTTGCTTTACAGCACGTTAACTCTTTGGCTTCCATTCAAGATGATCCTTCTCATTCGTTCTTTACTGCCACCAAAGAGTTGAACCCCACCTCTTCTTCTGTTGACGTTGGTGGTATTGTGGATTCTTTCAGTATCGAAAACTTGTTATCTGGTTACTCGGGTTACTTTTTGGAATCCACCATTGATATGATTCGTCGTAATCCTTTGGTTGCCTTTGTTGAAAAAGATTCTAAGGTTTATGCTTCTGAATTTGATACCCAAAAAGGTGCTCCTTGGGGGTTGGCTAGAGTTTCTCACAGACAACCTTTAAGTTTAAATTCTTTCAATCAATATCTTTATGATACTGAAGGTGGAGATGGTGTCACCTCTTATATCATTGATACCGGGGTCAACATTAATCATGAAGAATTTGGTGGTAGAGCTAAATGGGGTGCTACCATTCCTACTGGTGATAGTGACGTTGATGGTAATGGTCACGGGACTCATTGTGCTGGTACCATTGGTTCTAAAGCTTATGGGGTTGCCAAGAATGCTAACCTTGTGGCCGTCAAAGTCTTAAGATCAAATGGTTCTGGTTCCATGTCAGATGTTGTTAAAGGGGTTGAATTTGCCGCTAAAGCTCATCAAGCTGAAGCTAAAAAGGGTGCTAAAGGCTTCAAAGGTTCTACCGCTAATATGTCTCTTGGTGGTGGTAAATCTCCTGCTTTAGATTTGGCCGTTAATGCTGCCGTTAAAGCCGGTATTCACTTTGCTGTCGCTGCTGGTAATGAAAATCAAGATGCTTGTAATACCTCTCCTGCATCCGCCGAAAATGCTATCACTGTTGGGGCTTCAACCATTTCCGATGCTAGAGCTTATTTCTCCAATTACGGTAAATGTGTTGATATTTTTGCTCCTGGTTTGAATATCTTGTCTACCTATATTGGTTCTGATACTGCCACCGCTACTTTATCTGGTACTTCAATGGCTTCTCCTCATATCGCTGGTTTATTATCTTATTATCTTTCTTTACAACCAGGTGCTGACTCTGAATTCTTTGTCTCATCTAAAGGTGTTTCTCCAGAACAATTGAAGAAAAATTTGATTCACTATGCTACCAAAGACGCTTTATCGGATATCCCTGATGATACCGTCAACTTATTGGCCTTTAACGGTGCTGGTAAGAACTTGACTGAATTCTGGGGTGTCTCTGAACAAAGCATTTCTACTGAAAATAAACAACTGATTGATTTTACCAAATTAGAAAACAAAATCGAAGGATTGATTCATAAAGCTGAAGCTGATAGTGAAGGCTTTTTCAAAGATCTCGAAAACTTTGTTGAAGGGGTCTACAAATCCAATTAGGTTGATGATTTTTTACGATAGAGTATGCAATCCTGTTTCAGTTCTTGACATCACTTCTGAAGTCCACTACTTGAGTTGATCATAACTTCAAGTTGTCTTTTTGATATTTTGTTTCCCTTCTTTGGTTTATCTGTTTTTCTTTTTTACCTTTTTTAGGTTCTTTGTCTATTGTTTCTCATAAACATTTCAAATAAATCTTTAGTATACTCTTTGACTTGACTTCATTTGAAACTAGCCTACTAGAATACATATTATTCATTTTATTCAACGTAATGTGTAAATAACTACTATACTAATGTGACCTTAACCTGTTTTGTATACAGGAAACTCGGTGACTTACAGTGGCGATTCTAAAGTTTGGCATATACTAAGACATTTATAAAGAATTTGAACCCTTCTGATTCAAATTTTAATACCTTCATTCAATTCCCTCTTGCTTTTCTCCTATAAAGAGAGTTATAATCGTGTGATATTCTCATATATCATTAAAAACCCAGTTATTGTCAAAGCCTATCAAAAAAAAAAAACCGATTTCAAAGTTCGAGCGAAGGAAAAAACAAACGAAGCCGAACGAACTTCAAAGACCTTTTTAGGAGAATCTATAGTCCGAATCCTTGAAATTATTATATACAACTACCATACTACCCCATATTGCATTTCTATCATAGCATTGTTGTATTCAAAAATTAAGTGAAGTTATATTTTGTTTGCAAGAACAGTGTCTTTTTTTTCCAACCCTATAATATAGTCATAATCATTAATAATCATGTCAACACCAGCTAAAAGAAGACTTATGCGTGATTTCAAGCGTATGCAACAAGATGCCCCTAGTGGAGTATCAGCATCACCATTACCGGATAATGTCATGTCGTGGAATGCTGTTATCATAGGACCGGCTGATACTCCATTTGAAGATGGTACATTCAAATTAATTTTACAGTTTGATGAACAATATCCTAATAAACCACCAACAGTTAAATTCATAAGTAAGATGTTTCATCCAAATGTTTATGCAAGCGGTGAGTTATGTTTGGATATCTTACAAAATAGATGGTCTCCAACATATGATGTTTCGAGTATTCTTACTTCTATTCAATCTTTACTTAATGATCCAAATATCAGTTCTCCTGCTAATGTGGAGGCAGCCAATTTGTACAAAGACCATAGATCCCAATACATCAAAAGAGTGAGAGACACAGTGGAGACTAGTTGGAACGAAGATGACGATGAAGCAGATGACGATGAAGACGATGAATAAACAAATTGAATATGAGTACGTGAATCTTTGCAATTAGTTTAATACCATATATATATATGGATATATATTATATATTGAGTCTAGATAAACTGCACACTGTAGTCTTTTTATATACAAGGTTTTTAGAATTATTTTAACCATAAATAATACCATTTACGTTTTTGTTTAGCTTCGGCTTCTTTCTTTAATGCTTCTTCGGCTTCTTTTTCTCTTTCTTGCCTTAATTGTCTTTCCTTTTCATAAGGATCTTCAATAATAGTCTCGACTGGTTTCCCAGATTCACCAGTGTTTTTATCTCTAGCAATTGCAAGAATACTAATGAAGACTGTTAAATAAATGAAAAATTTAGTGATTCCATCCATTTTCTTCATATCAAACTGTTTTTCTCTTACTGGAGTTTCAGCCAATATAACTGGTTCTAGTTTTTTTATGATTGTTTTGGCGCTTGGATTGCTGGTTTTAATTTTCAGTGGTAAATGGAATGGTAAATCATAAGGTGGTTCATTAGTTTGCCAGTTTCTAAAATCCTCTCTTACTCCCCAATTCCCGTACGCAATATAGTAACCTAGCTTTTTATCTTGTACAGTAAGCTTATGCCACTTCTTATCGAACTTTTCTTGTAACTCCTTGAGCACCTGACCTTGGTGCAATAAGCTTAATGTACCAAATAATGATGGATCTTCAAAGATTGGCTTAGTATCAATTGGTTGTGTTGCTTCATCGGGTGCTGACGAAAACATAGTACCGATATCCTTAATGGATTGTAATGCTAATTGAGCAGCTTGTGCTTTCTTTTCTTCCTCGCTTAGCTCTTTTTCTTCGGGTTGGCCATCATCCTTCTTTAATGTTTCATTTTTGTTCTTCTCTTCAGCTTTCTGATCAGTTATGTTAGAGGTTGAGGGTTTCGAAAAATTTGAAGTGGAATACCTTAACACCCTCGATCTGTTCGGTATCACTGCTCTTGAGGGTCTTAATGAATGGGCCAATATTCTTTTTGTTATTATACTCGACATACTATCCTTGGTACCTTCAGCTAGCTGACTTGATTCACTCTTCGAGATTTTCAACGTTTCCTTTTTTCTGTGATTTTTTTTTCAACTCTCAGAAAAGAAAGTCCTGCACCTCTAGATAATTGATGCAAAATTAGCAAGTTGCAATTCAAATACTTACTTTGAATTGAGTTTTCAACTAGCTAAGGGTATTCTTTTATGGATTTTGCATTTAACTTTATACTTATTATTTTGAGTGAATGTTACTAAAAAATGCAATTGGTGCTAAAGGAGAGGGAACTCTTGCGAGTAAAACCGGTACATAATTTCGAGTGATATTCGAAGATCATCCAAAGCTTAAAGATCTTTTAATTCATTCTATGCCTTGTTGCTCTTTGAACAGCTTTCATGTCGTCTTATAAAATGGTTGAATTTTATTGAAATTATAAACACCTAGGAGTTCCTTATCATAGAAAGAAATGTATATATGTGGTTACCATTCATGATAATATTGAATTCTAGCGTAAATGTTTATTGGCTTATGGAGCCTTACAGTTTTCTAGTTTAGTGTAAAGGAAAGTTAAGAGATATTCCTGAAAAACCTCAATTATTTGTAAATTTTTACAAAAATACATTTTTCACAGACTCTTATAATAGAGTCCTTATTAAGCCACCAAAATTCAAACATTCCATTCATTCTACTATATTTCAAGATAGTCTGGTTGGTGTTTGTTTACTCAAGTGTTCAAAAATTTCATTTTTTTTTGAAGCAGTTAGCTGAGCCATCCAAACAGCCAGGACCTGTTTTAATAATGAGTACACAATAAAGCCCTCTAATATACTAAAAGTATTTAAATTAAGAAGTTTTCTAAATTTTTTTAAATTTACGTTAAATAATGCTTTATGAAAAATACGAATGGATAGTTGACCACCTTGTGTTTTTCGATATAAAAAGCCTGGTTAGCTCAATGGCTAGAGCGTGTGACTTTTAATCACAAGGTTGCGGGTTCGACCCCCGCATCGGGCTTTCTTTTTTTGCAACTTTTTTCTGTTATCAGTATCATTTGAGTCTCTCGAATGCTTCATAAGGTTTTCTATATCGGAGAAAAGCATAAATCAAGTATATACGAATATAATATTAAATTAAAGTCTATACAATTACATTATACGGTTCATTAGTCTTCCAACAGCGATCATTGGAGCACAAATAGCTTGCACCGTCAAGCACAAAGCATTAATCAATTTTGTAATTTCATAAAACATCCAAATGAAAACCACTAATTCAACAATAAGGATAAACGTTTGCAAATGCGGGAAATTTTCACCTATGACATCTATAGGTGCAAATACAATTTTCATGTACGGAATGCTTTTGATCATCGAGTTAATATTTGAAATCATTTCTTTTGGGGAGCCAGTCGAATTGATAAGATTTTTAGCTTTTGATGCAGCTGATGATTCTGTCTTCATTCGAGTCTTGGATCCTAAGGATCTCAGGGACTTCAGGGATCTCAGAGACTTCATGGATTTCAAAGACTTTACCGATGGTGATTTGAGGGATTTAGACGATATACTTCTCGAGTCAATCTCCATCGAGTTACTGGACGTAGGTGGTGAACGATCGAAAGATGCTGTTACAGGATTATAGTATAAAGCAGAGGCATCATCGTCGTCACTTACCTCAACTTCAATTTCCAGCATGGAGTCTATATTAAAGTCTTGTCCATAAAAGGAATTATGTGATGACTTCTTAGAGCCTCCTAATTCATCGTTCGCAGCAGCTTCAGCAGCAGCATTCGCAAGTAATGCATCCGCTTCACGTCTTTTTTCATACTCTAATTGAGATAAGTCACCAGTAAATAAGGCAGAAGCAGGCTGATTCCAATTGGATACAACAGCTTTATAATTCTTCTTAAGTCCAGTTAAATTCAATTTTGAAGCATTTTTCTTCTTGTTTTTATTTTTTTTCTTATCTTTGATTGAAGCAGCTTTAGCAGCTTCCTTAGGAGTTTGTGCAACTTGGGGCTGAGAATCATTATTTTTCGCCTTTGGTTTAAAAGCGTCTTCCTCTATATCACTATAATCACTAGTAAAATAGTCTTCGTCATCCTCTTTCACTTTCGGTGTTTCTTTTTCATAAACAAGCCAAGATAAAATATAATTCCAAAGAGGGTTGAAAGCAGGATCGGGACCTAGACCAGACTTCGGTTTCTCCTTAGGTCTTTCTTCATCATCAGACGAAAATATTTCATCATCTGAAGTATTATCATCACCATCATCGATGGCATCAAGTTTATTAAGTTTCTTAGATTGTTGAGGAGATCGTTTAGGGGAACCTGGAGCTTCAGGTGAATGTTCAACAACTTCTTCAGAGTCATCTTGAGAGTTTCTGGGGCGATTTAAATTTTTATTCTTGTGATAGTTATTAATATAATCTTGACCTAACTCCTTTTTCATAGTTTTTATTTTCTTCCTCCATAATTTTTTGAAATTATTATTTTTTTTCATATCTTGTTTAGTTTCATCAGGTAAATAGGCAAAAAGTGCTTCATTATCAGAATCATCACTTGAACCATCAGCAAAAACATCAGTAGCTTCGGCTCGAGTTTTCTCTTCCTTCGATTTTTTAGCTTTATCTTCTTGTTCTCTTTTCTTTGCTCTCGCTTCCCGTTGTTTTTCCTTTTCAGCATAATAGTCATAATCATTATAACTATTTTGTTTTAATTTAGATTGAAAGCTTTTAAAAGCAGATTTAAACTTCTGTTCTTTGACATCTTCTTCTGGCTGTTGAAAGACCAAGTCCATTGGATTAAATCGATCAACGTTTTCATTCTTATCTTGAAATACTTCTTTAAAAGTCTTATGCGTATACATTTTTGGTTTGAAAGGCGATTCTTCATACTTTTTCTTTTCTAAAACATAATAGTCACTATAATCATATTTTTTCTTTCCAGAGTTCAAATTTTTAAGATTCTTATCACTATTTTTATCATCACCATAATCGTAATAAAATGAAGAATAATCATCCTCTTCAGTCTCATCAGAGGAATAGTCATTGATGAAGGCATCTTCGTTATATTGTTTCCTAGCTGATTTCCCATGTATAATATCAGGCTGTTTCCTTTTTTGTCTTTCAAAGCGTCTTTTACGTCGCTCTAATTGTTTTTGTATTTCTGCATCCCTATGTCGATTTTGAATTATATTTAGTTGAGCAGGTGTGATCTCTTGTTGTAAATCATCGGGCTTACTCAAAGTATCTGAATAATCATCATCGATTGCATCTCTTTTTGAGTTTGTGATTCTCGATATTGGTGAAAGGTTAAAGCTTGATTTAGGCTTTGACTTAGGCGTCGACTGCACCGATGATTTTGCTGATGGGATAGCAGTACTCGATTGTGACTTCGGCGCAGGAGTACCAGGCCGGCTTCGATGAGACGCTTTTGAAGGTGGAACCAAATGATCAGCTGACTCGGAACTATATACAATTCCTGATCTAGGGGTGTTCATTTGGGAAGTTGACTTCACAGCAGGTGAATTAGGGGTGCTCTTTTGATTTGAATTTGATGTTTGTGGGATCATTAAATGCTCTTTCTTATCGCTGGTATGAGTATGGTTGACTTTGGGAGTAGATGGTGGTTTTCCAGCATCCTGGGCTTTGATATTGTGATTTTTCTCATTTTTATTAAGAGAAGAGCTCGATTGTTGACGAGGAATTGTGTTGTTATCGTAACCAGTTTGCGAAGGTTTAGGTTTGATTCGGTACTGATCTAAGTACTGTGTAGTATAATACCCGCGACTGGTAACGTTCATTGTGACCAGACCGTTCAAGGGTGTGTTGCTTAAGGTTGATGATTGAATAGACTGTGATAAGAGAGTAGCTACAATATAACGATGCTTCGAAATCATCAATTCTATACAAAGATGCTGATCAGAAACGGAGATCTTTCACCATAATAAGTGGCTGGCTTTGAGGTTCTTTGTTCCAGTGATGGAGTGTGCAAGGTCAAAAGATCCATACACCAAACGTTTTTCGCAGCAAAAATAGCTGAAAGATTACTTCTTTCTTCTTGTCAAACCAGGCATTTTCATTCTAAGCTTGCCCTTCCTTAGAGGTTTTAGCTGGGCGGAGTTGTCTGTTGTTGGTGGGGGAACAGGAGCAGGTGCGGGAACAGGAACAGCTTTTGGTCTAGCAAATAAGTTGTCATCAACGTCGCTGTAATCGCTTGTATAGTAATCGTCATCATCTTCAACTGGTTTCGGGGCCGGTTTGGGAGCAACATATGACTTTATGTATCTGTATAGAGGCTGAAGCAACGTAGTGGCAGATGTTGGGGCTGGATCATTCAATTTTCGCGCAGGCCTTGGTGGTTCGACTGTTTTTACTTTATTTTCTGGCTTATGCTGTTCTGCTTTTTGACCAGAGTTTGGATCCTTCTGACTTGGAGTTTTTGGTTCTGCTTCTTTAGGTGTTTCTGGCCGATACTCTTTTTCAATCATATTTGAATTTTGAACACCGTTAGTGATTAATTTTTTCCCCATGCTTGTTCGATAATGCCTAACATAATCCTGTCCTAGCTCTTTTTTCATAGTTTGAACCTTGCTTTTAAAAGATTTCTTAAAGCTTTTACTTCTTTTCAATTGGTTCTCATTATTATCTAGTTCTTGGTTAAATAAAATCTCGTTATCAGAATTTTCGCTAGCAGCTGAAGCAAATATATTTGAATTTACAGATGGAACGATTAAAGAATTTCTTTTAGCTCTTGCCTCTTCCTTTGCTTTTCTCTTTTCCAATTTCTCTTTGGCTCTTGCTTCGCGTTTTATCGTCTTCAATTCGGCTTTCATTTTAAGGTTAGCTTTTCTATCAGCCAACTTTGACTCATATATTGCTTTTTTTGTCTTTCGAAGCTCTCTGTCTCTTTTTGATTTTGCAATACGAGATTTTGATCTTCGAATTTTAGCTTGTTCTCTGGATTCCCTTTCGATATCCTTAGAGTTATATGACTTTTGAAAAACTCTTTCACCGCCATCATCCCAACTAAAATTGTCTTCGTTTGCACATCTCAATCTTTCTTCAATCTCCAACTCTCTGGCCTGTTGTTCTTTGTCAGCATTTTCCTCCTGTAAGTTTCGTGAAACTTCCTCTCTTTCAACGTCATTACTCGCTTTTTGAATATCATTAGAATTACCAACAATGTGAGGGCTTCGCAACTCGATAGATAGCTTGGACTCGGCTCTTTCAACTGAAAGCTTTTCGGCAGCTTGAAGTTCTCTTTGTCTTTCTGCTTCCTCAATATCCAGTTCTATTTGATTCATCTTTTCTTCCTCTGCTTCTAGTTGAAGTAAATACTGTCTATGTTCTTCAGCATCAATTTCATTCTGTGCTTCCAATGCTTTAACTTTTGCTTCTTCTGTGCTTTTCCCTTTATTATCAATTGTAAAAGCAGCAGATTCAGCATCCATCTGTTTTTCTCGTTCAATTTCAATTGAATTTTTTGTCTCAGCATCTTTGATATCCTTTTCTTTTTGAAGCTCAAGCTCTTTGTTTTCATCTTTCTGTTTTTCTAAATTTTTGACTCGTTCAAGTTCCTCAAGAGTGGCTTTTAGAGACTTCTGTTGGCGTTCAAGATTCAGTAAAATATTTTTGATCTTTTTCAACTCTCGGTCTCTTCGTGGAGTTGACTTTACAGACTGGTTATCTATTCCTTGTGATAATGACCCATGTGACTTCTTTTTTTTCAATTCTTTTGCTAATACTTCAAGTAAATAAGCTAAAATATCACAGTCAGAAGGAGTAATATTTCTCTTCAAATCCTCTTTTTGTTTAATTTTATCAATCGCCTTTCGTAAATACATAACTAGTTCATCATCGTAGTCGTTCATAGGTGTTGGTGAAGCCTGGATAGACTCGGGTATTCTATATCTAGTTGGACTATTCTTTTCGTTAGACAGTCTCTCTTCTGATAAGATTTTATTTTCATTTCGAGAAGTATCAAGAGCAACCTTTATTGGATCACGGTTTTTGGTGTCAATTTGAGGTTCTTTGAGGGTTGGGAATTGGCTTTGTTGAATTAAGTGAGGTGGTTTAGAATGGGACTTTCTATGCCAATAATCGTAATAATAGGTAAAATAATCTGAAGCTGTGGTCTGTCTGGTCAAGATTGATTCATTGTCATCTTGAGCCGAAGCTGGAGACACTACGAGGTATGGCTTCCTTGGAGTTAAAGGTTCCACAGCCTTAGGCTTAGATGTTGGAGTTGGGGCCCTTGGTGATTTGCACGGCTCGGGTGATGGTGGTGATTCAGATTCTGGTAAAAACTCTGGAACGTTGTTATTTTCATCATTCAATTGATGCAAAATCCGGGAAGGTGATTTATTATGAGGGATTGCTTCCACTGGGTAGCTTGTCTCAGTAGGAATGTAAACTTCCGGTTCTATTTGCTTCTTTAAAATATTTTGCAATTGCTTTGGGGTTAGTTCCTGAGCTAAATCTTCAGGATATTCCAAGAGATCATGATAATCGTGTCCAGAAAGATCATAGTTCTCTTTATCAGAAATAATCCTATTATAAGAAGCAGGGTATAACGTTTTTGTAGGAGTGGGTTCAGACAGGCTTGTTATGGAAGTTTCAGCATAGCTTTTTCGAGACGTCAGACCAGATGAAAATAACTTGTCAGAGTCTGAAGGTGAATGATAGTACGAAAACATATTTATGAGTAGATTGTTTTCTTTTCTCTTGTTTGATTCGACCCCCAATCAGACATCAGCATTTTGACATTGGATATTCGTTGTATTTGAATCATTTCTTCCCTTGTACTAAATCTTCTCAAAAATATGGCATTTCTGCTGGAATACAAGTACAGACTTGGGAATGTCATTTGACATAATCAACAAGGAGTATGTTGCACGCGTAACCATTTTGTGATTTCGATATCACTAAAACAATTCCCATTGAGGAATTAGTGTTTATAATACATTGGAGAGCAGCGACTAAAACCTAGCGCACAGTCAACGTACGAAGCAAAGCGATTGGTGAATTTGTAAAGGTGCTCAATTCAACGCAAAGGAAATTGTTCGATTAGCCAGCCTAAGATATTCAGGGATTCTTTGTCATTATTAATAGATCAAAGAATATAATACATTTCCACCATATGAGAATCACTCAATGAATAGAGTGTATCCCTGTAGCTCCTCTGCATCTATCCTTGATTTAGATTAGTTGTTGTGTCAACAATACAAAGTAATGAAGCTATTTTTGCCTTCTAGTATCTCGCTTCAAATTGATCATTCATCTCAACCCAACAGAAGGCAACCTTATACATGACAACGGTTGGGTCCCGGGAAATGAAGATCCAGCCATGCTTATCATTTTCACGCCTTTTAATTTTTTTCAGCCTGATTCAAAACATCATTGTCAAGATCTTACTATTTTGAACTGACGACAATCTTCAACCCCCCTTTCAATATGTAGAATGTACCTATACAATCATCTTGATTTTCATTACTGGTCAATGTCAAATGGACATCATTTACCCCATTTCCACAGTTTCAAACAGGTCGATCCTCCCTGAATCAGACCTCTTTTGACGATACTGTCATGATAGTTCTAAAAAAAACAAAACAAAAGAATAATCAAATACAAAATGATTGCAAAATTTTAAAACCCGTACACCAAAAATACTTTCAAATTTTTGCACGACTTTACCGAAGAATGAATCATAAGATTTCAGTAGATATATCTGTCTAACCAAATTTCGAGTTAAAGAAGATTATATTCCAAGTGTATTATTATGTTTAGACCTAGCCGGAAAGTGGCTTCCAGGAGCTTTATAACGACACCAAGTTTTCATTATAAGCTGCCCATAACTAACCATTCTTATATTGACGATGACTTCTTATCTTTGGTTAATAAGCAACAAATTGCTACCCACTTGGGAGAATTAGGGCCATACCCATCATACTCTAGTATCTTGACACCACAGCACTTTTATCAAAATGAGGTGTTAATGCAATACCTGCAGAAATCGGCACACCCGGTGTCTTTACGTCAATTAGCTGGTTATGGTAAGACTTTAAATAAACAAAAGATTTTGGCTCTGGCAAACTTTGTTAGATTAGAATTACCTATTCGATTGGCATTAAGAATAAGAGATTTACAAACATTACCGTTTGGTGTTGTTAATAACTTTCATTTGGCACAAATATATGAAAGTTACTATCATCTGTTTAACGCATTTCGTAAAATTCCAACTATCAAGACACTAGAAGATAATGATAAGTTTTGCCAAACGTTATCAGCTTTATTAGATGACCATGTTTTCAATTTGTCGCATTTGATGATGGGAGCATTAGAGGTTTCTATTTTGACGAATTTACCCCAGGAAGATTTAGATCATTTCATGAGTTCTATGTTGAGATCAAGAATTAGTCGCCGTGTTATCGTAGAAGAGCATTTATCATTAACGGAAAACTACAAGACAGGACCTGCTTCTCCTAAACCTCCGCATTATATTGGGGAGATTTTCTACCAATGTAATGCCGTTGAACATTTCAATATTGTTGCTGGTTTAGTGAAGAATTCGATGACCCATATTTTCCCTAATAAAGAAAACATGCCCGACTTAGAGATCGAAGGTGACTTGGATACAAGCTTCCCATTTATGGTTCCTCACTTGCATTATTTATTTGGTGAAATATTGAGAAATTCTTTCGAAGCAACTATCAAAGAGCATGGTAACAATACCTCTAAAAAACTTCCGCCAATAAAAATTACAATCATAAATTCTAGCCGTGAAGTTACCTTCAGAATATCTGACCAAGGTGGGGGTATTAATCATAATAAACTAGCACACATTTGGTCATTTGGTAAATCCCCAGAGTTGGCACGAAATAGTTTATCTAGCTTTCATCGTATTCCAGGACTTCAATTATACTCTAACTTGAAGGTGACCGCATCGGGCTCCTCCATAGTATCTTCTGAAAACCACCCAAGTAAAGACATTTTCGAAGCTACAAATATTGGTGATATCAATCAACAAAGGCTGATAAAAACCAAAAAATCAACTTTAGAAAAATTAATTACTCGTCCTTATGAATACAAATTGGGTTTGGGTTTGCCAATGTGTAAAGTTTATGCAGATTACTGGAATGGTGATTTACTGATGAACTCTCTCGAAGGGTTTGGTAGTGATACTTGTTTGAAGTTGAGTAAATTAGGATACCATTCCAACGTTATCCGATTAGATAGAGCTTGATATTTTTTTGCAGCATATTTTATATACGATTTTATGTCTCGTTTATTACAGATTTCCAATGATTCCTTTCTCTGTAGAATAAGCAAAATCCTTTTCCAAGTCTTAGCATCTTCGCTGACGTTGGTAATGTAAGTAATGCTATTCAGTTTGATATTCTTAGGGTAGTGTTCAGAAACGAAACAGTTACTTACTGTGCGCTCTTTGCTTTAATTTTTTTTTTTCCTTAGTTTCGTTGTTTAAACTCAACTTCAGTAGTCAACATTTGATCACACTCAAACTTTACATTGAACAGCATAGAAACCATATAATTGGGAAGTGGAATTGGAAATAAATTACTTATTTCTAACAATTATACACACAGAGAAATAGTTTTCCAAACATGTCGACAAACCCACGTAATAACGTCCCCATCTCACTGTTGTTATCACTTTCTAACGACGATGAAAGCCAACAAGCAGCTGTATATCAACAACAAGTCAATAATGCTCCAGGACAGCAAGGGCTACCCGTGAGGAATGCAGTTTCTCAATTCCAAGCTACATTTGGAGACTCCAGGTCTCCATCTACTGAACCAAATGGTATACAAGCCAGTCGACCACATTCTCAACATGAAATAATAACTATAGACTCTGATTCTAATGATTCACAACAGTCATCATCATCCGCAAGGCTTATACCTGGTCTAGGCCCACCTCAAAGAGAACGCTCCAAACCGAAGAAACCAGTATTGATCAAACCAAACTCTAATTTACCAATACTCGTACCTAAATCCAATGGGAATGGAACCTCTCATTCTCCATCGCCTAATCCACCTCAGAAGGTCAGTCCTTTACCCGCAGTTAAACAATTCCAAACCACTTTTTCGTTCGGTGGAACCCCAGATCCAGCGGCAGGTTCACCACCATTACCAATTAGTAAAACATCAATCAATTCTATAATAAATATTGATGACGAACCAACCAAAACTGACGAAGCACCGAAAAAGAAGCGCGCTCCGGCAAAGAAAAAGGATGGTGAAACTGCTCCAAAGAGAAAGAAGCCAAACCCAGAAAAGTCATCCACTCCAACTGATGTCAAAAAGAAGAAAGTGGCTCCCAAGACAGAAAATGGTGCCAGTACAGAACGAAAGAAGCCAGGTCCTAAACCAAAGAAAAAAACCCCCGAGCAGGGTGCTTTAGCCCCCGGTGCAACTACTGGGTCAATACCACAGAAAGCATCCAATAAACATTCATCAACTAAATCTAATTCTGCGGGCCCTTCGCCTCCACCGAAACCCTCAATTCATCCAACCATGACTACTGACAAAAGCCAGCAGCCAACAGACATTAAGCTTGCTGCTCCCAAATTTGATGACTTGGATGAAATACTGGTGAAAAAAGAAGAATCACAACCTATGGACAATGTGTCCAAAACAGAAGGTCAGATAAAGAATGAAACTACTATAGGCAAAGAAGAAGAAAAGAACGGTGTGAATGATAAAGAAGAAGAGAAGGAAAAAGAAAAAGCAAAGGTTGAACCACCAATAATATCTTTGAATATTCCATTAATTGACCCAAACAATCCTAAACCGGGTCAATCTGAAGTTATTATCAATGTATTAAAACTTGCCGAAGATAAATATGGCTGGTCGACAATCCACCCCAATGCCAAATCGGCCATCGACCTTATGGATGAAATGATTGACGAAGATGAAGATATAATAGAAGAAGACGAAGATGACGACTTACATATCGTAGAATCAAATTCTACAGAAAAACAGATCCCAGCAAATACTCAGGCGTCTAAGCAAAAGAAGAAAGAAGATGAAGAATTGACAGAAGAACAATTAGTTAGACAACATGAAGTCAAAATGATTAGAAAAGTTGGTAAATATGATTACGAGGATCCATTCATTGATGATGAAGAATTACAATGGGAGGAGGAAATATCTTCAACGAAGGAAGGTTTTTTTGTTTATTGGGGACCTCTTGTTGATGATAGAAGTCTAAATACGGGCTCAAACAAAAAAGGCTCTTCAAAAAGTAAAAAATAAACCATTAAATACCTTTTTTTTTTTTTTTTTGATACAGAGACATAGTCTGCTTTACATTGATATAATGAAAAGAACTATACATTTTTCAAAACCTATACTGATAACACATATATGTAGTAAATAAAAAGAGGAGGTGAAAAAAAAAGATTTAATATAAATAAAATACATTACTTCATTTAGGGACGTATCGGTACGCAAAAAGAATCCATTGCCATAGAATCAGGCTCGAATTCTATCAAGAGTAACTTTCAAAACACGAATAGCATTTAATTCATGAATTTTTGATTCATCACTCTCGAGAATTTTTTCAACCAGTCTGACATTTTGATCAACATTCTTAACAATTTCTTGAACGCTTTCATTCGAAATTCTTGGATCGTCTTTCAATATAACCAATAGATTTAAAAAAGCTGATAAAGTTGGTAATTTGAACAAGTTCAATTGAATTTTTTCATCATCATTACCTTCAGATTGGAAAACTTTCTTATTAGAATCTTCAATCAAAGCGGTGATGTCATCTGCTCTTTCTTCACTTAATGAAATGAATTTGCTCTTAATAGGACCCGAATTTGAACCTTGACGAGAAGGTAATATTGGAGGTCTTGGTTTAGAATTAACTTCTTCATCAATTTTTTCTTTTGAAGTTTCGCCACTATCGACTTTTTTCTGTAAATCAACTTTAGCTAAACTATCAGAAATATCATTTATGATTTGTCTATCTTTATCTTTAGTTAATAACTCTTTCAATACACCAACTAAAACGATTTTAACATTATCAAAGGGGCAATTTTGCAAGGAATCCAAAAGGAAAGAATAAGCAATATCTTCAGGAGAAAGAGCCAAAACTCTAGTTAATAAAGTTAAAGTCGCAAATCTAAAATTAGGACTATTAGGATTTGAAATTATCATAAATAATAAAGTTTGATAATAAATTGTTAATAGGATTTTCGGAATTTTTGATAATTCTAATTCTAATCTTTTACCTCTTATAGTCAGTTTATGAATCGAGAACCAACCCCAATAAACCATTATATCATGTAAGCCAAGATAATTAAAGGTAGATTGGACCATAGCCGGAACAATGATTCTGATTGTCATTACTAAAGCATCAGTAAAATCAAGATCAAAGATATTGAACTTTTGTTTTGAAGCAATTGAATAAGTGAATAAATAAATTATACCTAGAGTAGAATTACGAATTTGGTTAGAATCAGAGTTGACTAAAGTAGAAACCAAATTTTCTTGATAATCAATAATTAATTTTTCGAATATTTCACCACTTATTTCATCACCATCTTGATTATGATCAACGTCCAAAAACAACTTATGAGAGTCCACCAAAAAATTTTTGAAAACATCATCAATATCGATATCAAAAGATAATAACAATTCAAAAAAGCGGTCGAGAACTGGATGATCAACAACAAAGGATTCATTTTCCGACTTTGTTAAGCGAGAAGATTCTTGTAAATGTGATAATACTGAAACTGAATAACCAGAAAGGCATTTTCTAGAACTCATGAGTAAGGCTTCAGTTATAAACCCTGTTAATAATTTTCTTTGTAAATAATTTTCATCATCGGTGATTTTGTCAAGTTCTTCTTTAGTGTAATCCTTATTTGAAGAAGTTGGGAATTTAGGACTAGTATAATTTCTTGAGAAATTATAAACTCTTTTCAACATAAATGAGTTATTCGAAACTGAATGATTAACATTCATATAAAGTAGATTTATGTAAGAGGTAACTAGCATTGCTAAAAACCTTGAAGGATAATAAGTATTGATTTTTTTCAAACAGCTATCACTCAATTCAAAAATACAATATAATTTTAAATCAAAAAATTGATCTTGGATTACATTATTTGGTTCAAAAAACTTATTATCATTCAATCTAATGGTTTGTAATAATTCAGTACATTTTAAAAACAATTCTTTGGGGTTACCATTATGAGCTAAGATTTCAAATATTTTCAATATTTTATAAACCCCTGGAGCTTTTCTAATAACACCACTAAAGTCATAATCAGTATCAACGAACGGAATTAACAAAGATGGTAAATCCCAGCCAATTTCATAAGTCAATTCACTATCACTAGCCAAAACTTTCTGTAAGTTGCCCAATAACTCTTCTCTTTCTTCAAAAGTATATCTAGCAGGATCAGTATAGTAAATATCTAATACTGTACTATACGATAAATAATCTTTTGATTGTTTAACGTCATCAGCAGCGGTTTCCAATGCTTCCAACACCTTGTCGAAGGGAACAAGCTCAATGGTTGAATCACTATCTTTTGAGGACATTACTTACTTAATTTCAATTAATTCGCCAACTTCAATACCAACTTCAATTAATTAGCCCAGCGAGATGAACTTTTCAATCCTCGCCGATAAAGCCCCGTACATACGCTGGCAACCCCCGTGCACCACAGAAAAATCAATGATAAAATGCAAAATGCAAAATGCAACCATTAAAACCAAAAGCAACAACTCCAGGAATAATGTCGAGTCTAATACAGTCAGAGCCGGACGACTCGTCTACATCTACATCTGCGGCGTCGTCCATGGTGTCTTCACAGGATAAGGTGATTGAAGAAACCGGGGCAGAAGAGAAGATCCCGCTATCTACATCGATATACATGGATAAAGTGAATCGACCCATTGAAATAGAGCCTGAAGAAAAGATAAGTATTAGATTTCAGTCAATTGGATCTACTCCCAAGATAACGCCTAATAATTTCAAAATCACTCGGAAACAGAACGTTAGTACTTTGATTAAGTTTATGGTTAAGAGATTGAGATTAAGACAGCAATCGATATATTTATATATACAAAACAGTTTCCAACCGACCCCCGATGAGAATTTAGGAGAGTTGTATGATAATTTCAAAACCAATAATGAGTTAATAATTGGATATTGCCATTCGATTGCGTTTGGATGAAATGAATTTTACTTAAAATAAATAGGATAAATAAATAAATAGTATAAACAGTATAAATTAAAAACAATAAAGTAGGCAATACCCTCATATGAGCACCGAAACTTTCACGAAAAAAAAAAAAAAACCTTTTGCACACAATACAGATTAATTCCTAATAAAGAACCGAGATCGTTTACTACAAATTTGAATGATTTGGGAAATATTTTTATATTGAAACAATAGAGCACCAGTGTAACTATCTACACCACTGAGACGAATGAAAAAACAAAAAGGTATCAGGAAATAATACAAGATTAGTTAAAAAAAATAAGGGGGAGAGTAAGAGAGAATCAGAGCTGCAGAAAAAGGTGCATTTTTAAATAGAGATAAATTAATATAACAGAAACTTTAATATGGTATAGGTAGAAACACATTAGGGATTAATTTAGTAAAAAACAAATTGAGCTTTACCAGAAGAAAGGGTAGAAGTACAACCGTCAGTACCGTGACCGTTGTATTGACCATCTTCATAAGAACAATCACCATTAATGGAAGCACCATTAGTTCCTTTAATTTTAATATTATAGTTTGGAGTATCTTTATTATTTGGATTTGGAATCAAAGATAAGTAAGTTTTACCATCGGTAATACCAGCACCCAAGACAACTGGAGCCCAGTTACCAACACCAGAACCATCAGTACCCCAGATACAACCATCTTCAACAGAAACACCAGCATTGTTAACGTAGTATTGAGTGGAAGTTTTACCGGATTTCCAGGTGTAGTATTTGGAAGAATCAACAACCGAAACTGGAGCGGTAGAACCAGCTTCTAACAAGGTTGGAATGTTCATGTTTTCAGAACCTGGATAATCGGTTCTACAGATAGCAACATCTTTTTTAATGTTTGATTTAAATTCGGCAGTATCTTTACCCCAAGCACATAAATAATCAGAATCCGAGTTGGACTTGTACAACTTACCGTTTTTACATTGTAAACCACCAACAGAAATACCAGACGAAGGTTGTTCAGAAGGCCATTGGGTCTTGGACATACCAGCTTGACAAGCATAAGAACAGTAGTAACCGTCTTTACAAGTAGAAGAGGTTTCCCCGTCTTCATTCATAACAGAGGCCCAACCACCCTTGGTACCGGAGATCCAGTCAATGGCAATAACCCCTTGACCGGTTGGTAAAGTGTCACAGTCGTACTTACCATCTTCAAAGGTTTCGGAAGGATCTTCATAAGCAGACAAGTCACCAGAAATAGAACCGGAACCGGAAGAACCAGAACCAGAACTGGAGCTGGAAGAACTGGAGGAAGTAGAGGAGCCAGAAGTGGATGAAGAGCTGGAAGAAGAGGCACTGGAAGAAGAGGCAGCAGCAGTGGCAGATGAAGTGACAGAGGTCAAGGTGGAAGAAGCACCCCCAGCAGAAGAAGCAGCCGATTGGGAAGGTGTCACTTGTTTACCTTGGGAGTCAACGTAAACAACTTGGGTGACCACGGCTCTTTTGTCTTGATGGTGGTGGTGTTGGTGGCCTTCCAAAGGAGCAGCCAAAGAGCTAGTAGCCAAGGCTAAAAGAGCGATTAAAGAAAAAGACTTCATAATTAACTTAAACGAATGGAAATATCTGATTGAAATTTAAACTAAATGAGTGAATAAACAGATACCTAAGGTTAAGGAAAGACTATAGTTGGGTAATTAGTTAACGGAAAAATTCAAATCAAGAAAGGGAGAAAAAAAAAAAAGCCAGAAAAATTGTAACTGGAGGTGGGAAAAATTGATTTATATAAAAAGGTTTATTGTGCAGAAGAGCAAAATGAACGAAAAAACAATAAAAACAAAACAGAAATTTAATGAAAAAAGAAAATTAAACATTGCACAAAAAAAACAAAAAATTTTTTTTTTTTTTTTTGTTTTTTGAGAAATCGAAGATTAACTGAAATTGCTAATTTCCAGATTCTGTTCATCCACTGGCTGCACTGGTTCTGGCTGCACTGGTTCTGGCTGCACTGGTTCCTGGCCTGCCAGTGGTGCCGTCGGCCACTGCTGTGTCGGTCAGCAACACGCTGATACAACAGCCTGCTGAGACAACGTTAACAAACTAATACACAGTAAGACATTCACGAGTTCTAGACTGTTTGACACAGCTTATGACAGGGCCTTTAATGGCGAAAAGTGCTCCTACTGCGACCGAGGATTGTTCCAGCGACACACGACCCCTTTTCTTTTGCTGGGTTTGTAACGCCGCCAGGGGGATTGGCTGTGGTGTATGGGTGCGCACTCGATCTAGACCTTTACCTACTTTACACTACATACTCTACTTACTCTCACTACTTACTCTCACTACTTACTCTCACTACTTACTCTCACTACTTACTCACTACTTACTCTCACTACTTACTCACTACTTAGTCTCATTGTCTTACTGTCTTACTACTTAGTGGTACTAGTACACTTACTGTCTTACTACTTAGAACACTACCGGCTGGCTGGTACTGGTGTAGAGTGTAGGAGGGCACTATTTTGTGCTTCATCAGATTGTGTTAAATTGGTTGCGTTTATTGATCTTGCCTGAATAGGCAGGCGGATTTGCAACTCGCCTCACGGCTTTTGAATCGGTTTCCCGCTACATCATTAAGGTTAAACGTAACATCATGTATTAATACTTCATATAAGCACAGAAAAGAAATAAAAACAGAAAGTAAAACAGAGTAGAAGAAAAGAAGAAAAGAAGAAAAGAAAAAAGAAGAAAAGAAAAAAGAGGAAAAGAAAAGAAAAAAGAAGAAAGAAAAGAAAGAATGTCATATAGTGCCTTCATCTTCGATACCCAAATTGAACCAAGGATGTTCTAAAGCTTCTAGAGCGGTGATTCTATCTAGAGGATTAATAATGAATAATTTTTTCAACAAGTCAATGAAAAACCACCAAAAGGTAAAATTACCATAATTTATTAAATGGCAATTATTATTATAATTTTCATTTAACGAATAATCAAAATTAATGTTTAAACCAATTTTATTACTAATGTACAAATCGATTCGATTTAATTGGTTTACCCCGTCAATGAATTTGGACGGGGTGGAAATTGTAGGAAAAATTAGCTTGAAAGAAGAATCCTCATAAATTTCGTCATCGATAATAACGTCGGAATCTTCTGAATCACTTTCATCAGTTTGATAGTTATTAGTGAAATATTTTAACCCGCATTCGTTTTCTTTCCTCTTCAGTTTTTTAACCATTGATTTATCAATTTGATATCCGCAAATTTTTTCAATCATGGCCAAATGTTCTAAATTATCATGAGTTCTAAATAAAGGGTCTCCAATTAATAATTCCACCAAAATGCACCCCACCGACCACATGTCGCAGGGGAAAGACCATCCCACTCCTAAAACAATTTCGGGGGCACGATAATGTCGGGTACTCACAATGGATGAGTGATATTCATCATCGAAAATAGCACTACCAAAATCAATGATTTGGATCAAGGGGTCATTTAGTATTTTGGTGGTGACCGGTAATTTTTCCTTATGTTCATTGAAATTTAACTTCAAATAACTCGAGATAATGGTTTTAGAAGTGATTTTTTTCCGCTGATATGAATCATCATGGAGTAAGATATTTTCGGGTTTTAAATCGGTATGGATTAGATTCAAATCGTGGAAATAACTCACCGATCGAATCAATTGTTTGGAAATGGCTTGAATATGACTCCCCGGATACGGAATAAACTTATTATTTTCCAAAAAATTATATAAACTAATCTTAAGTAAATCAGTAACAATACAAATGTGTCCTCTATAATCAAAACAATCTTTTAAATGAATACAGTGATTTTGATTATCTTCATCGTATTTTTTCAAAGTTGATAAGATTCTTAATTCAATTCGAGCCGCATCTCGATACTTGGGGATATTTCTGATGATTTTAATCGCCACTAATTCTTTAGCAATTTTATCAAAACATTCAACAACTTTACCAAAAGTTCCCTGTCCTAATAATTTAACAATAATATATCGATTGGCAAATAAATCATTCACTCGAATCACGTAGTGGCCATCTTTATCATCACAATTAGGTAAATTTAACTTATAGGGAATTATATTGGTTTTAATTTCCCCCAATTTTTCTTCTTTTAAGATGTAATTACTGGGGATTTTATTATAAAAACATTTGGCTTGGGGTAATTGGGGTAAAGAATTGGTTCGTTGTTTTTTCAAGTTCATTTTATCATTATTCATTACTTGGTTTACATTAAACATATTATAAGCATTAAATGATTCCAGATCTAATGAAAGTATCGAATCAGAATTATTTCGTCTTTGTTTGGGCCCAAAATTATTTTCTACTGCCCGTTCTTCTAATATGATAATATCATCATCTTCCTCTTCTGCTTCTTTAGCTTCATCTTCAATAATATATACATCTTCATTTATACGGGGATACTTTAAATCATTCAAGGTAGTATTGGAAGATTCAAGTGAAAAAGTCAAGGTATTATTATTAGTATTCGTAGGGGATGAGGTATCGGAATTGGTTGACTCCAGTTGATTCGATTTTCCTTTAGAATTATCAAATGTTTCGCTCAACCCTCTGGGTCTTTTCCGATTACTTATTAATGACATTTCATACAACAACACAATGTTGTATCAACTATATGAAGTTCTTTATGACTTGTTTTTGAAGACTTTTGTTGCACTTTCCAAGGTACTTTTATTGTACTTTTGTTTTTCAGCCCTTTTGATGATTTGATTTCGATTACTTTTCAATTATTGTATTGATAATACTCTGATAATACACAAAGTAAATGTTACCTGAGTGATTATCAACCTTAGGGGGTTGGAACACGGGGTAGTGTGCGCACCGGGGAGAGAACCGAAAGAAAAAAGAGCGAGCGAGCGAGCGAGAGCGAAGTAGTGTGTGAACCGTGCAGGTGGCGCGTGACCCAGTGGTGTATGGGTGTACCGACTTTGAAATAAAGCTGTTTTGACATACTGATGGTGAACAGTGATACAAGTATCTATACAAGTAATACAAGTATCTATACAAGTAATACAAGTATCTATACAAGTAATACAAGTAATACAAGTATCTATACAAGTAATACAAGTATCTATACAAGTAATACAAGTATCTATACAAGTATCCATACAAGTAATACAAGTATCTATACAAGTATAAGTAGCACAGAAGACTGTCGGTTTTCGCAGCAAACCGATTTGTTAAGCGAATGGAATGGCGTGCGCGGCCCAGACAGACAATTCTCAGACAATTGTCCCTGATCCAGGAACCATCCTACGTCGGACCAGTTAAACAGTTAGGGACCAGTTAAACAGTTAAGTAAGAGTGAATGGTGATAGTGAACCAGTAAGCAGCGAATGTCAGTGGCGAGTCAGTGGTGATTGCTATCTCACAATGATTCATGGACCATGCAGCCATAAGTGGACCAGCAACGGGTCTCCGCCAGAAAGTGAGACCAAATTCCTGCATTCATCGGGGATGTCACCTCAATTACATTGAGACCACCACTAAATACGGACTTCCGCACCCACTTAAGCACTTGAACATTAACAGTTTTACACAATTGGTCTTGTTCTTTGCTCCAAGTTCTTCCCGTCTTTATAAACTTTATTGGTCCCAGTATTTTGATTTTCGGTCCTTTTCTGTTTTATTTTATCTATTTTATTTTGTTTTTTTTTTTTTGGCTTTCGTTTTCCCTGGTTCTTCTTCTTTTGATCTGTTTCATCTTTTGATACTCAGTTCCCTTACCCCTACTGTCAAAATAAGTTATCTTCCTGAATCCTTTTGTTGGTGGGTAGTACTTTTCATTAGGTTGTTAAGATTGCCCCCATATCCCATAGAAAGTGTGTGAATCAATTATCCAGCAAATTTAACTAATATACAGGTATCGCTCATAGTTTTTTTTTTTACCCGTTAGCAATGAATTTAACACCAACTACTAATAAGTCAACTCCAACTACTAATAAGTCAACTCCAACTACTAATAAGTCAACTCCAAGTACTAATAAGTCAACTACTCCTACATCCACCTCTTCGGATACATCTAAGCTAATTCGAAAAACGTTATCACCTCCGGAATCTTCGATATCTTCGAGAAGCTCTTCCACCGAATACACTGGTATATTACCTAACAATTCTGAATGTAATCGTGATTTCACCGCTACCAATTCAAAATTACCAATGAAGAGACCAGCAAGTAACGATTTATCAAATATACTACATCCAAATAACAGTGATGAAGAAAATAATGAACCTTTAAGCATAGCTTCGGAAACCCACCCCATTATAAACACCGAAACTTCCACTGATTATGAGGAAGAAAGTCCCAAACCTCCACAACCAAGTCCCCATTTATCCAAACAAGAAGCCTTCAAAACCAATGATCATAAGAAATCAAAATTAGATAAAAAGTTTTTTTGTAAAACTTGTAATCAAGGATTTACAAGAAAACATAATATGGTCAGTCATGAATTAATTCATACTTCTCTAAAACCTCATACTTGTTCAGTATGCAGTTTGAAATTTAGAAGAATTCACGATTTGAAAAGACATGAAAAATTACATACGGGAGCTAAGCCTTATCATTGTGAATATTGTAATCGAAGTTTTGCTAGACCAGATGCTTTGACCAGACATCAAAATTCAATTAATGCTTGTTCCGGTAGTAAAGAAAATCCAAATCATCCTTCAAATATAAAATTAGAAAATCACAATAATAATAACGTTAGTGTTAGTCCGGATGATTCTTCAAATAATTCTTCTAATGCAAAACCAAAACCCATTTCAAATGGTCTTGCTTCAAATCATACCACTTCTTTAACCAGTCCAAGCATTAATGATACCATTAATCGTGATAATTATGATCTAAATCGTTTAAAAGCTTTCCAATATGGTCAAGAATCTCAAAAATTAAAATCGGATGATAATAATGATGATTCTTCCGATTCAAATCATCAACAACGTCATCATCACCGTCATCCATATACCATAACCACCACAACAACAACCACAACCACCACCAACCGTGATAGAAACAATGGTTATAATCGTGACCATAATATAGAACATAACCGCGATCACCATCTTAATAGAGAAATTGACGATAAAAGGTACTTGAGACCCCCAGTAAGTCATGATCAACATCCTAAAATTGAAAGCGACCCTAAATTTAATCCAAAACACTCTTTTTCAAGTTATGATTCCCCGGGTCCTCCGCAGAATTATACTTTTCCTTCCCTAATACCTTTAAATCAAAATTTCCCAACCTCTTTTCTTAGACCCAATTACCAAAATCCGGCTCAAGATGATAATTCTCTGATTTCTTCAACCTCCTCCAAAAATCAACAACTGCCCCTGCACCTTCAAAAACTACCTCTTCCTCAACAATCGCCACAACAACAATCACCACCACAACATCAACAACATCAACAACATCAACAACATCAACAACATCAACAACATCAACAACATCAACAACAATCACCACAACAACAACAACATCAACAACATCAACAACATCAACAACATCAACAACATCAACAACATCAACAACATCAACAACATCAACAACATCAACAACATCAACAACATCAGCAACCTCAACAATCACCACCGTTCCAACAGCAAGTCCACCAAGACCAACCACGGTTTGCTCGGCCTCCCCTCCCACAATATGCATACCCCAGCTTCGTTCAACAACAGTTTGACTATCACCAAAACCGTCAACGCCTACAATTTGAACAACACCAATTCGAAGAACAAGAACGCTTCAGAAGAGACCAAGAAGAACAGAAAAGAGCCCACGACCGACAGATCCAACATCCCTCCCAACAACCACAACAACCACAACAACTGCAACAACCTTACCCCAAGTTCGTTTCAATGTCTCAGTATCAAGACTTGATCAGTTATACTCAAGAGTTACAACACAACTTGAGCCAAATGAACTCACGATTAAAGTCCTTGGAGGATTCCGGTAATCGAGATTATGACTTCAAATATGAGCGCTAAGACTTACGATGATGTATATTTTGTATAAGTAAATGAATTTATAAATGTATAAATAAATAATTCTACTGTAAATTTGCATCCTTTATCGTCCTGCATGCGCAAATCACCAACCCACGCAAAATCACTGATAAAGGATACACCCTCTTAAAAAAAAAGTGAGTAATTAAGGGGCAAACAGTTAGTGGTTTTACTTATACCTTGTTGTTAATTAACTTGAAAATGAATGAAATTGAAAGCTTTGGGGTAAATACCCCCTCCAGTGAAGAGTGGTCTATCATCTCCTCTTCCGATATCGATGAACGGTCCACTACTTCCTCCACTAATGGCGATTTATCTACTAGAGAGGATTCTCATATTGATTCCACGGTTGATTTAAACGCTAAACAAGATTCAGATGATCTGGATACTAATACTAATTATATAGAACAATTGGATTCATATATCAGATCAAAATCAAGTGATTTCTTTAATACTTACTTGAGAAGTCATTTACTTTTTTATAAAACAAAGATCAGTACTCTAAACGTACAAAAAAAAATTGAAGCCTGGCAAAAAAATCAAAACCAAACTAATGTTTATCAATTTAACGAAAATGATTTGGGATTTTGGGATTACTATATCTATCAAAGTATCTTGTTTTTAGAAAAAAATGATGAACAGTTATTCTACTATATAATGGCATTTTTTCTTTCAATGACCGTTATATTAGTGGATATCCAAAGATGGAATCGTCCAAGTGTGAAACCCCAGACTTTCAATGATAAACTTTATCAATTCTGGGACTCTGTTGTTTATGAAAAGGAAACTTCGTTCTGGTCAAATTTGGGTTTCCCGCAAAAAAGGAAAATGAAGTTTAATAGTCAGTGGATTCTAACTAAAAATTACTTGAAAGATGGTCCGTTTTTTTTACAGCACCATTTGAACTTGGTTTGGGCAAAGTCGGGGAATTGGCTAGATTCTCTCTCCAGTAAACTGGCTGATTTATCCAACGAATACTGGCCAATTCTCAAGGATTCTTTCAAATCCCATCTGCTCGAGTTATCGAAACAATGTCAGGTTTTCTACAATCTCTCAAATGATACTGTTTCTAAAATGTTAGTTCAACTCAATCATTCTTCTCTGACTTTGAAACATTTTGTTAAAGCTTCTGCAATTGAAACTGCAAAAAATTCAAAACTGATTTGGTGTATTGGTAAACATCATTTCCAAACTGTTATTTGGCCTGTTGCTATTGATTCAAAATTAAAATTTAATCAATTATCAATTAACGTGTATCGGGAATTAAAGTCTCTTCAAAAAGAAATTATTCAAGCTACTAGTCAAATTGTCTGTTAATTTTTTTCTCTTCTTCTTATCCTGGTGATTTTTTATTTTATTGAATACCCGGTTGGTATTCTCGGTGGGTTTCTTACTTGTCCTTTGTTTTTCTAAGTTTATTGTTCATGTCTATGTTTAATGTTCCCTGTTCCTGCTCTGATATACATTTTCTAATATACTTTCTTTGTAGATGTAGAGTTGCAATTATATTAGGTGGTCGTGTCAAATGTCCGTTTTGTTTTTTTGGTGAACGTCCAAAAAAACTAAAAAAAAAAATTTGAAACGACCGGCGTCTACAACTTCATTTGTTGATTTCAATTTGTATAGAAATAATTCAAGTGACAATATCCTTTTCCGTGAACTGATAAGAACTATAGCTATAAGAGTAGTTGCTTGATTTAAATTGAACAAAGAAAAATTGAAAAAAAAAAAGAAGTAATAGAATAAACCATGGGTATTCCAAAATTTTTCAGGTTTATATCGGAAAGATGGCCGTTAATCTCTCAGTTAATTGATGGGAATCAAATTCCAGAATTTGATAACTTATATCTTGATATGAATTCGATTTTACATACTTGTACTCATTCCAACGATGATACTTTATCAAGAATGACTGAAGATCAAATGTATGCAGCAATTTTTTCATATATTGAACATTTATTTGAAATCATTAAACCAAAAGAAACTTTCTATATGGCTATTGATGGTGTTGCTCCAAGAGCTAAAATGAATCAACAAAGAGCAAGAAGATTTAGAACGGCTTATGAAGCAGAAGAAAATTTGAAAAAAGCAATTAATCAAGGATTAGAAATTCCAAAAGAAGATCCTTTTGATTCCAATTCAATTACCCCAGGTACTGAATTTATGTCAAAATTAACTGACAATTTGAAATACTTCATTCATAAAAAAATTAGTGAAGATTCAAGATGGTCAAATATTAAAATTATTTTAAGTGGTCATGAAGTTCCTGGTGAAGGTGAACATAAAATCATGAATTTTATTAGATCAGTTAAATCTCAACCAGATTTTAATGTTAACTCAAGGCATTGTATTTATGGTTTAGATGCAGATTTAATCATGTTGGGTTTAGTTAGTCATGAACCTCATTTTTCATTATTAAGAGAAGAAGTTACTTTTGGTCCAAGATCTCAAAAGAAATCAAATGACTTAAACGATCAAAAATTCTTCTTATTACATTTATCTTTATTAAGAGAATATCTTTCTTTGGAATTTCAAGACTTGGATAATCAATTAAATTTCGAATATAATTTTGAAAAAGTATTGGATGATTTTATATTAATCATGTATGTCATTGGTAACGATTTCTTACCCAATTTACCTGATTTATTCATAAATAAAGGTGCTTTCCCCTTATTGATTGAAACATTTAAACAAAGTTTAAAACAATCAGATGGTTATATAAATGAAGGTGGTAAAATTAATTTCAAACGTTTGAATTTTTGGTTCAATTCTTTATCTGAATTTGAATTAGAAAATTTTGAAAAACAAGATGTTGATGTCGATTGGTTTAATAAACGTTTGGAAGATATTTCAATAACTGGTGAAAAAAAGAGAGAAAGAACCGGTAAATTGTTGTTATTAAAAGATCAAAAAAAATTAGTTGGTGTTATTAAACCATGGTTATTAGAAATAAATTCTCATCCAATTAATAAATTAATTGAACAAGAAAGTAAAAATGAATTACCAAGTTTACAATTGCCCACTGATGAAGTTGAAAAACATTTGGATTTCGTTAGAAAATTTGCTTTGGATACCGGTATTTTAATTATACATTCAAAAAGTGCAAATACTTATGAAGCAAGATTAGATATCGATGGAATCTCTCCTTACGAATCGGAAGATGAAAATAATAATAGAATTAATGATTTAAGGAAAACCATTAAAAAATATCAATCAGCTAATTTATTTGAAACAGACGAATTAATGAAAGACTCTAAAGATATTTATGATTCTAAATTCCTTGATTGGAAAGATAAGTATTATAAAGAAAAATTAAATTTTTCCATCCATGATAAAGAAAAAATGATCGATTTAACTCAACATTATATCGAAGGTTTACAATGGGTTTTGTATTATTATTATAAAGGCTGTCCATCTTGGAATTGGTTTTTCAGATATCATTATGCTCCTAGAATTAGTGATATCTCCATTGGTTTAAATGCCTTTATTGAAAATAACCAATTTGAAATAAAATTTGATCAATCGACACCTTTTAAACCTTTTGAACAATTAATGGCTGTTTTACCCGCTAGATCAAAACAGTTAATGCCAGTGGTTTACAGAAAATTAATGACCGATCCTCAATCTCCGATCATTGATTTTTATCCAGCAGAAGTTGATATTGATTTAAATGGTAAGACTGCATCATGGGAAGCTGTCGTTTTGTTAAGTTTCGTTGATGAAAAAAAATTACTTGATGTTTTGAGGCCTATTGAACTTCAATTAACACCAGAAGAGAAGAGAAGAAATTCCTTTGGTAACGAAATTCAATTCATTTTCAATCCTCAAATTGACCAGGTTTATCAAAGTCCATTACCCGGTTTTTTCCATGACTTAGAGCACGATCAATGTTACGAAGAAAAATTTGAAATTACCCCTGCTAGACCAGATTTTACATTTGATTTATTGGAGGGTGCTAAAACCGGCAAAGATTTGTTGGCCGGTTTCCCAACTTTAAGAACCATTGAATTCGATTCTGAATTATCATTACATGAAGTGAAGGTATTCCAAAATCCTTCAAGGTCTGAATCCATGATTTTAACTTTGAAAAACATTTGGGATGATCTTTCTACTAACCAATTCAGTCATAAATTCATTAACAAGGTTGTTTATAGTAGATGGCCATTTTTAAGAGAATCTAGAGTTGTGAAGGTTGTTGATGAAGAGGCTGTTTATGAATCTGTTAAAAGTGGTAATGTTAAAAAGATTGTTTCAAGCCCAATTTCACCAGAAGAATTAAAAGATTTCAAATCTTTATCTAGATCGATTTCTCAATCTTATGAAAAAACTAAAGGTATCAAGTTAGGTGATGTAAATGCTTTAGTTCATGTTCAACCAGTCACTGGTTTGATTCGTAACCAAAAAGGTGCGTATGTTAAAACATTTTCTAAAGAGATTGAAGTCTACCCAATTCAATTAATAGTTGAAGAAGTTATCAATGAAGATGAAAGATATGCTACTAGACCACCAATCTCAATTGAAGAAGAATTTCCACTTCAATCACAAGTTGTATTTTTAGGAGCATTTGCTTATGGTGCGCCAGCTACCGTTGCTGGTTATACCGATAATCAAAAGGTAAATATTAAAGTTAATAAGATTCAAGCAACTGCTGAACCAAATATTGGTAAGAGAAGATTAGAAGTCGAGAATAAGGAAATCAAATATTTACCAAGTTTCCAAGTTTCAAAACTTTTGAAACTCAATCCTTTATTCCTATCTCAAATTACTAGTGGATTTATGCTTGAGGATGGAAATAAAAAGGTTAATATTGGATTAGAGTTAAAATTCGAAGCTCGTCGTCAAAAAGTTTTAGGATACACCCAAAAATATGGTAAAGTTTGGGAATTTTCACCATTAGCAATTCAATTGATTAGAAACTATCAAAATAAATTTCCATCCTTGTTTAACAATTTGATTAGTCATAATTCCAACACAAGAAATATGCCAAAAGTAAAGGAAGTTTCTAGTGGTGAAGAAATTCAAGAAGTTCGTAAATGGTTAAAAGAAGCCAAACTGCAGTTAATCACTGTTAGTTTAGAAAGTGAATCCTTAACCAGATTTAGTTTCAATGCCATTGAAACTTACATTGAACATTATATTGCTCAACCCCCACCATTATCGAATAAAGATATAAAAGGTGTACCAAAAGAAGCTATATTAGATCCAAGTGAATCATATCAACTATTAAGTACTCAAAAATTCGAGTTAGGTGACCGTGTTATTTACGTTCAAGATTCGGGTAAAGTACCAAAATTAAGTAAAGGTACTGTTGTTAGTATTATTTCAATTGGAAATAAGAATTCATTGGGAGTTATATTTGATTATCCAATCTTGAGTGGTAATAATTTCAATGGGAAATTAAATACCAATAGAGGATTATCAATTGATTCGTCGTTAGTCTTAAACTTGACTAATAAGCAATTGGTCTATCATAGTAAAGCATCTAAGAATCAAAAACCAATTAGTGCACAAGAAAGATTAGCAAGACAACAACAAATTGAAGAGGCTAAAAATAAGAAGAAAGAATTGGAAAAACAAAATAATGCTAAAAAATCCAATGAACTTTTAACCTTGTTGAAACAAAACAAAGATGCTGCTAATAAGGCACAAGCTAGTGATGAACTGAATAAAGATAATGATGAGGTTTTCAGAAATAATGATGCTATCAAACAAATTTATGGACAAATTTACTCTAATGTTATGAGTGAAGGAAGTCAATCATTCCATGCCCCACCGCCACCACCGCCGCCAGGTCCAGGTATGGCTATTCCACCACATCTCTATGGAGGTGTTCCACCAGTCAATGGATTTGCGTATCCACAAGGAGCTTATCAACAAGTTCCACCAGTAGCACCTGCAAGTGAAGAAGCTAAGGAGGCTAATGGGGACGCCAAACCTAGAGGAACCAGTAATAGAGGCAGAGGCGGTAGCAGAGGCCGTGGAGGCCGTGGAGGCTCCAGAGGTGGAAGAGGCAATAATACAAGAGGCCGGGGTCGTGGCAAAAGTTCGAATGGAACTAAAGATGAATAAGAATGATATGTATTATATGTGAAGAAATAAATTATGTACAAGATGTATTAATGTAAGATTCATTGCTCTGTATCAGGCTTATCAGGCTTATCAGTATTTATATCCTTCTCATGGGTACTGACCTCCTTTTTGGGTTCAGGTTTATCACCCGGTAAATTAATTAAACCAAGCGAAGCCCAGTCCGATTTATCCATGAGCTGGTTATCCATTCTACATTTCAAATAAGATTTGGCCAATATACGACAGTTGGGTGCATTTTTATTCTCAGTATATTTCATACACTTCAAATAGTCCAACATTTGTTGTTTGCATTCTCCATAATGATCTAATGGGAATGAACCTCTTTCCGGAGGTGTTGGAGTCCAGGTTCTGAAATTTCCTCCTATAATCAAGGTTAGTCCGGTATTCACCAATACAAAAAGCGAAGCTGTACTTACCAGGAGCACCAGATGCCATTGTTATACAATCCTTAACGGGTTAACAAGGAACCTACTAGACTAAGTTGGTGAAAATTAAAGATCAAATGGCTCGAGGTTTGATGGCCGGTCGTGTGCCAAAGATCAATATCCTACCCATTGAATCAAGACAGAGACCAAACCCTTTCAATTCCCCTAGTGCCGGACCTGACCCCCATATAAAAGTTACTCGTTATGGCTCTCACAATCGAACGAGCCAACTATTAACAATATCCTGCCAAACTCCAAAATTAAACTTGTTTGGGTGCTGGACTTGTTTTCGCTAAACGGAAACGCTCACTCGAACCCCAAGACGGCCATTTCGCCGACCCCTGCTAGCACCCCGAGGAAACCCGCCAGCGCTACCTGGCCCATATAAAAGTTACTCGTCTCACACCCCCAGTTCTTCTGAGACAGCTCTCCAGGCTCCCGCTGCAATATGGTGTATTACCACCAAACGGGCCCACCCCAAACCGTACGAGACGAGCACCGACACCCCCGTACCTTCTCGGTGTTTGGGTCTTTGTTGGTGCTGACCCTTTTTACCCCACCAAAACCATCGCTGCTGGAAAAAGTCTCCCTTGAGCCGAAGGGAAACCGGTGAAAAAAAAAATAAAAATAAAAATAAAAGAAGACATATATACTCTGGGTCTTGTGAATTATCACTGGTATACCGAGATTATAAAGTAGTGGGAATCTACGCTAGTTACTCTAATTCTCGAGAAGAGTAACTTTTTTGTATATTCAGATTAGTTACTGGTGCTTTAATTGGACCAAAATACATTGTTTTTCTCCGTGAGATTTTGAATCATCCAATCAGATTATTAGGTTAATATTGGAGGAAAGCCCATTACCCCACAACTAATTCAGTTTTTACGTGTTTTAGGGTATTTAGTCCGAAATATATATATATTGAGATAGATTCGGGTTTATAGTGACTTGTTTATTCTGGAAAAACATATTGGCCAAGTCAGAATGTCAGCTAAGGAGCTTTTTGACCAGTTTAGTGTTGATGGACCCAATGGGAAGTCATTGAGTTTACCACAGTTTATTACTATTTTATCACCATTTGAAAATGATTTACCTAAACAATCGTATTCGTTACTTTATTTAATTGCTGATCGAGACGCTAAAGGGTATGTTACCGAGGAAGATTGGCTTAAATTTACTGATACTTTAACTGCTAAAGATGGAGAGTTTAAGTTATTATTTAATTTAATTAGGAAGAATCCTGAATCGAATAAGTTGGGTTATGATGAGTGTTTAAATCAGTTAAACAATTTGAATAAAGCCATTGATGCAAATTATCAACAGAAGAAGATTAAGTTGAATTGGACTTATTTTAATCAATTTTTCCAACCTTATGGAGAAATTGAATATAGTGATTTTATAACTTTGATAAATTATTTACCAGTTACTAAATTAATTGGGAATTTTGAAATATTAGCCAATAAAAAGGGTACTATTGATTCAAATGAATTAAATGAATTATTGATGAATAATTTATATCATAAATTATCTAAAAATTTAAAACAAAATTTGAATTCATTACCAGAATTTTTCAATAAAGATGAATTTACATTGTCAAATGTTTTATTCATTTATAATTGTTTAAATAAAGTTGATTTGATTAATGAAACAATTGCTAATACTCCACCAACTACCCAAGATAAAAAGGATATTTTGATTAATAAACAGGATTTATATAATCATTTAAATGATCATTTATTAAAATCTTCTAATTTCAAACCAGTTTCAATCGTGGAACTCGATTTATTATTTCACCTCATAAATAAAAATGAAGAAACAATTCCTAGAAAAGACCTTATATCTTTTCTTAATCCAAATTATAATAATAATTTACCAAGTTTATACTCAATTTTTGAACATCCTGCTGCTCAACCGGTTCAAGATGATAATTTTTCTCTTTGGCCCATCTTTGATTCTTTATATTCCTTCTTTTTAGGTTCAATTGCTGGTTGTATTGGTGCCACTGTGGTTTACCCTATTGATTTAGTTAAAACTAGAATGCAAGCCCAAAGACATAAAGCCGCTTATAAAAATTCTTTAGATTGTTTCAAAAAAATTGTTAAGAATGAAGGTTTAAAAGGTTTATATTCTGGTTTAGCTGCTCAATTAGTTGGGGTTGCTCCTGAAAAAGCTATCAAATTAACCGTTAATGATTTAGTTCGCAAAATTGGTACTAATGATGATGATAATTCAATTACAATGCCTTGGGAAATTTTAGCTGGTTCTTCTGCCGGTGCTTGTCAAGTTATCTTCACCAATCCTTTGGAAATTGTTAAAATTAGATTACAAATGCAAGGTGGTTCTCAAAATAAAGTATTGAAACCAGGTGAAATTCCTCATAAAAAATTAACTGCCGGTCAAATTATCAAAACTTTAGGGGTTAAAGGTTTATATAAAGGTGCTTCTGCTTGTTTATTAAGAGATGTTCCTTTTAGTGCTATTTATTTCCCAACTTATGCTAATTTGAAATATTTATTATTCGATTTTGATCCTTCAAATCCAAATAAAAAACATCGTTTAGACTCTTGGCAACTATTAATTAGTGGTGCTTTAGCTGGTGCTCCCGCTGCTTTTTTCACTACTCCTGCAGATGTTATTAAAACTAGATTACAAGTTGAACAAAAGAAAGGGGAAACTAAATATAATGGTATTGCTCACGCTTTTAAAACTATTTTGAAAGAAGAAGGTGTGGGTGCTTTCTTTAAAGGGTCTTTGGCAAGAGTGTTTAGATCATCTCCTCAATTTGGTTTCACTTTGGCCTCTTATGAACTCTTACAAAATTTATTTCCTTTACATCCTCCAAATACTAAAGAATCAAACTTTAAAGCAATTAGTGGATATCCTGGTGTTTACTCTTTAACAAATGATCAAGTCTATAACGGCCGTGATACTAGAACCATTTACCTCAATCAACAAAAATTGTTTAAACAAAATGGTTTAATTGCAAATAATAATTCTGAAAAATTAAACGATGCCTTGGTCAAAATCCCTGCTGAATACGTTTATAAAAGTCAAGATACTATTAAATTACTATTAGATGTTGATTATAAATTTGGAAATTTCAATTATGATTCCTATATTAATTATATCAAAAAATTTTAAACTCTACTTTTTTTTTCTTTTCTTATCATAGATTATATACTTATAAATTCTCCTTTGTAATTACTATCCTGATTTAGTCCTCTTATAATACATACACTTCACGAAATTTTATCTTGCATGAACACTATACGAATTGTAAATGGTTAATGCCATATGTCAAAAGCTTTCATCTTCATCTTAAGTGAAAACTGTCAATAAATTTTCTCCAGTTATAAATAAAAAGAATCCCCCATCAACTTTAACAGGATATACACACTTTATTTCAGATGCAATATCAATATCATATATATATGGTATTAACTGTGGGTCAAGTAAGCTTGTTATTTGAAAAGATGTATTAGAATTCCTTAATATCAAATTGCCGTCTATTATTGCCAGAAACTTACTTCCAGAAAAATTGTTATTAATATATGTGACTTTTCTTGATGATTTTTTGGGGCTTTTATATCGAAATTTTATCATAGTACTATATTCGAGGTTAAAGATAGTGATAGACTTCATTCCTATTACTAAAACATCGAAAAACCTTGGATCATCAGTCTCTAGAACAAAAAAGTCTCTTATTTTATCTTCATGATATATAATGAAGTTTTGTAGTGAGTCAGCATTTGACGATAGCTTGGAAAACACTAATTTCCTTGATCCAGTATGGGACAGTGGAACAAATATGAAAAATTCATTATCGTAGATCTTAATCAACTCAAACTTCATAAAGCTCTTACATCTTGGTTGCAGCGCAACGTCCAATTCTGCATTATCTGGGTCATGATTAGTATCAGCATCCTCATCCATGGCAATCAAACTTGATTCATGAGCAAAATTTGTCGACTCCAGTCTACTGTGGCCCATTTCCATGCCATCTTTGATCAATGTGTCAAAACTTTTCACGGGATTAGAATTTGACACAGTTTTATCAGAAAGATACCTATAGAAACATTCTTGCTCGATTAAGCAATCATCTTTGATTATAAACACCAAAACAGCAGCTCTCGAGATCATCACAAGTTTTTGTTTCAAAGATACTTGATAATCTTTGTATGTTTTTTGCAAAACCCCAATCTGAATGGGAATGATCGAGTAGTTATCAAAGTCATCCTTCTTCCAAACCCACCGTAATAAAACATGTTGACACCAATCATCAAACTCATAAGAAATTAGTGATAAGTCATGATAGGTGAAGATGTTATCTATCTTGTATGCATATGTAGTATTCGGCATATAATCTTGAAAACATGCCCTTAGTTCCTCTGATGAATCAAGTATATTCAGACCCTTTGCAAATGTTTCTGTAGCTCTAATCCTTATTTTTCTTTCTATAGCAGATAAAGTGTATTCCACATTATCCACTCGAATAAATCCTACAATCGCGGCATCATTATATTCAACGTGATGTAAAGACTCGAATGCTTTGAAGTTTTTGGGTCTCAAACAAGATATATTGGATAATGATCGATAGTTATTGAATTTTGAATACATCATCGCATCCCAAGTGATATGATCTATATTTCTTATTGGTATGTTACCTCTAATCATCTTTTGATAATAGATTTCTTTACTCAATCCCGCTGGATCTTTCTTCACTTCACCTAGTTGTAGTTTCTTCTGCTCCCTTTCAATGATCTTGTCATTCTCTGATTTCCTCTTTTTGTTCTGGATTACATTATTATGATATTGTGAGTTTTGTTGAAGACCACCGTTTGTAATTTTGAAATACCTTTTTTTAGAGGGATCAAAGTAAAACCCGGGTATATCAGGAGGCGGGGGCATATCTTATTATCATCATTCCATTGATGTCTGTTCGTTAGATAACTTAATGGATTGAGATCAGTTCTCTCTTTTTTTTTTTTCCTTCCTTCTCTCTGCTAACTTAACTGGTGAAAACATCACAGTTTGAAGTCCCCCTACAAATACTGACATTCGAATGAATAATTCTCTATATATTTTAACTATAAAACCAGATAAATTTTAATGATCTAATCAAAATCATAATCGTTGTATGATTCGTTAATTGAATTACTAAATTTTGCAACACTTATTTCGTTTCTCTTTCTCATAATCAATTCTTCAAACCCATTAGACCTGTCTATGCCATCCCAAAAAAAACCAGCTTTAATTCCAAACCTGTTTGGAGGATGTATGCCTTTATTATAGGTTGGTCTTCCGGTCTTTGAAGTCGAACTTGTTTTTGTTTTAACTTTATCGTCAAAGACTTGTAACGGATCATCGAACCTTTCCTTCGACTTCATATGTCGTATATAACCTTCATCGCTTTTCGAGACTTGAAAAGATTTCGAATTGGATAGTTTGGTTTCAAATTCTGCTTGAAGTAATTTATCTGCCTCCCCTTGATTAATAGTTTGTTGTCGGTTTTGTTCATCGATTTCCTTTTGTTTCTGTGCTTCTAGAAGAGACTTTCTTTTGGCTTCTATATCTATTATTCTACCCGAAGAGTCTCTATAAACGGTTGTTTGGTTATTTTGCGGTTGTTTTTGCTTTTGGTCTTGATCTTGTTTTTGCTTTTGGCCTTGCTCTTGCTCTTGCACTTGTTTTTGGTCTGAGCTGTCCTTAGGTATTTCAGTTCCGTCTATTCGCTTGAAACCTTTGCTCAACTTAGAAGACCCCACCGAGACTTTTACTGGACCAAACTCATTTTCTGGGTCGTCATTGGGCTTAACTTCATTATCTGATTCATCTTCATGATGTATTACAGGATCCTGTTGAACAATAACAGTTGGATTTGCCGATGACTTAAATTTAGATTTATCTTTTGACTTTTTTTTCTCCTTCTTTGAGGTTCCTCCCGATAAATATTTCTCTAGGTAAGCAGCTCGAGACATTCTGTATGGTCTTTTGGAGTAAGTCAACTTGAAGGTTAGCATCAAATGAGATTAGTATGAGATGACTTGCATCTCGGTTTTTTCCTTCCGTGCACCAGTTTTTTCAAACAAACGAATATTTGCTACAAGACATGATTATATAGACATCTATATTAAAGCTAATAATACATATATAGAAGAGCATTGATGCAAGAGGATCGGGAATTTATGGATTATTTGGTCAATTTACCGAGATTGTTATGAACTTGAGCAATGGTGTCACATAATTCCATGAATAAATTATATTGATCTTTAACAACTTCCACAACGTTAAATAAACCTCCGAATCCTTCAACACAGGAGCGTTCCAAGCCACCAATGACTTCCTCGGCTTCTTTGACTATATTTTGATAGGTATCTAATATTTCATAATATTTTTTAATTTTCTTAACGAAAAATTCATTTAATTGAAATGAAGAAGATAATCTAGTACCTGGAGTTGATAATTGTATTATTAAATGCATCATTTTATTTATATCTTCCGTTAATTCATTATTGATTTCTTTTAGTGATAGCAATTGATTTGAATCGAATTTTAATGCTTGTTTTGTAGATGATAATTTTGTATAAAGATAATCAGTATCTTTATTTATTGATTTGATTAAATTATCATGTTTATACATGTCTGATTTTAAGGTTGTGGCTATTAAATGCTGAGTATTGATATAAGTATCGAAATCTTCCAATTCTTTCTTGACAGCAGGTGGTAAATCCCCAACTCTTGTCATGGCTGTCAATTGAGTTTCTTGTTGCTGTTGTTGTTGTTGTTGTTGCTGTTGATTGCTATTTGCTCCTCCAAACAATCCACCTCCTGAGGTATTGTTAGAGGTATTCCCGCCAAATAATCCTCCCGATGCTGGCTTATTCCCAAATAGCCCACCGGAACTAGTTTGGTTGTTATTATTATTACCAAATAACCCACCACTGGTAGAGGATGTGGTATTATTATTTGATCCACCAAACAATCCTCCACCGGTAGTATTATTTTGGGGATTATTAGTATTTCCAAAACTAAAACCAGAACTTCCAGTACCGCTACCGGTACCGGGATTCGAAGGGTTGGACCCAAAAAGACCTCCACCGGTTGCTGGTTTTGAGCCGAAAAGGCCACCTCCAGTGGTTGATTGATTGGTGTTATTTGAGCCAAACATTCCTCCGCTAGATTGAGTGTTGGTATTGGATCCAAACATTCCTCCATTAGATTGAGTATTAGTTGATGGATTTGTATTTGAAGATCCTCCAAAAAGACCACCAGAGGTAGAATTGGCGGTTGTATTGTTGGAGCCAAATAATCCACCAGATGCAGCTGGTGCAGCAGGGGCGGTGGGGTTTGTACCGAATCCAGAGGCCGGTTTGTTGGCGCCGAATCCACCAAACGATGAATTACCTGAGTTTCCGAACATGATTATTTGTCAGTCTGGATGGGTTTTAGCGAATGGTTAACGAATGGTGAAATCGATGGATCTTGTTGATACTTTTTTTTTTTCACTGTTCTACGAGTTTTTTTGTTGGTACACGCTATAAACAAAATATATATAATATATACAATATATAAATATATACAAATATATGTATACACACATACATACATATATTCATACATAGATACATACATACATACATACATACATTCATACATACACACATACATAGATGATTGATGAGACTTTGGTGCGTATGTATAAGGACATCCAGTCGCAGCTCAGCCGGGCCAATTCTGAGATGGTCCGAAGACACTTGAATGAAGAAGATGGACGGAGAAGATACGAACAAGGGATACTAGAAGAGTATAACCGGAAACTAGATATAGTCAACCAAGAGATGAAAAGGCTTCGAGAAGAAAACAGTCGAATGAAAAGACAAATACAGGGTTATAAGAACAAGTACGAGAGTCCCAATAAAAGACAAAGAGTCGAGAAGGAAGAAATGACCCGAAGTCAGTATAATGCATTACCTACGCAATATTCATCGGAAGATGAGTATTCAATCAGATCGTCGCCGAAGAAGGTGTCGCCGAAGAAGTCACCCATCAAGGAAATCATTGAAGACTCGGAGGAGGAATACGAACCGATTAAACTAGAAAGCCAACCATTAAATGATATAAGTCAACCATTGAGTGATATGAGCCAACCCTTAAATGATATAACCAAGCAGATCAACGAAATCAAAAGGAATGAAACCAAGCCTCCACAAACCGCATTACAAAGAAAAGAATTCTTAAGAAAGTATTATAAGATGAAATTCAATACTTCCAAGATCATGATAAACCTCACCACCAATCCAATCACTGAAAAAAATTGGATACTACAAGATTTCAAAGAGAATCCCAAGTACGTTAGACCCAAGGTAAGCAAGTACAGCGTGATGTCAAAGAAAGAAACCGAGGAACGAAACTTGTTTTATGAAATCACCGGAGAATCAAAAGAAGAACTAACTTACTCGCAAATCTTCGATAAGTTCCCTTCACCACCAGGGTTCATGAAGAGCGATTTCCCCGACACGCTAGAAACAGAGCAACGAAGAAGACTCATCAGCGAAAGACAACACGACCGAATCAAAAGACGAATCGATAGCGCCCTCGCAAACTTCTACGACCCCAACAAGCATGGCGAGTTCGTCTTCCAGGAGGACATCATTAACCAATACGTGGACGCCGGAAGGTTTCAGTAGGGTAATTATATAACTTGTATATATATAACTTGTATATATATAACACGTATATATATGCGTACACGTATGTATGTACGGATGTTTTTATTATTATGTTGTTATTGTTGTTGTTGTGCGTGTCTGTACCAACATAATAACTGCGAAAAGTAAAGGTTGCAACCGTTTCACGAAACCCAACTTGCCCAGCCCTTCTTCCCGGGGCAACACCTGGCCAACCCCAGCAGAGGCCCTTGCAAGAATCCACCGAGCAGACCAGTCACAACGGTACCTGGGAAACCGCAGGCCACCGCGGCGGAAGTCGGCGCCCTCCCAAAACCCTCGCCAGAACCAGCCCGACCAAAAGGGAAATAGGATTGGGTGCGTTTGAGCACTGAAAGTCACGTTTAGCAGCCAATTAACCTTGCCATTCTGGTCGTTCAATAATTAATGCGAATTAAACCTATATAATACACGAATAGTTATTAGGGGTAAGTAAATAAAAGGGGCAAAAGGGTATGAATCACAAATATTCTAATCAACCTTTCGAATCAGGATCCATTATACGCGATCAAATTAATTGCGATGGTAATTTTGATTTTGTGAATTATCCCAATATATTAGGGTTACATCATTAAGGGATTCACCATTTCTAGAATCAGGATCCAGGAACAATCTGGGGCACCGTCAAATAAACCTATATATAAATGACATACAAATATACAATACAAGTCAAACACCAAACTTATAATCCGTTTTGACAAAAGTTTAAAATTGCAAATTTACAAATTCCCACCGTTCCTCCAAACAATCCTCCAAACAATTATCCAGTTATACAATTATACATGCAACAAATAAATAAACATCGATAACTCACTACACTACACAACACAACACCCATACCTCTGTGTACCAAATGAATATTTTGTGTTTGTGGACATCAAAAAAGAAAAAACAACAAAAAAAAAAAAAGTTCAAAGGAACAAAAAAAAAAAAAAAAAAATTTACATTTTTTACAATTTTACACCTTTTTTCTCTGGTCCAACACTTTTTAACCGCCAACTACTTCTTCTTCTTCTTCCACAAGTTCCATTGACGTGTTGCTGCTCTTGATCTGGAGCTATTGGTGCTGTTGCTTGTTCTCTACGCTTACCCCGTGCTGTTTGACTGCTGTTTGACTGCTGTTTGACTCCTCTTGTGTTTGTCTGACTGCCGCTGTGTGCTTAACCGCTGTTGCTTGACTGCTGACTGTTTGACTGCTGACTGCTAACTGCTGACTGCTGACTGCTGACTGCTGACTGCTGTCTACTTGTTGTTCAACTGTCACTGTCTACTTGTTGTTCCCTGTCTACTTGTTGTTCAAAAGGTTGGGTGCTCCTTGGGTTTTCTTTTTTTTAGTGAGGAAATCTGTCGTTCTCTGACTCGTCTAGATTGTTTTTTTTTTCCTATATAAATTCATGAGTGGAATTTATAATTCTATTTCTTCTTCTTCAAATCAAGTCATGTCTAACTTAAATTTAAATCCTCCAAATAATAATCCAAATTATCAAATTTCTTCTACTCATCATCATTCAAATTCTTTTAATCATGGTCATAACTTATCAATTAATTCAATTAATTCTTTAATTGAACCAACTACTCCTCCAACTTTATCTACCATTAATTCAAAACTGTTTCTTTGGGAATCAAATAAATTAAATAATAACTTGAATTTACCCAATTTTAATTTGGATCAAAATAAAAATAATACTAATAATTCAAATTCAACAACAGCAATAACTAATAATAATACTGGTGGTAGTATTAATAGTACATCTGGTGGTAGTATTAATAGTGGGAATGGAATTCACGCTCGTAATTCAAGTTTCAGTCATAGTCATAGTAATAGTAATCATTCATTATCAGCTTCTCCATTACCTTTACCATTTAATCATCAACGTCAAATTTCAATTGAATCTTTATATTTAGATAAAGAAAATCAAAAACCTTTTAATAATTCTAAAATTGATAAAGAATATTTAACTTCAATTAATAAAATTCCTTTAAATCAATTAAAACAAGAAATATTAAAATTATCAAAAGATCAATACGGTTGTCGTTTTTTACAAAAAAAAATTGATGAAAATTTAATTTCAAATTCTCAATTAAGAAAATCAAATTTTGAAATAATTTTTAAAGAAATTTATCCTTATTTATATGAATTAATTATTGATCCTTTTGGTAATTATTTAATTCAAAAATTAATTGATTACTGTGATGAATCAAATTTAAATTTAATTTTAGAAATTTTACAATTTAATTTATTTCAAATTTCAATTAATCAACATGGTACTAGAGCTTTACAAAAAATTATTGATAATTTAAATAATGATTATCAATTAAATTTATTAATTAAAGGTTTAAAACCTTATATTATTGAATTAATTAAAGATTTAAATGGTAATCATGTTATTCAAAAAATTTTAAATAAATATAATCCAGAAAATTGTCAATTTATTTATGATTCAATTATCAATGATTTATATATTGTGGCTACTCATAAACATGGTTGTTGTGTTTTACAAAAATGTCTTAATCATGTTAATAATTATCAATTAAATGATTTTGCTAATAAAATTCTTTCCTTTGATATTTTTATTAATTTAATTAATGACCAATTTGGTAATTATGTTTTACAATATTTAATTTCAATTAATTCAATTGAAATTGATATTAAAATTTTTAATAATTTTATTAAATTTGGTATTAATAATTTATGCAATTTAAAATTTTCTTCAAATGTTATTGAAAAATTTTTGAAAAATTGTTTTAATAATGAATTTAAATCAATGGATTTTTCAAATTTAAAATTTGAATTATCTTATCATATTTTAAATTCGGATTTAAATAAATTAATTAATGATCCTTATGGTAATTATGTTATTCAAACTTTAATTGATATTTTAATTAATCCTCAAATCAATTATTTTTTGAAAGATTCAAATAATTTATCAGATAACTTGTTATTATTATTACCAATTAATTATAATCAAAATTTTGATGATTCTTTACAAATTCAAATTATTAAAAAGTGGTTTCAACATTGTAAAATCATTTCTTCATTTGGTAAAAGAATTCAACTGAAAATTAATATTATTTTAAATGGTAATTCAAAAACTTTACCTAAAATTAAAAACTCTCTACAACAACAACAACAGCAACAACAACCACAACCTCCCCAACAACAACAACCTCCCCAACCAAAAGTTAATTTACCATTGAATTCAAATAATTCTTTATTCAATTTTAACCAGAATATGAATGCTAATGGTGAATTTATTCAAACTGATTCTCGTCCAAATCCTTCTCATATTCAAACTAGAAGTTTGAGTTTAGGTAATCATCCTTCTCCCTCGAATCAATTTATTAATCATTCAAGAGGTTTTTCAGTTCCTCATATTCAACAACAACCTCCCCCACCCCCACCAATTAACACTTCTCATCATCATCAAAATTCTCAAAATCAATTTGGTTATTTTAATCAACCAAATCAAGCTCAAAATTATGTCTTTGGTGGTGTTAATAAAAACTTTATTCCAAGTCAAAATGGTTTTAATTCAGAACCAAACTCTTCTTTAAATACTCCAATTATTGGTTATCCACCAACTACTAATTTGCATGTTACTAACTCAATTGCATCGGGTTCAAAAGCTCCCGTTTCAAATTCTCAATCGAATACGAATAATAATATGACTTCTAACGAGTTTATGATTAATACACATGGTGATTACCCTACATTATTTGATAATGGTTTTAAAAATATGACTCCTCCTCCTCCTCCTCCCCCAACTTTTTTACAACAACAACAACATCACCAAAATGCATACACTCAAAATCAATCTTATCAACAACAACAAAAACATCAGTATAATATTATTAACCAAGGACAATATCAAGTGCCTTCCGGTTTGAACTACTATCAAGGTTAATAAATGATCTTTTGTTTGGTGCTTTTTAAATTTATCCAATTTTATATTTTTATCCTACTTGTCCTTTTTTTTTTTTCTACATATCCTTTATTTCTTCCTTTTATGTGTTTATTTTCAATGTTGTATTTAAGGATTACTCCATTATGATCTTTGTTATTATTAGTTTGTGTCTTTTTTATTTTTACTTTACTTTTTATTTATTTATTTAATCATGGCCGTGTTTCCTATAGACCAGTTGAAAATGCTATGAACATTATTTTCTTGTGGTTTACAAACATGTCAAGTTTGTGATGTCTACAAAGCTTTGAAAGTTTAATAGATATCTTCCAATTGAAAATTCTCCCAACTTTCCAGATGAAAACCGTATAAACAAAAAAAATAAAAAAAAAAGAAAAAATTACCAAAGATTTTTTAAAAAAAAAAAAAGAACCATAAAATGAATAAACTGTTGTAACTTTATGTGCCATTAATATGATACCCTTAATCACGCATTCCATGTTTTTTTTTTGCCTCCACCTCGTCATTTCATTATACATTTCTAACAGCTCATTTCTTATATATTTACTTCAATTATTTGTGTACTGTTTTCTTTTTCAATCAATTTTGTCATTATTTAAACTTTATGTAGCAGCCATTTGAAAACCGTAAAACGAAAAATCATTTTCCGCAGCAGCAACGCGAAGGTAAACGATTTGAATCGAGACTTTGTATAAGGTGGTGTATATATAAGGTACTTACGTGTTATTAAATCCTGAAGGACTACATTTATTTCCATTGGTTCCGTGAAACATTACCCTTAATGACCGTAGTATTGCTAATCTATTTATATATTAATAGGATGCGAAAAAAAGAAAGAAAGGCTTAACGTCTTCTTTTAACTTTATCCCAGGCAGAAGTAGGTTTTCTTTTCCTAGAAGTACCTTCCAGGATATTTCTATTATTATTAAACATTGACCAATCTTCACCGGCAAAGTGATTTGCCTTTTCGTTTTGTTTTTGTTTGAAGCTCTTTTTAAGTTGAGTATTGGGTAATCTGGTGAAGTTACTTTCTTCGTAAGTTTGAATTTCTTCTTCTCTTTGTCTATCTTTATCAGTTTTAACACCTCCTCTACCATTGTTTACAATACTTGAACCAATTGATACTTCTGCTTGAGGTAATTCAGAGTTTTCTGCCAAATATTCTTCCATACTTTGTAATTTACGATTAGACGACTTATCAGTACCCTTTTCACTGAAGGTAGCAGAGGGTGGTGCAACTGCAGAAATCTTGGGTGGTTTATAAGCTTCAGCATTTTCACTTGGCTCTGATGATTTGGATGGTTTAGCTTTGCTTGAAGTTTTAGTTAATTTGGCCAAGGCTGCAGCATCTGGTCTATAAGAAAGAGCGTCGTCTTCTTCTTCAGACTCGGACTCGGATCCGGACTCTGATCCGGACTCTGATCCGGATTCTTTGTTGGATTCTTTACTAATCTTAGCTTCTATTCTAGTTTCATCTTCCATCATTCTATTATACGATCTCACCATTTTATCAATTTGATAATTTAATTTCTTCTCTAATGGCTTAATCCCTTTTTCTAATGAAACCCTCTGTATAATTGAATTTTCCACCATTTTCTCCTTTAATGATTCTGTCTTGTCAAATTCACAATCTTCTTCTAATCTTTCCAAGTGACTTAAAATTATAAGAGCAAGATTGTTTAAATACGACAATAACGAGCTGTTTTTCAATGTCAATAACGAAACCCCTTCTAGTTTATCGAGTCCTAGTTTTTTCATAAGTTCCTGAACTATACTAGGGAAAGTATCTTCATTATCGAGATGATCTTGTTCTATGGACTGGATCGACTGCGTCGTGGTCTCAACTGCAGCTGCAATACCCGTGAGTAGTTGGTCCACGGATTCCCTGGTGGCCATCTTGACAAGTACGTACTTATAGGTGTAATCAAACGGTAGACTCTAAGACTAAACAGAAATAAAAGGAATGAAATATGAAAAATGAAAAAAAAAAAAAAAAAAAAATAATCTTAGTGCTTATGTAAGAGCTTATGTAAGAGGAGATGAGATAAAATACGAGCAGTTGCACAAGCTATCAATTTTTTTTTTTCTTTCTTTCTGAGAGGAAGAGCATCGAAATTTTGAAAGAATCACTGCCTCTTAGAAAAGAATATAGTTATTCGGATAGAAGAAACAGAAGTCAAGCACGATGCCTCAAAACGAGTATATTGAACAGCACATAAAGCAACATGGTAGAAGATTGGACCATGAAGAAAGAAAGAGAAAGAGAGAAGCCAGAGAAGGACATAGAATAGCTAAAGATGCCCAAGAGTTGAAAGGATGGAGAGGTAAGCAATTTGCTAAGAAACGTTATAGTGAAAAGGTTGCTATGAAGAAGAAGATCAAGGCCCACCAAGAATCCAAGGTTAAAGGACCATCTACACCAAAACAAGATGAAGGAGAAGCATTACCAACATATTTATTGGATCGTGAAACTAATAACACTGCTAAAGCTATATCATCTTCAATCAAGCAAAAAAGATTAGAGAAAGCTGATAAATTTTCGGTTCCATTACCTAAGGTCAAAGGTATTTCTGAAGAAGAAATGTTTAAGGTTATTAAAACTGGTAAATCCAAATCTAAATCCTGGAAAAGAATGATTACAAAACATACTTTTGTTGGTGAAGGTTTCACCCGTAGACCCGTTAAAATGGAAAGAATCATTAGACCTTCTGCTTTGAGACAGAAAAAGGCCAACGTGACCCATCCAGAATTAGGAGTTACTGTTTTCTTACCAATTTTGGGGGTTAAGAAAAACCCTCAATCTCCAATGTATACTCAATTAGGTGTTTTAACTAAAGGTACTATCATCGAAGTTAATGTTTCTGAATTGGGTTTGGTTACTGCTGGTGGTAAAGTTGTTTGGGGTAAATACGCTCAAATTACAAATGAACCTGATAGAGATGGATGTGTTAATGCTGTTCTTTTAGTCTAATCTCTAAAATGATTTCATTATGTCTTACTCTTTTTTTTTCATTTCAACGTTTATTTACACCTTGTGTCCTTTTTTTTTGCATTTGTATTTTTAGTTACGTTTTAATTTGATATCGATTTTTAAAATAAAAGAATGAAATGTTGTAGTATTAGATTATTCGGATAAATTACTATCAAATAAATCTTCACAAACTATATCCGGTTTACCAATAGAGATCAATGCACAATTGAGAATAAGCCTAGCACTCTCTCTAAGAATTAACCACTGACTACTAAGTAATTTGGACCCCACTAAGAAACAAAGTCCACTTATATGTTGCTTATTTGAAAGTTGTGGTAATAATTCACAATGTTTAACCAATATTTCATGCGGTGTATGCTTTTTACTTTCAAGATTGAAAGGATGAATATTAAATTCCTTATGTAGATTATTCTTTCTCAAATTAGTATAAAATTCCTGCCTTATTCTAAGAAGATATTGGTAACCACCTTCGGCACTATATTCTGACATCTTTGAATAATCTCGAATATGTTTACCTAAATTTTCAATTTCATTAAATCTATGTGATTCTATTCCATAAGTTGAATAAACATAACACCATAAAACCATGGTTGCTATCCCAATTGCATACATGCTATCAAAATAGTCATTTTCAACTGACCAATCTATGAATATACTGTGGGTTTTATCATCAGGATTTAAGTCATTATTTGGTTTTAACATTAATTCCCATAACAACAAGTAACAATGAACAACACTCTTTAAGTTTATTATGTCATTTATTGACAACTTATTCATTTGTAAATTCCTTGACCACATACTGTTCAATTTTCTACGAACAATCAGGCGATCCTTCTTGGTTACACCAACACTCTGGTTAGCAGGAGATCCGCCGAAAATCGCAATATCATAATGGTTAATATCTGCCATCCCGATTATTTGTGTAAGGTGATACATTGGAAATTTACATTGGAAAGGTTTATGTTGGAACACTAGCGGTTCGGGCAGTTTTACGCCTCCATAACAATTGGATTGTATTGTCCAATTGTCAAAGGCCTTTGATAAAATCTCTTTCCATACTTGATTTTTCCTGTTTGATACTATCCCATTCGTTGTTAATAAAGATGAATTATTTTGAAGATCAGTTTGCTGCATTTGATACATAATCGATATTAACCCAGCAAATAAAATTTTCCTTGAAAAAATTGAATGAGTACTGGTTAAACCTTTTATTTCTTCGGCTGGTTTTAAAATATCTTTTAATGCATTGATAAATTTAATCCCCATACTCATCTTACCACTTTCATTTTTATGAAAATGATGATTATCACGATGAAGCGTATCGATTTGGGATTGTAATTTTTTCTGTCTTTTTACTATTTTTCTAAAGGAACCATTTAATTCTTGTGATTCCCATAACTGATTATCATTACATGGTAAATTTAATAATTGTAATTGATAAAATGTCATCTGAGGGTTATGACGAAATTTAATATAGTCAATAATGTCCAAATAAAACGTCATGAAAGTAATTCTTTTCATTGATTCTGATTCAACCCATTCATTGAAAAGATTCACATCGTGTTGATCATTAACTTTGACGGTATTCAAGTCGGTATTTATGTCAGAAGACTCTTCACCACCAGTACTCGTAGATGTATTACTTTGAGTTACCTGTTTATTATGATGAGTAGGGTTCCCACCTAATAAAGGAGATCTTCTTAATAATTGAACAGTGGTACCATGATGAATATGAGCTCTCTCGTGCATCTCTCTCAGTAAAAAGTTTTTCTCTGACCACTCTAAAAGATTCAAAGTTTGTAAGACCCATAATTTAGTTGGAGTTTTAAAATCCTTATGTTGGAAAATCATAAATCTTAAAGGTTCAGCAATCAAATCACAAAACTTCAAATAAGAATCTTTTTTCAATTTACCATTGAGTATTGTTGGTATTGGAGCACAGTAATTTGCACCAATTATAATCATTGCCAATAATAATAATGGTTGAGAAAGTTTAGTATCAAAGGAAGGTTTATGCAAGATACTAAACTGGGGATGGAAATACTTCCAATATTTTGATAAGTAGAATGAAAAACGATTCTCCAAAGAACAATTATCATCAATGAGAACGAAACAGTCTTCGATTTGTTTTCGATTTAATGAAGGAATTGATTTTATAAGTGAATTTACTAATAAGCTATCAATGAAAATGCATTTTTTTTTAGAGACATTAGAATGTAATCCATGTTCTTGAATTACCTTCATTAAGTTATTTTGATTAAAATTTATTTCATAAGTTTCAGGAGTTAAGTTTATATCTGATCCCGAACGAGACGTTAAAGAGTCATTAGTATTAGTTGGGGAACTAGACTCCATGGATGAAAATTGGAAATTGTTATTATTGGCTAAGCCATTGAGAGCTTTTGAATTATATTTTTCATTATTCTTTCTTAAAAATATTTCTTCCAAAGGATTAGTTGAATTTGGAATGAAATTCATATCTTGAATGTCAAGATTATTTAAATTTTGGAAATAAGAATTATATTGGCTTGCTGGGTGATAGAATGGGGTTAAGGGATTCGAGTTTGGATCTTGTATTGAATTCCAATTACTATTCGGTTGTGATGGTAAGATCGATACACGATCGTTTGGATTCGGAGATATTTGCGAAGAATCAAAAGGTGATGGGAATTCATTTGGATTTTTCACATTAATTGATGCATTTGTCAATGGTTGTAGGATGTTTTGATCGACATTGGGGGTTCTATCAACTTGGTTTGAATAATTTTGGGCATTATCATTGAAAAGCCAAGATAGAACATCTACTTGAGACTGTGGATGATTGGTATCGAAGCCCGGTAAATGGGGGCGGTCTAGGTGTGATTGATGAACTGAAAAATCATTGGGTATACTTGGTTCAACAATGTTATTTGGAATTGGGATAGTAGAATAACCGGATTGAGGTTGAGCCTGAGGATGAGGCGGTTTTTGCGTAACCAATGAATTATTTACTGTTGGACTAGTACCAAAGGAATTATTTATTGGTAAAGGAAATTGCCCCGGTGTTTCTAGGGCATCATTTGGACGAGTGTGAATCAAATTTGATATTTGAAGCGGTGAGCTATTTGACGAGATTGGCAAGGGTATTTGGGATAAATCACTCGAACATGCTGGTTTGCCTATACTTTTCTTCCTTGAACCATCTTGTTTTGACTTATCTATTTGATCACTCGAAGGTTTCCTTTTCTTCAAGTTGACTTCTAATTTCATCAACTCTAAATGTCGTCTTGCATGACGTTCTTTCAAATCTTTTCTAACGAATCTTTTACCACACTTCTTCCTTATCCCATTGTCTTCTTCCAAGATAAAATCACATTCGAAAACTTCTTTTGGTTGATGATTAAGATGATGTCGAGATAAATGGTCCGATCGACTGAAAACCTTATCACAATCCGGACAAGGAAACGATCCCAATGTTCTTTTCTTCTTCTTCTGGCTCTGTTTTAGCGTTTCATCACTCATTGGTGTATCTAGATGGGATTCCGAATTAAAATCTGACATCTCCAACTTCAAATTTAAAACTATCAAGTTAAGCAAGTCAAAAATCACTTCAACCTCGTTCTTATCAAACACTCTAGTAGTACTCCAATCTTTTCTATGTCTATCACTTTCGGATTAATTAAATATAATTTATCCTTAGATTGATGTAATTATGTTAATGTCAGCCGGATTTCTATTATTATTTTTTTTTTTTGTTTTCTGCTGGTCCTATTCCGGAACCTACTTCAAGTTAAATCGGATTTCAGTGGATTCACACACACAATATCCCGTGTTCTAGGAGCTATTTCTGCTTCTAGTATTCTTCTTGACTCGACGAAATGCTTGCAAGGTGTAAATGCCTTTTGGCCAGGCCAATTTATTGTGCTGCTCTGACTCAGATTTTTTTCCGAATTTTTATATTGTCTTTGTACATTGTTTTCTCCGCTTTAAGAAAAGCGAAAGTTTTGAAGAACGCAAAAAGTTTACGAGTTTTGAATTAATTAATGAAGTTATTTATTAGTTCTACTCGGGTCTATACCCTGAAAGCATGCGTGGTCATAAGGTTCATGAGTGAGGTTTATTTGAAGGCTCATCAGATCAAGCTAAGAAGATCATTTGAAGGCTTATGCTTCGATTGGACCACCTCTGGATTCTAAAGTGAGTGGCTGACTAGGAGGTAAGATGGAAGTTGTAGAATTTGTAGAGTTGGCATCTTTTCGATCATCAATATCTTCCCAAAGATTAATGAAAGAGGGAGGTTCAGATTTATAGAAACCCAATTCTTTATTTTCATCGGAAAACCTTAAAGATTTTTTATTTGATAAGGAAGGGGAAGGGCTTTTAGTTTTAGTTTCTTTAAAACTGTTGATACGCATTCTATCAAGAGTCATACGTAATTCCAATTGTTCATTTGCATCAGCGTTAGTTTTATGATTAGGAATATAAAAATTTTTTCTTTTGCCTAAACCATTATTAAAACTTAGCGACTGATCAAAATAGTGATAAAATTTTTCAAAATTCATTAGTAAACCAATTTCACCGTAACTATCGGTAATATCTGGTAAGCCATGACAGTAATTTGAATCAATACGAATTTCGCTTTTAATTGCTTTGTAATCGAAATCTTTAAAATCTTTTGGATTTAACTTCCATATATCAAGATATTTCTCATACATTTTTGGATTGTTCAAATCTATTTCTTGATTAGTATTGGAATTATCGTCTTTTGATGATAAATGGAATAGCATGTAATCCAAAAAGGTGAATACTTTGACTTGATTATACTGATCAATGAATAAACAATCAAGTTCTTCATTTAACGATCCTTGGTTCCCTAGATTAATAATTTCATTACATATTGTTGGAATATCTGGAGCTTCGAATTCTTGTAAAAAACTATTGATTGTGAAATTAATAACTTCTTTGATATCTTTATCGAATTGAATGGTTGGAAATCTTTTAAGGATCAATTTGCTTATTTTATCTCGAATCTTAATTAAATCTTCATCAAAAGTTAATTTATTCGATAATATTGGACTGAGACTTAAATTTGAATTGACTTTTGGACTGACGCAAAATTCCTCTTCTTTGGTATTGGATTCAAATGACGGCGACAGTTGTTTAATAAAGGTGTTTATTAATCTTTTAACATTGATACTTGAATCATTATAGTGTTTAATTGAATGTTGTAATCCACTTTTAATCGAGTTTCTGGAATCTTTTAATGTATTCAAATCACATCTATTAAATGGAAATTGATGACCTAAAGGTATTCTCTTAGGTACCAAGTTCCAACTAGATGAATCAATCGGCCATCCTGACCCATAACCACTGACAGCTTTGTTATCACTTTGAGATTTTTTGGCTTTATTTTGATTAATAAACTTTAAAATAGTTTGAGTCTCCGACATGATCATCAATTGGAAAACCTATCAATACACTAACAAATAGAAAAAAACAACTTAAATGAATAATCCTGGTATAATTGAATATATCTTTAATCTAAAACTGATAGCGGTCGAGAACCTATTAATAATTCAATGCACCAAAAAAAAAAACTATATGATCATTGGCACCAACAAATGACTCTTTATAACTTGGAAGGATTTTGGTTTAAAAAGATCAGCCTGGATGCTTCTTCTATGAAAAATCAGTCAACTGAAAACAACCTAACAAAAAAAGAAAAATAATGAAAATAAAAAGAAGTAACAAAAAAAAAATAACGAACAAAGGCTAAACAAAAAACAATAAGTATCCTACTCTGTTTTTTTTCGTTTTGGAAGGGTGTTTTGTTTCTTTGAGTTACTAACTCCCTGTTTCTCCCCTGAATTGACTGAATTGAAGGGCATCTTAAATCTTTTTTTTTCTATTCTGTGTCAGTAACAAAGCGACATTAGAAAAACCGCTATGGTCGCATTTCTGCCGTTTACGGTAAATGAGATGCTACAGTATAAGGTTTAGGTATAAGAGTGCATTATAGAGACTTATGGAATATAGAGACTTATGGATTAAATAGTTAACGATTGGGTCGAAAGCATGGGGTCCAACGCATTAATGTAAACAAATAAGAGGTGAATTTCACCTGTTGTATAGTGAACTAAGTAAATAATGGCTAAACACGGTTAAATTGTAATTAATTTCACCATTAAAGAATCGATCTTGATGCAAATATAAACGAAAAGTTTTTTTGGAAACTAATCATCAGAGTTGGGTCTGGCGTAGGGATGAGATCGAGACGAGCTGGGAGTGCTTCGTCTTGATCTTTCAGGGCCACCTCCGCTGCTTCCGTCACTGACACCACTATTGATTCTTGTGAGAAGAGCCGAAGCAGGAGTTACTTCGGAACCCACCAATGCACTGGGGATCGATTGTGGGGTTGTGTTCATGGAACTAGTGCTACTGTTATCATTGAACACTTCACCTCGACTCAGTATGTTGTCACTAGGAGACACGGTGTTGGAGACGTGGTTGAATCTTTGCTGAGATTCAAAGTTTCCTTGGCCCCTCATATAACCTGATGATTCATCATTGGCATTAGAAGTATTGTTTGTGGTAATATCGTTAGCATCGTTATCATCTGAGTCACTGCTTGAACTATTGGCCCCGTTTATTTCGGTTCTGGTTCGAGGTCTTGAGATGCTGATAACATGAGCTCGGGGTCTTCTAGCTGATGCAAGTGAAGGATTGAGATCTCCGATGGGTATTTTCCTCGGTAATATCAAGTTAGGATCTCCAGTTTCGCTTCTTACTCTATTAATTGGATAGGTGGGTGTTGACCAATCCTGTGGCATATAGGAATCGGTTAAAGGAGTGATCAAAGGATTTGGTGTTCTTCTGAATGGTCTAAATACGTCAGTCAGATGATGTATTAAATGATCGGCAACATCATTGGGTGGCGAGGGATTGAAGTTTGATTGAACTTCTTGTCTTATTCTTCTTTCTCTTCTGGCTTGAGGACTTTCTTCATTAGCTTCAACTTCTTTCCTACATAATGGACAACTAACATTAGATTTAAGCCATTCTATTATACATGATTTGCCAAAAACATGTTTGCAATTTGGCATCTTGACTGCAACATGAGAGCTTTCATCCTTTTCCTTCGCTGGATTACTTTTTTTCTGTTCATCTTCAAAAACCAAGTTCATTTGATCTTCACTAAGTGGCTCTAAAGTTGATAAATTTGAACTTGGAAATCTGAAGGGAATTGATCCTGATGAATCTGCTGGGAAAAATAATGAAGGATCCTTGAATTGGCTACTTGTTTCGAGCGACTGGATATTATTCACTGAATGAGAACGTAAATTATCGGAAAGTTGGCCATTTAATTCAATCGATTTTTTATATTTATCACTTCTGGTATCTTCGGCAGTTAGTGGTACTGACTCTTTTTCTTCGCTTTTCTTTTCGAGGTTCTTCTCATAGTCGTCAAAGCAAATTGGACACCTATCCGTTCTAATTTTATAGTAATCAACCTCTTGTAAACTATCTATTGCTTCTTCTGATGCCAGTTTTTTCTTATTTGGAATACCTCCGGGTGAAAAGACTCTTTCAAAGAGATCTCGAAGCCATGTCGGTAAATCATTGGCATGTGTGGTTATTTCCGCGTCAAAGACTGTTCCATCAAATAAGCTTGGTGGTGGTATATCCATGATGTAATGGTATATATGTGTTAAGAAGAAGCTATTCACCTGTTCTATTCCAATCACTCACTTATTAACTTCAAAGTTTCGGTGTGCGTGATTCACCGAAAAAAAAAAAAAAAAAAAAACCTATTCCTACACACGATTATTAAGCAAAAGCTGTCTAATTACTTCAGTTGTATGTATCTATCATAATGCAAGTGGAGTATGATCCGATATCTAGTGAATCAAGTAGCTAAAGAAAAGATTTGAACGAAAGAGAGCAAGAACCGAAAAAAAAAAAAAGAAAAGGAAAAAAAAAATCAAAAAAAAAAAAGTTGCAAAAAACTTAAAGATATTGTGCTCTAAGGTCAGTGACCATGGATTGAGATTGAGCAGGTAATGAGCTTATTTGATCTGCTGGTAATGATAAGACTTGCACGATGGCGTCTGCTTGATCAGAAGGTAAATTGGCTAATTTTGCCCTTGTTTGAGGAGGGAAATGAGCCCAATTTGGATTATTTATACCATTATTTGAATTGATGGGTGGAGAGTTTTGAGGTGGAGGTAATGGCTGACCGTAGACGGATGGTTGGGGCTGTTGAGGTTGTTGAGGGGCGATATAACCACCAGTCGCTGGGGCAGGTGGTTGGGTTAACATTTGACCGTAAGGGTTAGGCATGAAGTTTGATTGAGTTGGTTGTGGGACTGGTTGACTTGGGGGCGGTTGTGGGACTGGAGTACTCGAGGCAGATTTCATTGATTCAGTAATAACATCGGAATCGATGAATCCCATTAACAATAATGCTTGCGCAGCAGTGGTAGCCAACTGTGGAGACAACTGGAAAACATCACCAGCTCTCGATGCATTTGGACCATTTAAGATGTTCTTCAAGTTGGCAATCAATTCGATTAACTGAGGAGGCGGTATTTGACTTAAAGTTTCGTTTATCTTATCTGGAGTTGTAAATGGTAATTGGGCGACTTGTGGTAAATTCTTAGTGGCTTGTAAATGTTTTTGAGATATTGGATTATCGACTACTCTTGGTGTGTTCAAGCTTGGTGATTGTGTGAATTGGTTATTTGTATTCATGTTCACATTCATGTTCATGTTCATATTCATATTCATATTCATATGACTGTTCATAGGAGTGTTATTTCCAGCTAATTCTGGGGGTAATTGGACGTAGGCCGGTAAGTATCGGTGGTCAAGGTCCATTACTTGTTTTGGCTCATTATTATTGGCTCTAAATCCTTCTTTTGATAATTCAACTCTTAATTTCTTAACTTGTCCTCGTCCATTTGGCGCAGCTATCTTGATTTGACTTAATGAATTCATGGCTTTTTGAGCTTCTTGAGGGGACTCATACTCAATGAAACAGAACCCCTTGTTTTTTCCAGCATAATCGAATCCAAGTCTTACATCAACTATTCTTCCTGAACCGCTTACTACGGATTTCAAAATGTTTTCATCCCAATCAAATGGAATAAGCCCAACATACAATATACTCGATGGCGCCATTCCATTATTAAAGTTATTCCTTCTAGACATTTTCTAGCTAACAATATTACTATATAATCAACTCAAACTTGAATTCAATTCTTTTTGAAAAAGTTGGTTGTTTTTCCTCTGCTTTCAGTTTTTTTTTTTTTTTTTCTCTTTCGTTTTGTATGTGAAACCAAGTGCAGGAAACTGGACAATCAAAGAAGACAAAAAGTACTACGTATTCTAAGCAGATTGTCCTTTAACCAGCTCCTCGATGCTTAAGTCTTGCTTCTTGGGTCTTTGGCGGGCTACTATGGACAGGTCGGGAAGTAGCAAAAAAATGATGATATTCTAAATATGCAAAAAGAAATTCCGATACCGGGAGTCGAACCCGGGTTTGCTCGGTGAAAGCGAACCGTGCTAGCCGTTACACTATATCGGAAAATTATTGTCAGTTTTGAAGGGTGGTTTGTATTACTATGGTAATTTATAGTAATCTCTAGTTTTTACTTTTTTCAAAAAATTTTGTCAATTTTAACGATACAGAGAAGATTAGAACTGTCCTTGCATAAACATGACACGCTTAACAAAGTGATTTTACCATTTTTAAAAAAAAAAAAATTTCTGATTCGATAGACAAAACAGATTAAAACACAATGTTATCTATTTCTTCATTATTCAAGAGAAACTCTGTTTACGTTGCTACTATCTTTGGTGGTGCTTTTGCTTTCCAAGGTTTCTTTGATGTTGCTGTTACCAAATGGTACGAAAGCCACAACAGAGGTAAATTGTGAAAAGATGTCAAAGGTGATTTCCTCGAAGGTGGCGATGAAGATGAAGATGATGAATAATCTCTTAAAACAAACTTATCAAACATTATAATTCTTCAAATTTTATAGATAATAATGATTCAAACATGTTTTATGACAAATGTCCCAAACTCATTTATTCCATATCTCAATGCAGATTCACGTATTGTCTTGTACTTATAAACAAAAAATCAACCGTTCACTTTATTCTTTTTTATATTATTTTATTTCACTGGCTTGTTATCTATATAGTTGGTATTTAGTTTCAAAAATATTATCTTCTTTATATCTATATAGTTGGTACTTAGTTTCAAAAATATAAAAATATTCGCAGAAAAAGAATTCTTTTACAGTCACAGTCACAGTTTTAGTTTTTGTTTTCTTGGAGTTGTAAAGAAAGGACATTATTTGCTGATTATTCAACAGTCTTTTTCTTTTCTTTATTGTAATGTCATCTAACAAAGCTCAAGATAGTTCTAATCCTCCCATAGGGACACCTCCCAACTGGTCTGAGAGTCAGGTGATCCCAGCCTTCGGTAATCGAGATCGTGGATTACATGGAGGTGCTGGTTACCCTAAAGAACCCTATGGTGGTCGACCAGATGGTGGCTACGTTCCACTGATATTTGGTGGTGGTTATGGCCAATACAAATACTATCAGCAACAACAACCAAGGTATGCCCAACAACAAGGTGGTGCTGGCAGTGGTTCTTCCACCTGTTTAACTGCTTGTTTGGGTGCACTTTGTTTTTGTTATACTTTAGACATGGTTATTTAAAAAAAAAAAAGAACATGTTGCATTTCGTTGTTTTATCAATATATATATATATATATATATCCGTATATCTACTTAGTTAATTTTGCTAATTATTGCTGACTTTTTTTCTGCTTTTTTTGATGGAAAAATCAGAATATAAGGACGAGCTTAAACGTTTAAAGAGTTGAGTATTCCTGATCCTCGATTACAAGGAAGCACTTTGAAGTACTCAACCTGGGTGCAATGGTTTATGCTGGTTTTAAAGGCAATAATATAATGGTTTTTACAGTTGAGTCATGTTGTTTGTTTTTCACAAAGAAAAGGTTTGAGACTCTTTGCAGGTGAAAAGACGGAAGAGTGAAGTTCAGATCTGGCAACTTGTTAATTATGTGCTAGCGATTGTTTTTTCGAAAGAATAAGCCTTTTTTTTTCGCAGCAATTTGTATTAAACCCTATGACTAAGCCCAATAACTGTATATACTCTACGTGTCTACGAAATCATTATGAAAAGTCTTCACATCAATCATACTTTATATAGTTTAGAATTGAAATACGCAGATAATTTAAAATTTAATAAATATGAATAAACACCTCAAAGAAGAAACCATTAATTCTGAGGCTTCTCTCTTTTGATATAGTCTCTATAAAGTCCTTTGATAATGATTTTTATTGCATGTCTACCCTCCCATATAGGGAATAAACCAATGACAATTAGGGTTGTATAAAGCCAGATGAGTCCAACAACTATATACCCTTTATAGTAAGCTTCGGTCATGATCCAATCACGGTACATTGCACAAGGCCAAATAACCCATGTAAGTAATAATGTCACTATGAATGCAATAGTAGCAAGTTTAATATATTTGTTAAGGAGCTTATCCGTTTTCTCAGCCAGTTCCAAAGATTCAAGCTCAATATCTTTTTGAGAAGTCTCTTCTACTGAATAGTTATTGTTCTTCTCATCGAGTTTTTGATTGACAGAATTGTTTGACGTGCTATCTTCTTGGCTTTCGTTGGCTTTTTCACTTGCAATAACCAATTGAGCTTCTTTGAATTTGTTCCAGTCATACTTGTAAGGTTTATAAGCGAGACTGATGATGACTGATAGTATTCCTGGAAGGAAAAGAGCGGTAAGTCCAGAATATAAACATGGAACTTGAGCACTCAATGTTGTAGCATTTATTACACCGTTGGCGAACTTTCTTGAAACAAGAATCCATACGATGAAAGATGAAATTATACCAATTATTGGTGAAACCGTAGCTGCAATCCGGGTTTGTCTATCCCAGAGAATACTAAGAGCAAGAGGGAAAACGGCAACACATATAACATTACTAATGAAATAACCCATCCAAGTCATAGTGACACCGACGTAATGAAGCATTATTGAGAACCCAGCTGAGAATAATCCAAAAGCAACAACTGAAAGATGAGAAATTCTAATCACCTGTTTGTTATTAGCCTTAGGGTGGATATACTTCTTATAGATATCATAAGAAATGATACTACTTACGGAAATCATTTGGGCACTGACAGTAGAAGTAACGGATAAATAAATTACCAATAATATAGCTCCAACTGAGCTTTTACCCAAGGTAGCCTTCACGATGTAAGGTAAAGGGAATCCACTTTCAATTTCATACTGAGTCATCTTTCTAGGGTAAGTAGGGAAAGAAGGATCGTTTTCCAAAAACAAAGTAGCTGATCCGAGAATAGCTCCAATACTCCATGCATTAGATAAAATTGCAATAGAGGCTGTTAAGTATCCAGGAAATGTAGCTTCCGGTCTTGCTGAAAAACTTTTCTGCCAGAATGAGGAATCAGAAATCGTCAATCCAAAATTCCCAATGGTCAAGACCAACGCAAATATAAATCCATTTTCAGATTTCCCAGTAAGAAATGAACCTTCATAGTTACCCTCAATATACTTATCTTTAGCGGCTTCCGTCACTCTAGTCCAAAGATTGTTTAACCCACCTACTTTCTCAGAAGAAAGCACGGCTG